TCCTGTCTCAAAGACTCGCTCAATGGCCAAGACCAGTCCATCCGCAAACAGGCTGAAGAGGTATCGCAATTCTCTTTTTCTTTTCTTTTCTTTTCTCAACGCTCGGCCACTACGCATAATTCCCCTCTCTTCCCCCCCTCCTGCAAGGAATATCGCCAGTTAGATAAACGTGAATGACTGACCATGACCTATCCTATCTTCCGAATAGATGCTCTCTCAAGCAACTTCTTCTCCCGACTATGTCAACTACATCACCTATCTCTTTTCCACCCCGCAGGTACCTGCCGCCGTGGGCATGGATGTTGGCACTTACGCCATGGTGCGCTTCGCCGCCGCCATGAACATGAAGACCAAACTCCTCATGGCCTTCCGTACCGTTCCTCCCCAGAGCTTGAACTTCATTCGTTCCGCCGCCCTACTCGCCCTGCAGGACGCCGACCGCCAAGTACAACGAGGTGCTGGTAGCATCATCACCGAGGTGGTTCAACAGGGTGGTCTCCTGGCCTGGCCTGAGGTTCTCCATGAGCTGATCGCCTTGGTTGGAAATGCCAGTGGCGACGTTTCACTGCCCTCTCAGGAAGCCGCGATGGCAGCTCTGTTTAAAGTCTGCGAGGACAACCGCAAGATTCTGGACCGCGAATATCAGGGCCAGCGCCCCCTCGACGTCATCATTCCCAAGTTGATGGAGTTCACCTCTCGTCCGAGCGCGCGCGTGCGATCCCTCGCCCTGAACAGTATCCATGTCTTCCTCCCGCACCAGCCCCAAGCCCTCATGGGTTCCTTGGACCTTTTCCTGTCGCAGCTGTTCAATCTCTCCGGCGACCAGGATCCCGAAGTGCGAAAGATGGTCTGCCAGTCATTCTCTCAATTGGTGGAGTTTGCGCCAGAGAAGCTGATCCCACATATGGAGGGGCTGGTCAACTACATCCTGATTCAGCAACAGAACCAAGAGGATCCCGAACTGTCTCTTGACGCTGCGGAGTTCTGGATCGTTGCTGGCGAGCAGCAGCGACTCCAACAGCCGCTTGCGGCTTTCATGCCGAAAATCATTCCCGTTCTGCTGCAGAACATGATCTATGAAGAAGACGATGTGATTCGCCTGATGCAGGAAAATGATGACGCTGAGGCCGACGACCGTGCCGAGGATTTGAAGCCTCAGTTTGCTAAAGCCAAGAGCGATAAATTGAATGCCGCAAAGCAAGGTCAGCAAGCTAATGGTGCGGCCCCTCAGCAGGAGGAAGATGAAGATGACCTCAGCGAGGGAGAGATTGAGGACTCTGAATTTGGTGATGACCCCGAAGACGAGTGGACCCTGCGGAAGTGCTCCGCTGCCGCGCTTGACGTTTTTTCCAATGTGTACCATGACCCTATCTTTGAGATCATTCTACCTTATTTGAAGGAGACCCTGCGCCATGATCAGTGGCCCAACCGCGAGGCTGCAGTTCTCACCCTTGGTGCCGTTGCTGATGGCTGCATGGATGCTGTTACACCCCATCTGCCTGAACTGGTGCCCTACCTGATCTCTTTGCTCACGGACGCCCAGCCCGTCGTGCGTCAGATTACTTGTTGGTGCCTTGGACGTTACTCTGAATGGGCTTCGCACTTGAGCGACCATAGCCAAAGGGTGCAATTTTTCGAGCCGATGATGGAGGGTATCCTCCACCGCATGCTCGATAACAACAAGAAGGTGCAGGAGGCAGCCGCATCGGCATTTGCCAGCCTGGAAGAGAAGTCAGAAGATGGCCTGATCCCATACTGCGAACCCATTCTTCGCCAGTTTGTCCAATGCTTCGGCAAATACAAGGACCGCAACATGTACATCCTCTACGACTGCGTACAGACCCTTGCAGACTGCGTCGGGTCTGAGCTTGCCCAGCCTCATCTTGTCGAAATCCTCATGCCTGCCCTGATCGGGCGGTACAACCAGATCACTGATCAATCCCGAGAGCTGTTCCCGTTACTGGAATGTCTTGGCTACGTCGCCAATGCTTATGGAGATGCATTCTCGCCATTTGCTGCTCCTCTATTCCAGCGTTGCTCCAAGATCATCTATCAAAATCTCGAGGAGTCTATCGCATCAGTAAACAATGAAACCGTCGACGAGCCCGACAAAGACTTTCTGGTTACTAGCCTGGATCTTCTGAGTGGTATCATCCAAGCTATTGATCCGCAAAAGAGCAGCGAGCTTGTGGCCCACTCGCAACCGCAATTCTTTGACCTGCTCTGCTACTGTATGCAAGACTCGAACTATGAGGTCCGTCAATCCTCATACGCCTTGTTGGGTGACTGCGCCATCAATATCTTCTCTCGCCTCGAGCCCTTCATCCCGACCATTATGCCTATCCTTATCAAGCAGCTCGACCTGGATCAACTTCCTGACGATGATCGCCACACGGGTTTCAGCGTGCTGAACAACGCTTGTTGGTCGGCTGGTGAAATCGCCGTCAACGAGAAGGTAGCCCTTGCTCCCTATGTTGAGAAAGTGTATCACGGACTCTTGGCCATTATCGACAACGAGGAGATTATTGACTCGGTTAATGAGAACGCAGCCATGGCTCTTGGCCGTCTTGGTCTCTGCTGCGCCGACCACATGGCGCCACATCTAGGCGAGTACGCCAACTCCTTCCTGAAGTCGATGAGCAAGATTGAATTCACTCCGGAGAAAGTTTCTGCCTTCCTGGGCTTCAACACCGTGGTCATGAAGAACCCCCAGGCCATGGAGTCTAGTCTGGTCGACTACTTCCAGGCCATCGCCTCGTTCCCGAGCAAGTTGCTGTCACTGGAGGAATATCGGGATATTCAGAGCTCCTTCCAGCAGGTATGTATTAATTCACGTCAAGTCACCAGACGAGGGAGGGGCCTTCTCATCGCTAACTCATCGAACAGGTTCTGCAGGGATATAAAAACATGATACCCAACTTCGATTCTTTCCTATCGCAGCTCCCTTCGCCCGTATCTCAAAAACTGCGCACCGTTTACCAGGTTTAAGTTGAGCCGGACATCTTTTCAAACTCTTCTAGCATCGATTCTTCTCACTTCTCCGCCATATGAAAACTGCGTGCCACGGCAGTGTTGGCATTTGGAACACACTACACAATCACAAACACAAACACACAACCAAACAAACACGTGAAGACTCTGAGGGAAATCTTACTTCCCTTCCGTCACAAACCTTTCCTCTGCACCTGAAGTTCAGCGTTTTCCATTTTCCAAATGTCTTGAAACCCTCTGGGCTTGCATTATCATCCATCTGACCTAGAAATAGGAGGACACAATGAATGGGTTAAAAGGCTAAAAAATTAGGTCAATATCAATGCGAGATAATGAGCTCTCATCTGGGCGTTTTATTTTTTGTACCTTTTCCCCTTTCTGCTTTGTTTGTTCAATTTCCCGTTTCTATTGTTTGTTTTGCTTTTTGCATAATCCTTATATATGCCTCTTGGGGCATGACCCGATGGGGATTATGGGAAATGACCGCGAGGACTTGACGCGATATGACTGTTAATCTATGTTATATCTGACGACAGCAATGGGCACGGCCATGTGACATGTTTTTACTCTTCTGTTCTCGCATGCCCTTGTACATGCCCATGCCTATGCCTATGCCCGCCAGACCGGATATGTTGACACTCCCATCAAATATCCGCTTCCAGCACTTACTAGTACCCAACCACCATCTCTTTAGCTTAGATAGATAGATTAGATACCTAGGTAGATTCTCCTACATGCATATTATGTTCAAAATGACTTCATATCATATCAAATGTATGTACTACTATGTCATTTGATATTCAGGGATTAATATCCTCCTTTGTTTGGAAATTGCCATGTCGCCTGCCTCCGCCCTTGAGATTTGAGTTCAGGAACGTCCTCGGGATATTTTTGGCATATTCCACCTTCCACCTTCCGCCCTCCTCCAACCCTTTAAGTCGGTACGGAGTACAGAGGAACGTACCCTTGCAACATTACAGAGGTATCTGTGCAGCACCCCACCGTCTAACCTCGCTTATTTGACGCCTCGGACGTGCCCGAGCTTATCCCACGCGAATAGCGATTGGCCCGGGCGTACAAGACCAAGACGCGAGCCTTTCCCGATCGCGTTTCTTTTCACGAAAGGAGGCAGGGACTCATTCGCCCCGCGCTACTCATTTGATCCTTGCCCTTTCTTCCCTTCCCCAATTTTTAAGGACCTTCCCGTGGTGGGCGTGGGTATGCCAGTGCCACTGCCAATATCTAAGACATCCATAGCTTGGGGCTTAGCTGCACCCTGGGCACAGTCCCTCGCGAAATGCATCTCTTTTTTATTAGCGGTAGTTTTGCAGATCGCATGTTCGGACGTTTGAGGTTATTGCAGGCAGATTACTCCATGCCCCTAACACTACTACTAACTCCCTCCGCTCGATGGGTCAAGCTATCCCTCATGCGGATGCATTCCACGAGCTGCGGTCTTCGTTTCCTCTCTATTCGGGAATAATACCTTTCGGGTATAGATAATCCAGGCTTTAATTTCTTCGAAATTTGCTCTTTTGGGGGGTGCCTTCGACGTGGCGCGCTTTGAGAACATTTTTCAGGGGGCTTTGCCTTTACCGGCCTTGCTGTTTTGGCTTGGTGGACCCTGTGCCATCAACCCTAGACCTTCGTTTCATTTTCAGCCTCAGCTGCGGTGTGACATGCACTTCCCCATGCACTGCCCGTTTGACATCGTCTAACCTCCTTCTGTCCAGAGAAGCAGTCGACAGGCTCCTTACTTCGAGTGTGATGACTCTGCGTCTGCTTGGCATTGCATCAATCAAGACCGTTGTGGAAGCTGTCTCCGGTTACCAGATTTGGAGATATGAGAAAGGAAACGAAAAGAGAGAAGAAAAAAGAGCATTTACAATAAACACTTTCTATTTTTATTTCTAAGGTTCTCCTCTTCCCTTGCGCCGATTCGCCCTCTCGCACTTCTCGTACTTCTCGCATTCCTCGCATTCCTCGGCTTCTCCGACATGCATGCACCCCTAGAAACAATCCATGTAGCGCAGATGTCCATCCTCATTCTTGATACAGGCCGCCAAGTTGACCGTGTCCTCGTTGTGCATGCCCTCTTCATCTTCCAGCTGCGCGTGCAGCATGGGTTCGTGGTTGGGGCCATCCCACTTGAGAATGACATCGGCCGCATCCTCGGTGAAGTTCTCAGCACTCCAGGCGAATTTACCTGCGGAGCCTCGTTAGTCTTGGCTTCGCTAAAAGCTTTCTTGGCGGAAGGTTTGGATGTAGATGTAGATGCAGATGTCAGTAGGTTTGGGGACGGTTTGCGCGCGCCCCTCCCTCTTCCCCCATCGGTACTCCTCTTGATCTGGGAGTGCATGTGCAAGGGACCTGTGATGACCTCGGGTGAACGTACCCTTTATCGCGCCCAGGACGTTATTTAGGTCGAGTTCTGAATAAGTTGCTTCGCCCGAGGGCCGTTGGCAGTATGCACAGAGGATGTGCCCATCTTTCAGGTGTACGTTCATCGATGATTTATGGAACATTGCGGCGTGTAAGCTAGGGAGATGGGGCGTGGCTTGGAAAATGAGATAAAGGAATAATTGTAATCAAAATGGGACTGATGATAAGAGGATACGTCTAAGAGCACCAGAGCACCTTAGATGAGTTGGCAGCGGATAACGCTAGAACACCGTCGGAATCGAGATGTAACCCCGAATCCAGCATGAGATAGAAAGAGGGAAACAGAGCCCAAGTCTAAGCCGCTGCTGGCCACGGCTGATAGGTAACTAGGATGTGGCATATAGCTTGCCCCATGACATCGCTATGCTGTCGGCGGTTTTGGTAGCTGCTGCTGGTCATGCATTGCCCCGGAAGAAAGGACGCGGGAGGCGCTGGCTGTGCATCACACTGGCCTCATGATGATGCCAGGGATTTCTGACCGGGCTGGAGGGGATGGGATTTCCCTTCCACCAACAGAGTCTGGAGAGCCTGGGCAGACAGAAGTGGTTGGCCCTAGTGCCAAGGTCACCATGACTTCATGCAGGGTGAGATGGCAGGCGGACGGAGGACGGAGGAGAGAAAATTGGTCAAGCAGGCCCACAGGGGCGGGAAATTCAGCCTCACAGCAGTTCTTCAATGCAGGCGCAGCGGGCTAATTAGACGAAGGTGGAAGGGCAACCATTTGGTGGGCAACAAACTGCAGAGGTGGCTAAAGAAGGTTGACGCTAATACTTTATTTAGTAGCGCGGGAGGGCTGTCAATCGAGATATTCTCTAAGGTTTCGATCTGTGCTTTTTCTTCTTCAGGTCTGCCTTATTGTAATACTATGATAGTACCCAGGCAATCAGATCTTACCTTGTTACCTGGACAGTAGGTATAGCCGAAGCGACGCCCCCTTTGATCTTGGTAACCCATTTTGGCACTGCGATCCTCACCCGTCTTTGGATCATTTCCAATGGGTTCGCACACAAAGCTAGGGTCATTTTAGTTAGTCGGGATCGTCAGAACCAGCCTCAATATAACCATAAACCATACCCGGCCGAACGGTCCATTGATATGGGGGGGGTGATCTCGACCTGATCGACGTGGACTCAACAACCTCCGAAGAAGGTATGCTGGTTGCTCGTCTAGAATGGCCTCATCTTGGCATTATAAAGTTAGTTAGCGTGGCTGCTGGCCCGTGGGCCGTGCTTTTGCTCGATGCGGCCACGAGTCTGCAGCGTGGTTGGGTGTTGGATTGGGTTGAGAAGGAGAGGGGGGGGGTCTGGGGTAATCTTTGATTGTATGTATAAGAGTTGTCTGGGGATTGAATGGTGAGTGGGCGTACCTTGATGTACTACGACTTGGATACATCATCAAGGGTCTCCTCTTTTCGACCGGGCTATCCAGGGTTTACCTTTCGCGTCAGCAATACCCAGCCAGATGGTCATGGTGTGCGGGCATGGGAGTGGTGCTGGCGCGCTATCCCGGGGAAAACACACACTGCTTCCTGCCCCTCCGCCCTCCCCCCCCTGGATCTAGTCGAAATGAAGGAGTGGGGTGCGCAAAATGGTTCCTATTTCCTTTTATTTCCCCTGTCTTTCAGTGGGGAGAAGAAGAAAGAAGATGGAAATCTCCGTTCCGCACAGCATGCGAATAGAGTTGGGCTGTCAGTTCCTCCCGTCACTTATGGCCCCCAAAAAGGGCCAAATGGGGATCCAATCAATTTCAGTAGAGCTCATTGGTCAAATCGGCTCTGTTGGACCCAATTGACCATCTCACTCTGGTTTAGTGCTGATCCCTTTATGCTGCAGTGAACGCTAACCCTGTTTGGTGCCATGTCGCGAGTACCGAAGCCTCACCGCGATGGCGAGCCACTGGCCTTAGCTAACCTCTCGCACGGGCTGATCAGGTCTCCATCAGACTAAACCGCCTTTAGAACCGCTGGTAGTTACCACAATCATTGTCTTGGCCTGTCAATGTTGCGGAGAAGCGAACTCGTCCGTCGCACAGCCCATGGTTCACACTTTCCCCCGACAGGATTCAGGATTCTCCGCTTTTGCCATTAATGGCAGCGAGCGTATTCGGCTGATTCTTGGTCGCTGCTTGTATTCTGCTGGTTCCCTTGGCTAGCTTTGATTAAGGGGGTTGGGTGAGATCTTGCGAGAAGATCGTCACACAGATGACTCTGCGAACCTTGGGCTTGTAGCACCGTGAGATCGTGGAGCCACGTGTGGGCTGGTGAACTCTCGTCAACTCTGATTAACTCTGCTCTATTCTGTGTTGTTGCTGCTGCTGCTGTACAAGTTATCTGGCGATGTACATATTCAATTCTCGCCTGCAGCTGCAGGCCACACCGACTCTGATATTGCACCCCCAGAAAACGTGGTCGTCAGGGCTTGAACTAGCGGTCACACAGCCACTGAAATCTTGACATTCGATCCGATTGTCAAGACTAGTGAGCTAGATTTCCCTCGCCCCACGAAGCTCCTCCAGGATCTTCAGGTGGTGGCATGAGTTAGCCCTTTCCCCTGGACCCTGCAGCAACCGTTCCTCAATCTGTCGAGGTCGTCATCAGCCTACGCCTACAGTATGGGTCTACTAGTTTGTATGTGACCCCTGTCGATTTGAATCTCTGTGGAATCCCTGTCCTTTTCCCCCTTTTGAGTCTCCGACGCCTTTTGCCTGACAGGTCAGGGGGGGGGGGATTCCTGGTTCGCTTCAGTTTCTGGTCCCAGTGTGTCGGGACCGTCCACGGAGATGTGGGAAAAACAAAAAGAAAATACAAGGTTTCCAGGATGTCGGGGCGCCATCGCGGGAGGAAGGAGACCGTCGACCCGAGAGACCGGGCTTCACTGCACACCATCGACGCCAGGTGAAATTGTTGAAGAGTTGATTTGATTCATCATGAGACGATCGGGTTGCACCTGGTCCCTGTTACTCCCTAGTTCCACCAGTACTGCCACTCTGACCACTCATTGCCACTGCTATTTAGGCCATTCAGGGCACTCTCAGCCCATCTCATCCCTCTTCCTTCTGGCAGAGACATCTGCATATTCGGTTGTCTTTTCCAATCTTAGTCCGTCTCAACCCGTCTGACTCACGCTCGGGTGGAAACGGGCTCATTTAGCCTAGCTCTTGGTTGGCCTAGCTTGACCCGCGATGGGCGCCCCTCTTTACTCTTCAGGGTAAACGGTAAGTTGCTTGGCTCTAGACGTTGTGATCCACAATCCAGGGTCCCCGATCGCGCCTTGCTAGGCAATCCTGGTCGATCTAAAATCCCCTTGGCGATCCAATCGTCTACTTCATCCTGTTCATTAGTAACAGGTAAGTAGTAGCTCGCATGGACAGGACATCTTTATATACAAAGAAAGAAAGAAAGGTGCTCCAAGACGGAACATGCTACAGGGTGTACGCATTGGTTCTCAACATTTACGAAGTACGGAGTATGCCGTGGTAACATGTCTACACCTACTATGTAAGTACATACATAGTTAGTATGTATACGTACATCCATCTCAGTACTCCGTACGGAGTAGTTAAAAGCAAATCTAAATTGCAGAAATTGGTCGAAAAAGCAATGTGCCGCCACCACATTCCTTCCCCCCCTTCCTTTTCCCTTCCCCCTTTCCGTGCATCCTCAGGAATGAGGGATCTCTCACTTTAAAGATTGCTTTGACACAACTCGTAAATCCAACAATCAACCAGGGGGCTATGGCCACATAAGGGCGTTCTTAGTTGGTTTTGAACGGAATTGGAGATCCCTGGGCCGCGAAATGATGGCTCACATGCGGGTGGACCCCCAGACTTGGAAGCGTAAGGAGCTAAACCGTTGAAGGCAGCTGGTTAAAAAAAAAAAAAAAAAAACAAGGGAAACAAAGAACCTTTTTCTAAAGCCTCCATGTGGCGTCCAGCCTAACCTTTGAGCTGACAGTGCCATCCTGGTCGTTAGAGGCTCAAACTCTTCGATCGTCGGAGACTTGGGGTGTCCTGCTAATTATAATTGATCTCACTTTTCTTTTCCCAGATGGAACTAATTTTTTAATTTTTAATTTTTTAAATTGTATTTCGTTTTTGAATTATTTCTGATTTTAATTTTAATTTTATTATTATCTCTAATCGATTTAACTTGCACCTGACCGTCGGGACGTGATTACTATCCATCCAAGCTCTCTCTTCAAGACTCAAAGGCAGCCCACCTCCCTCGCCTAGACGTCTTTGGTTTTCGCTTCCCTCATCCTCTATCCCCAGAGTTAAATTATTCGACTGCCAGCGACTGTCGAGCCTCTTGATTTCGGATTCTCGATCTGCTAGTATTCTCCACCGGGGATTTCTTGGCTCTACCGGTTGAATCGTGCAGCTGCTCGTATTTCCACGTGCGGAACCTCCTTCTTGACATTCCCTAAGTTATTTTTATACCGGGAGATCTTCTATAAACATCTATAACCCTACTGCTCGCTGTGATCTTCACTCTCCGAAAAAGACTTGCTCAACGGTTGTACCTCCTCCCCACTGTTTGGCTTCCAACCCTTCGATCTTCATTACCCCACCGTCGCCTCTGTTCCCGAGGTCGTCTTACTCTTCGGTCGTGGAAGGCCTTCTCTTTCACTCCTTTTCTTTCAATCAATCATTCAAAATGGCCGGCCCTGGTGGTGGTCCTCCTCGCAAGAGCCATACCAAGTCCCGAAATGGGTGCAAGACATGCAAGAAGCGCCATATTCGCTGCGACGAGACCTTCCCACAATGGTACGCCTTGTTCCCTCATCTAAACGCAAGAGTCGCACATTTCTAATCTCGAATCCTGCAGTCGCAATTGTACCAAGCATAACTGCCGCTGTGACTATCAAGATGTTGCAGTGACCCAAACTCCCCCGAACTCACGGCGAGGGCCTGATCTACTTATGTCTCCAGCTATCGAGATGGAGATTGACAACTGGCATCGCTCCGGCATACCTCCCTATCCCGAACTGATGCAGTGTCCTCGATCTGGCTGGACGGGACTATCGCGCGCAGACTTGCGTCTGATCCACCATATTATCGGCCTCTCGATCGATCTACATCGGCGTGGACTGAGTGCCTGCACCGTGTGGGCACATAAGATGCCTAAGTAAGTCTTGAACCGAAGACATAAGCCTCAATTATGAAAGCCTAACAAGAAATTTCCAGCTTCCTCGCGATCGCGCTCTCAAAAGATTTTGTCATGAGCGCCATCCTCGGCCTCTCGGCCTTCCACCTTGGCTGCCTCACACGGGATCAGGAAACCAAGCAACTAGCCCATCACCATAAAATCACAGCTCTACGGGGGCTCCAAAATGCCCTCGGTTCCTTCTCAAAGGAGAACTGCGATGCAACCCTAGCTGCGTCTATTCTTCTCTCATGGCAAACAACTGATCGGTGAGTACTCCTAAGAGGTTCCTAACCCTACATCCAGCTAATTTCCCTCTAGCCCAGAATGGATATCTCTGCAGCATAGTATCTCAAGTGTTCTCGACTCAATGTATCCGTTCTGGAGACAAGAATCCGAGCTCGCACAATTGGTTGAAACCCAGCGCTCTCTCCACGCTTCAGATTACCCACTGGTCCCGGAGGAGGACTTAAGTCAGCTTGACCAGACCATTCAAGCGCTACAGATTGCCCAGAGTCGTGTCTCCCACAATCAGGAATACTCCTCGCGGATGCTGGAGTTGATTGAATTTGTGAAACAATTCCGCAAAGACTACCCTTCCCAAACTGCCGAGCAGTCATTTGAGCGCGTCCAGGCCCTCCGACAATGGCTTTTCTGGAATCCTTCTTCTATGCTGAGAGGCGGCGATTCTGAGTCCAGTGCTCTTGCAGTCCTCGCTCAATTCTTCGCAGTCGGTGTCGTTCTCGATCGCTTCTACCCTGAGATGGGTGCATCATACCTCGCCGCATCATCTGTCGGACCCATAGAAGAGATCTATCGTATCCTCGCCACATACAATACCACTGGTACGTTCAACACCGAGTTGCCCCTAGCAATGTCTTTGATGGACTTGCCTCGCCATGTTGTTGCCCGCCACCACAGTCTCCTGGCTTGGTCACCACGCTCGTCAATCGAGCACTACTCTCCCGGTCCACCGAGCCCATATCACGGTCTGACCGACTACTCCATCACCTCTCCTGAATCCGCTTCTCCATCATATATGGCGTATACCCCACCTCTACAGTCTCCTCCTGCGGTCACCGTTGCCGGCTCCCCCTTCCAACTCGCAGATGGCTATGTTACCGCTGCCTCCTCGCATACTTTATATCCGCCGTCTCCACAGCTGCTTGATAACCATGACGCACAGTTTGGTCTCTCTGAACTGAGTCATGTGGTTTCAACTACATCAGCATATACCCCTCCTTATGGGAACCCTGTTCTCTGTGGAGACATGCCTCGCGCGGATACCTCGCTTGGTCTCAATATGGATGCATATCAGCAACCACACCATTTTGAAATGACAGGTCTTGTTACACCCGAGCCCTGTTGGACATGATTTTATGAACGCAAAAAAACTGCCTGAAACACTTGATGTGTAAAAGTAAGGAACTAAGGAGTTCGATCTCTCGGGTCTGGATTCAGGAACCATCATCTTCCCTCTTTACATTCTACTCGACTCTGTTATATACTGGTTGGTCTGTCTTCGTTTTCCCGCATTCTTTTATTTTTGGCTTTCTCTCTTTGGTCTGAGCATGAGCGTTGGCGGCAATTTCGTCCCCGCCAAAGGAAATGATTTCTACTTAAGTGATATACCCGGTTTAATTACAAACCTATTGTTGGCATGATTGGAAGCATCTCTATCTTAGTTCTAAATTCTATTGAAAACTTATTCTATCTATTGGCATGAGGAATAAATCTCATTGTTTGAGTCAAAATCGCCCACACAAGTTTAAACCCCTTCACATAAACAACATTCTCACAAAACATCAAGAGCATCTCCCGCACGCAGCAGATTCAACCTGTCCCTCTTTTCTAAACATAGAATCAAGTTACATCACCCCTCATCTCCAAAGCTGCATACCAAGCCAGCCTAACGCGAAGCATTCAAGATCGCCAGGAACCGGTCCCAAACTCGTGATTGTGAATATACTAAGAATAGCGCGGGGCGAGAATTAAACTACGATCCACATTTCTCATTGGCGCCTTCAGCCCCGGGCCTTACTTGAACCCCATCACGCTAATTTCCGCCCTGGGGCAGAGTCAGATGAAAAACCTCGTATTCGGCTGCATCCACGTTCCCCGCTTGGATCGTGCATCTCGCGTGGCAAGTTAGGGGGCAGTTGGGGGCCGCTGCTGTATTTAGAAAATGAGAGATACGAAGCCTAAATCAAATCAATGCTGTCATCCTTTTGGATCGTGCATATATGCATTCCTCCCTCGTCCTACTTTAATCCGTTGATACTTTTGATTGGGTTGTCGGTTTCACCGAGCCAAGCCTACTACTAGTAGAAAGGGGGATTGATCGGCAAGATAGAGATACTAATTGTCGCTACTAGATGCATGCCTTCTATATTTATCCCTTCCAAGGTTCGCTTCCTTCTTGGGTTGTGCGGAATCCCGTGCGTTCGTTTTGGGTTTGGTCGGAGGAGAGTGTGCTGAGACGGTTGGTGTTCGCTTGATTCATGCTTTGCGAACGTCTACGATGGCACTCGGTTCTTGAGTTTATGATGTGATGTTGATCTTGGAGGGATTGGGCATACGGCGATGAGTGGGCTCAGAAAGATTTGAACTCTATTTTACCTTTGGTCATGCCTCTCGTCATAACAGTCACAAGCATGAATTTCCATTTTGGCGTTACCGAGAAGCTCCACGCTAGGGTTATCACATAAGGGTCGGTGGTGATCAGAAAACGGCTCATGTACTGGTGGAAGGTTTTTGAAAGTGCAATGAACTTCAAGATCATGACTATGACTGACGTGTTTTGGGTGATTTTTAACACAGTCAGACGCGAGCCACCAGTGGGCGCTGGGGCTGGTTGTTAGCAGACCAAGATTTTGAGCTCGGTCTCAATATTGGAGAGCCTGATTGATACTATTTACTCCAAAAAGAATGGCAAGGCTACCCAAGGAGATATTGAGAACGAAAGCAGAGACCATTATTGTAAATTCGAGATATTTCTTGTCGGCCTCCAAAGGGGTTCTTTGATATGAATTTGAAGAATTGCTTCTCCGATTTAAGGGTTTCCTAGGTCTCCTGCTTGTGCAATGAGAGGCTTACTTTTATTCAAAATTGTATTTTGAACACCATGGTATAAAAACACCCGTTTCATGTTGCAAATTACACTTTCCGAATGATGGTTTGTTCGGTGTACTCCAGGAAAAGTCGCTATGCGATATGCTTTCTCAGAATCGGTCTCGAATCTTACTTGTCATCTATCAAAGATAAACCCAAACCAAGCTGTATACACATACTATGGTACTATTTATTACAGACTCAACAAGGGGGCCGAAATGAGCCGCAAATACTAGCAACCACTCGGCGCAATAATCGATAGGTTCAACTCCGCTATAAGCATGCTTGCAACTTTGACTCCCACTGACGGATAAAATAGGGGACAGAAACAGAGAGATCGGTCGCAAGCTCCCACGCCAATACAGTGTACTGGACATCTTTGTGATAACACATATATGACCCGAGAAGGTGGGCGAGTTCACTAATGAGAAGCACTTGCCTCCTGTCTCCTATGGCGGTGCTGTTCTCGTCGATAGACAGATCACCATATGCTCGAAGCGCCGAGTGGCGACGAGGTATTGGAGATGGTGAGCCGGATGCTCCCTCCTGCTGGGCTGGAAGCCAGCCTCAGACACCATCCACTCCTGCCAGTCATGGGGAGTTTATGGGCTACATGATGAGGCCCCGGAAAAGAGATCTCAGCAAGCAAAGTTGGGGGTTGCGACAACATACTAATAACCTTACGTGATCGACACACGTGATCTATGACATAACACGAATTGAAGTCCCGCGGTATCAACAAGCGTCGCCGAGCTTGGAGCTTCACCAACACCGGCGAAGCCTTCATTCCGTCACCGAATTGCCAACGCAAACCTTTAAACACCATCCGAGAAACGTGAATTGTTCAAAATGGGCGACGCAGGTGGCTGGAGTACTATCGAGTCCGACGAGGTACGTACGGCCCTGGGGCTGTCTCTGCAACAGCTAACAATCAAACTAGGGTGTATTCACATCCCTCATCGAGACCCTAGGCGTGCAAAATGTCCAATTCGAAGAGCTCATCTCACTCGACGCAGACACAATACGCTCCCTTGGGTATGCATGCACACCCTTCCTCACCCTGTCGTTGAGCTTGCAAGCTCAAGCTCAAGCTCAACCAGACGACGGAAACCAAACTAACAGCCCCTTACTCAGTTCCGTCTACGGAGTCATCTTCCTATTCAAATGGACCCGCGAAGCAGCCGGGGCCCGCGCGGAGGCCCCAATCGACGGCACATATGACGAGACCGCAACAGAGAACAACGTCTTCTTCGCCGCGCAAACAATCCAAAACGCCTGCGGCACGCAAGCTATCCTCTCCGTCATCCTGAACCACGATAACCCGCCCAAACCCCTCCCCGCCATCCCGCTCGGCACCGAGCTCGCCTCCTTCAAAGACTTCACAACCGGCTTCCCGCCCGAACTCCGCGGCGAGGCCCTATCCAACTCGGAGGCCATTCGCACCGCACACAACACTTTCGCAAAGTCTAGTCCGTTTGCCGATGAGACGACTAGACCGCAGGATGAGGAGGGTGGGGATGTGTTCCACTTCATTGCCTACACCCCTGTTAATGGGACGTTGTATGAGTTGGATGGATTGCAACCTCACCCCATTAGTCACGGACCGTGTGATACGGCCTCGTTCCCTGAGACGGTGATTGAAGTGCTTCGCAAGCGTATTGCTAGATACCCGCCTGAGGAGACACATTTTAATCTTATGGCTGTTGTGCAGGATCCTCGGCCGCGGGCGCGGGAGATCGGGGACGCGGAGACGCTAGAGCGGGAGGAGAGGAAGAGGGCTGCGTGGCAATGGGAGAATACTTTACGGAGGTGGAACTTTGTTGGGTTTATTGGGGAGATGATGAAGGGGGTTGCTGGGGCTAAGGAGCGAGATGGGAAGTATGATGAGTGGGTTGATGCTGCGAAGGCTGAGACGAGGAAGAAGATTGAGAGCAGGAGAGGTGCTTGAAGATATTGCCCCATACCTGAAGAGGTGCCCTGATCTTGAATACTATTGAGCTGCACTCTACTGTGAACTTTCCTTCGGACTGATTCTAATGCCGTGGCATGTGCTGTGCATTCAATGATGTCTACAATGATTTACAGATACCCGTGATGAGCAAGTTGAACGATTCGAAATATTATGATCATTGATCTATGTATGCATTATATACAGACATCCACTTCGTAATTCATGATCATTTAAGAACCTTGGAATCTTCAAGCTCAATAATCAACCGCTCGAGCTCTAATGTGCTCCACCATCGCTGGTGGAAGGTCATCTGCCTTCACCAGATTCAACGCTAGCAAGTCAGACCAGAAGAACAAGGCTCTGTCCTGGGAATAAGCTAGATAGTCGAATTCTTCTTCTTCCTCTGCAGCTTCTGCCTCGGCAGTGGGCGTCTTTACGTCCTCTTCTTGCTCTTCCTCCATGCCAGGTGTCTTGGCCTGCACGATACCCCAAGCCACCCACTGTGCCGAGTTGATCACGCGCCACAACCGAGTCTGGTGCATGAGGAACTTGATCTCGGCGTCGATCGCCTCTTCGTTAGACCGTTCGGCCTGGATCTGCTGCCCGCTAGGCTCGGGGCAGTCATCAAGGTTCAAGGGAGTGATAGCAGTTGCATTACGACCGCGCATGGTGGGAGTTGCTTGTGGTGAAGTAGCTCCGTTGCCAATATTCGGGTGATGAGCCAGATAGGTCGCCACAAATCGATACTGGTCCTCTGGCTTAGGGTAGAAGCGGGTGTTACAGGCCCATGGTCGGCCTTCGTCGTGGTAGTTGTAGCACCACTCAGTCTACATAGGTTAGAATGGCGTTTCAAGACTAAGGGCAAGATGAAGGTGGGACTCACAAAGTGGTTGGCAAACTCAAACCCGGGGGTGTTAGCCGAAGAATATTCAAAATCAATGACAACGAGTTGCTTGTGTTCGTTGGCAGGGAGCAGAAGAGGTGACTGTGTGGCCGGCTCCATTCGAAGCAAATTGCCATATTGAGTCTGGATACAAGTAATTAGCATTGCGTATGGTGCATTGTTCATAAAAGAGTAGAGCACTTACGTCGTTATGAGCAAATACCAGCTGTCGCTTAATCTCACTCAGCCCACCACAGCTAGCTAGCAACCAGATTCGGTAATTGTCCACGGCCTTGCGGAACACTGGCCATGGCACACCACAGACATAGCCGCGCAGGCGCCACGGTTCCAGGGCAGCCTTTGTCTGGTTTTGCGGTGAATCTAGTTCCTTATCCAGCCAAGTTGTGACATTTTCACACCGATCCACCCACTTGTCCCAGTTCTTGAAGACCATCGGTCCTCCTTCGCGCTCCTCTTCGAGAAGTTCAATACCATCGTGTAATTCGCGCATTCGTTTGGCAATTTGTTTGGCCGTATCTGGAATGCGCAACTCCTTCGCCGTCAAGGGGCGAGCCTCGAAGTATTCTTCAAATCGTCCGTTGCGGAAGGTTCCAAGTACACGGGGGCCGATGTTCTTTCGGCCAAGGCGACGTAGAATTTGCAGCTCCTTCTCTCGATCAATCAAGTGATCGACCTGGGGACCATAGATGCGAAGCAAAAGCTTTCTGTAGTGTATTAGTGGAGAATCCTCTATAACACTTGACATGTCATGACTTACGGTGGGGGCCTTCTTGGGACTATGGAAGAGCTGCTGCTGGACGTAAGAGGAGGCTGATTCTTGGGTGGTCCAACCACGTAGATAGCATTCGTCATAGCTCCACTGAGGCGAACGACTTCGATATCCCCAGCATTCTCCATTGAGACTTTACGCCAACCCCGCAGTTGTAGCGTATGCGCCAGGCGCACGATTTCAGTCTTGAAGGTGATCCAGGCCTCCCGACCTTTGGCGCCCTTCAAGGAAGAGGTGCTATCGGCGAGGTCCTCCTCTCCCGCGCCACCACTGTAGGCAAGGGTCTTGGAGTTATCGAGCGAGGCATCTACGCCTGGCACAGGAGCCTCAAGGTCGGTATACTCGGATTCAGAGGCAGAACCTCGGCGAAGACCCTTCGGGCGGCGACGAGGGACCCGCTTCGCAGTTTGTCGAGAGATAGCGGCATGTCCCACATTTGCATACTGGAGGAGGATACTCTCCAGTCTGTCCAGTGAAAAGGTACTCTCTGAGCTGCGATGTTGCTCTCCCGAGGACCGTTCCGCAGTCTCAGTAGCACCTTCCGAGGGATTGGAAGCTCCCTCTCCTCGTCGCGCCTTGCGTGTGCTCCGCCTGACCTTCTCATGCTGCAGCCATTCTGAAACCTGGTGGAATAGGTTGCCTTGTAGATCTTCGTCTGTCTTGATAGCTTGTTCGTTGTCTTCCTGCGCCGGGTCAAGCTTGCCGCTCGACTGGCTACTCAAGGCGGAGGGCATCGAGGTGGGGTGAATTGGAGGGCGTGCAGTGGTTTTGGGTAGAGGGACTCGAAGCTGTTTTAAAGTCGATGCGTCGGGAGGAGAAGCAGGGCCTGTTCCGCTCGATAGGGACTTTCGAAAGGAAGGGATATTCAAGCCTGTGCCTGAAATAGGCGGCGAGTCTACCAGGGGGTTAGTCACAAGGTCTAAGGGGTTTTCTTTGTCTCTGCTTCTTCTTTTTCTCGTTGGAAAAAAAAAGCGTTTGGATAATGTGCGCGTCACAGCTCATAACAGGAGAGTGGAAGTGGATGCGAAGGGACGATTCATACAAAGGCGGGGGAAAATGCAAGTCGCGCGGGCATTTGAGAAACGCATTTGGGAGGGAAAGTGTCGACCAGTCGCAGAGGGAGAAGAATAAGAAGGAGAGGCCTACCTGCTGCTGCTGTTGTTGCTGCTACTCGTACTTCGGGGTCGGAGCCAGTGCGATCCTCGGTGAAGGATGGCATGTGCGTTTAGCGGGGCCCAAATTAAATCAAGTGGGTATCAAAGAGTACAGTCGATTCAAGTGATGTTCTGAGGTTTTTCTACCGAGCTCAGCCTCACAGATATCGCAGTGAAATAGCAATCGTGGAGGCGGCGGGGGTCAAGTATTTTTGAAGCGCCGGAGAAAAAAAAAAAGTCGCGGGGCAAGGCGAACCAACACGGAAGCGTCCCAGCGGTCAGGGGAACTTCCAACGGAATCCTTTGGTCTGCACCCAAACTTTAAGCCAAGAAAAAGTGAAGGACACACAAGACAGTAAATCAGTCGATTAGTGCGATAGCTGTCGAGGGGGACCTGTTCAATTAATACCACAAGGAAAGTGGCGAAACCGCGCTTATCGTGTGGCTCAAAAGTGACCCCGTGACGTTGGCGGGTTGGTGGATCTGACCATCCAGGGGCATTTGCATTTGGGCATGTCAACCACTGTGCCCAAGGTCCCTGCACTATAATTGCGGTCTACTATCGTGAGTAGCCCGATCCAATGGGCCCACTAGCTCAGGGCGATGTGGTATCACCCGTGATAAGAGCGTGGGCTGTATTCCCAAGGGTTCCAAAGCCATCCATGGCCATCCACTTGTACTGTCTCATGTGGGATGCCCTCCTGAATCGTGGAGTCGGCGGGGGTGGATGCCACTGAGCGAACGCGATACTATCGATACAGAGGCGCAGATGGCTTTGTTTCTTCATGGTCGCATGTGGGAGAGGACAAAGGATTGGTTCTTTGGGGACGCCATAGGAAGCTTCTTCATAGCCACTAGCATTCCGCCAGTCTATTGGGGAGATGGTCGACCAGTAGTGGTCTGTGGTCTGGGGGTATAGGGGAGCGAGGTGACCCGTCCGGAGCTGGAGATTGTGGAGCCGATCCCTCAAACATTGGACGTGAGTATCATATCAACCGAGGTCGACTAGTACCGGGTAGCAACTCGAATAGCCCACGGTATTCGATGGATAGACCACAATGCTGAAGACGAGAGAGGTTGTAGTTGAAGCAAATGCACGCGACTGCACCTCTGGTGTAATGAGGGGTGCTAAAATTACCATACACGTATCCTGGGTGACCAGCGCCGCCTGATGGTTCGAGTATTTTACCATTTGGTATTGATGGAAATTTAAAGGAAAAAGTAAACATTTACATATACACGGTCCAGGAAATAAATAGAAGTATAACCAAAAGTTCATAAAGCTTCATCATTTTCGTGATTCTTCAAGTCCAAGTTCATGTTGGAGAATGGAGGTCTGGAAAAGGTATTGACTTCTGCTTCAACTGCATTCGTCCCTCTCCGTCGAAATATCGCAATGAGTAGTGCAACCAGTTCAAAACTTTCCCCTTCCCATCCAGTTCCGACGAGACGCCGAAACTGCATGTACGATCGGTGGCTGCCGGTATGCATCCTGGCTGGGCGAGCAGTTGCTTCACCTCAGCAGCACTACGAGCTGTTGTTGCAGGGTTTTCCTCCAAAGTGACAATCACAGCCACGGCATCCGCGGCCGGGCCACACATGAACAGTCCCTGCGCCGGTGGGGCTTGTGAGAGGAAATGAAGTGCTCGGCGACGAAGTTGTGGAAATGGACATTTAAGGGCTGTTATGAAAAGAGGAAGAAACACGCCCATCTCGAACATGAAAGGGGGCTGTTTCTCATCGGCGAGACGAGTCGACGCAATCGCAACTGGTGCAAGATCAAGGATCTGAGCAAACTCGGCTTCGTAGGCGTCGTATGCTGTCTGATCTGGATCAAGACACGTTTTGATCTCGATCAAAACGCTCGTATAGGTCATAAGAAGGAGTGCGATGGCACCGTCGTTGCTCACGACATTGCCAGGGAGAGTTGATATTTGCATGCGCTCCAAAGCATGGAAAAGACGGTACCAATGCTCAAGGCGCTCCGCCAAGTGATTCTGTCGAGCCACAAGCACTGGTGACCGATTCCGGCGGGCGTCATGCGTTTGTTTCCAATAGACCTTTGCATCGACATCAAGGGTTTTCATCTCTGCGACGATCCCACACAGCACATTCCTCGCATCGTCGATGGACGCAAAGCCAGCGTATGAAACTGTTGGATTAAGATCCCAACAATCGTCCGGTTTTTCCTCAACGATGAGAGCCCACGTTCCCAACCGGCGGAATATGGGCAGAAGAAGAGATTTCATAGGGGCCGATTGTACGCCGAGCACCATCCGCACCCCCTGTTTATAAAGATTGACAGCTGCTCTCCTGTTTCCTTGTAGAAGCTCAATTGCGATAAAAAGAATGCAGCTAATCAATGAGACATTCAAGTCAGCAGAGCCTTGCTCGATGCGTTGCTGGAGAGCAGCGAGTGAGCGTGAGTACCAAACAAGCGCCTCGCGATGATGGCGTTGCCGCACTACAGCTGGATCATTGATCATTTCCATGGCTGGCGACTCATGGATAGGAGGCCGCTCATAGAGGGTGCTTAGCGAGATCACTGCGTCCCAGACCGCAGGTTCCAGGCGGCAGATCTGCAGGACAGAGCCTCTCCAGAAAGAGACATCGAGAACACCAGAAAGCGACGGGCCAGCTCGATGGAAGTAGTACTCGAAAGCGCGTCTCTCTCGCGATCCTGAATGCGACGACAATGTCAATTGCAATGGGAGTAAAGGTTGTGTGGTCCTTGGTTTGGAGGCAGTGCTGTAATGACACTGTCGACCTGTGCTAATGCACCTCGCACAATGTGGTTTTTCTTCCCCACAGCGAACACGCCGGATCCTGTGAAAGGTGTTTTAGAGCTGTTTCGTAGAAGAAGGCATAATTTTGTATCGAGACTCACTTGCAGGTGTTGCAGCCGGTCTTAGACTTGGTGCTGCCAATACGGCCAGACCGCTTCGTTGGAGGATTCATGGCGGAGAACAAGACTCGACGAGTCAGACCATCGAGTCCCAGGGCTGTATCTATTCCTGCATACTCTGGGTAACCAAGGCCAGGGATCACACCGAAATTCAGCAGCAGCCGTCAGTGTGGTAGAGTGGCATAACGCGCCAGACTTGGATGTCTTTTCAGCTATCGTAAAGGGGGTTTTGTTTCGTTCGATATCAGGTTACGTCAGCTTTAACCCCAAGCCGCGACCTCGTTCGATAGCCTGAATAGTTACGAAAACACACCTCTCCGCGCTCGGAAACTTTTCTTTTTTGATTCAACCTTCGGTGCCGTCTGTTTCATTTGTCTTTTCATTTTCATGCTTCGTGCCTCGGCTGAATAAATACCAGCTACCATGGTAAATTTGCATGTATCTCTACAATCGGAATTTGCTTAATTTTGATCATTTTGATTATGACTTTACATTTGAGATTTTTATTTAGGAACCGTATAAAAAAATTACTTGCGACCGCTGATGGGTGGCATGGTGGAGTGGTCTACGGCGCGAGTAGAACTGAGGAGATCAGATAGTAGTTAGAAACACAAAGTCGAGTAGGTTTTTTGTATTTGCTCAAGAAACGCTCATCATATCGTAATAATTAAAGGAGAGGATCGCTATGAAGACGTGAAAGGGGGGGATATAAGATTCCAAAGAAGACCGAATTGTGAGTTTGTCTGGCCAGGTTCGGATTCTAGACCAAGTTGCAATCACGCCTTGTGGATGGTGAAAGGTCCCTCGGCATTGAACAGGGTGGGCATCTATCAGAATACAGTCAATATATGTCTCTCCCGCAATTAGTAAGAAAGGAGCAGAACGTACCTGGGGAGCAGTGTCGAGACCGGTACTGAGTCTCAGGTACCACACGTCCTGGTTCTTCACATTTGGCAGCTTTGCAGGGATCTTGACATCGAAGGCATTGGCATTAGCCGGGATGTTGTCGGCAATTTTGATTTGCTGGTCAAAGTTGATGGCATCAAGATTGCGGACGGGGTTGTTGTACAGCCAAATACTGTACTTGCTAGTCGGGTACTTGGTCAACGGGTCGCTGCAGTGTGTAGTCGGCTGGCGGTTGAAGCGGATGTGGACGGTCTGGCCCTCGGTCACGGTGGCGTGATCGGGAATGCCTTGGAACACGTTCAAACAAGAATAATCACGTTTGCCCCATGCTGTGTCAAATTAGCCTCGAGTGGTTTGTCGGAATGTGGGCCGATGGCTGGGTTGGGACTTACGCTGGTTCTTGTCGAACGCAGCTGTTGCGGTGGCAGCGAGGACAGAGGTGATGATGGCAGCAGAGAACTTCATCTTGGGCGATTGATGGTAGAAGGAAGTGGTAACTGGAAGAGAAAAGAACGGTAGTATGAACAATTGAGCTAAATACGAGGGGTCTCAGGGGGTATTTATACCCTATAAATCCAAATATAGCGTCAGGTCGGCACCCTCTTTCTTCAGCAAACCTGACTGACAATGTTTCACTTTGCTAGCTCCACAATTGCCACGATTGAGATGATCGTGGCTTGGCGCCACTGGGGTGATCAGCAGGGTCAACAGGGTCCGTCGTGCCGAGCAGGTCGCATGAGCTGACTTCAGCTGCGTAGAGGAATACCGGGGCGCTGGAGATCGTATTGAGAGACACCAAGAGATACTAGTAAGCATCTCGTGATCTATGAGCTTGAATATACGATATGTACTTGGTTTCCATCAGCTTTGTTGGTGATGTTGGGAAATATTCTCTCCACAAGGCCGATGCTTCCACGCACAGACAGTGAATCGAAATGATCCTGCAGTTTAGAGCACCTTTACCAGTCACAAACTCATCGATAATTTTGGGCGAATTCCACCAACAAATAAACCTGCATGCAAGGCTTTATTTCTGCATAGACAGGATACCTTTAGGCCACTTAGATTCCTCACAATCAGCCATGGCGAGCAAGGCCTAGGGTAGAAATTATGGAACCCGAGGGGAAGTTGAAAAGGTAATTCTCAATATTGTACGGAGTGCAGAGTAGTATGATCTAGATATTGAAAAAGAAAACCTGAAAGCGTTTAATTTCTCATAATGAAAGTGACCTCACAGCTTGGCGTTTGACTTGACACCTGCAATGCACTCGATTTCTACGTCGGTTCCCAGCGGCAGCTCCTTCACACAGACGCAAGTACGTGCCTGTTTTGAGTCAGCTAGTGTTGAAACACCCCAAGTAGTGTTTTCAAGTACTGCCTGGTAGTAGGTAGAGTGAGAACTCACTGGCATAGGCTGTGAAAATGTAGCAGCATATACTTCATTGACAGCACCAAAGTCACTCATGCTAGTCAAGTAGATGTTGCACTTGACAACGTTGTCCAAGCTCGTTCCGGCTGTCTCCAGCACCGAGCGCATGTTGGAAAGAATTTGACGCTATAGATGAATTAATATGGTGTTCAATTCAAACCCTTCCAAGGTTGGAAATATAAAGCGCACAGTTCGGTCTTGGATAGAGCCTTCAACCATAGCTCCAGTATCAGCTCGGCAGCCAACCTGACCGGAGCAAAAGAGAAAATCCCCCATTTGAATGGCCTGCGAGAGGAAAGGCGGAGGTGCCGGAGCGCCGGTAGACTTGATGGCAGTTTTGGGGATGGACATTGTGGGTGGGATGACCGGCTGACTTCAATTAGCTGTCAAAGAAATGTAAGATAAGAATTAGGAAGTTTCAGTTGGAAGACAGAGGGCGTAGAGAACTGATAAATAACGGAGCGGAGAGAGTTTGGGGGATGTACGGTACTGGTATTATTAATGCGGAGTGGATATTTTCGAAGGGCGTACGATTAGGGCGTGGCCCCGCACCAACCCCGCCTTCCTACGAGTACTTCTCGTACTCGTAGTAATTGTTACCGTACACTCTGCGAACGGAGCTTGTGGATTCTGTAGTTACTCGTCCTTGTACACGGAATATTCTATTTTAAAGCAACTTCTATATGTAAAGGTACATTACTTGCCATTGTTCATAGTGAAACCACTTTTAGCCAGTACGAGTTGAGCAAGGGAAGAGTTTGCCTCGCAGTTAAGACCCATGGCCCTGGCACGTCGAACGATCCAACCATTGATGTACTGGATCTCGGTACTCCGGCCCTTGAGAATATCTTCTCGCATACTGCTAGAGTTTTGAGCAGTTTTTTCAATCGTATCGCGCAGAACAGATTCCAAAGACTCCGTCGAGAAATGATCTCGATCAAGGGACAGTTCCTGCATTTCGGGAAGATTTTGAAATACAGACGAGGCCTCTGTCAGAATCTGTCGTTGCAAGGGCTGAATATCGGCATTGTCTTTGATGCGCCCGTTTCGCACGTCAAGAAGTGCCGTGAGAGGATTCAGCACACAATTAGATGCCAGCTTCAAAAGTTGAACTCGGAATAAATCCGGCCATTCCATTTTCTCACAGTGAAGAGCAGTAGGCTGAAGTAGAGTATCTAGGAGATACTGGGCTTGTAATTGTTGTGCTGTCTGTTTGTGGCTGTCGACAACCCCGAGTGATGCATTTCCACTTGTACCGGACAAGATGGCTTCCACCGGAGACCGCAGATAGACACCATGGCGCATGATTCCAAGCATGTAGGTGGGCCTACTAGAAGGGTCAATAAAGACATGCTGGTTGAGATCCTCGATTTGACCCATGCCATTTTGGAACAAGCAGATGGTTGATTGGGGTCCAATGCGATGCCGAAGGGGCTCCAAGGCGGCGACTGTCGCCGAGGCTTTGACGGCAACGATTAAATTATGAATTGGGTCAGAAGAGGCTGAGCTACCCAGGAGCTCGGCATTAAATCCACCTCGCTCGTCCAAGGGGCCATCTTCACCAACACGGAGACCGAGCTTCCATCCATTAGATGCGAAGTCATCGTATAGGCTCTTTCGATGGGCAAGCAGCGTCACCGAAGGCGGGATTGGTAGAGATCGGAGAGAATGGGCGATAAAAGATCCAATACTGCCCAGCCCTAGAATGTGAATCGAGTGGGAAGGGGACGGCATCGCGAAGAACACCGAATACTTGCGAGGGGAACTTGGTGGTGGTTCGGTTTGGAGCGGGTTAACCTGGCGGGCCTCGGTGGGGCGGGCGCACAACGCGAAGTGGACGACATTACATACTCGTACATACTCATCGCATTACTTCTCTTATTGGGAACAATTATCCACAAGGAACAACTTGCAGTAAGGAAATAAAAAGTTCATATGAACGAAAAATGCGAAAGAAGCTGACTTTCTCCGCAGCCACTATTAGTAGTAGTAACACATCGCAACGACCCAACTTCCCAACTACTCGTATGCCCCCCCCCCTAAAATCATACTCAATACAACTTGAAGAACCACGAATATTGAGGCTCAAGGAAATTCCGAGAGTGAATATGTAGACCGACTCTAAGCCGTTAATGGAAAATGAAACCACGAATCGATTAGTTGACGGCATGCTTCTATGCGGGGTCCAAGCTGGTTCCGCCAGTCAGGAGCCCTCGCCCGCAGATCGAAGGAATTTCCAAGACGCTAAATCAATCTTGACCGAGACGAGCTGAAATTTTGCCTATGTCACACTGCCCGTTTGCCTTTGAAAACTCACAAGTCGCGCTCACAGCTCGTACAGAGCCTCCCAGGTCGACCCTCTGCTGCCATGGAGATCAATTTAGACTTGCGAGGCGTTCTCAGACCCACGGTGCCCCAGGATATTCCATCCAGATCATTATCATATAGCGGGTAAGACATTCGCAAACCCCTCCGACTTCAAATCGGTTGACAGCAAGAAGATGTTGGACATGCCGTGAACGCCGGACGAAGTGTGATGAACGGCCCGCCGCCTGTAGGAGGTGTGAGGATGCGAAACTTGTCTGTGCTGGGTACGACATTAGATTGAATTGGGCCGAGGGGGTGAATCGAAAACGGTCGAGACCGGGTGGCACTCGAAGGCGCATCAAGCCAGGTCGGTCTGATAACCCAATTGTAGGAGTGTATGAAAAGTGCTAAATTGCTTGCGCGACAGGAACAAACTTATGTCAGACCATGACCGACAAAGAAGTTACGCGGGCCCTTGCTTTAATCGATAAGCCCATGACAGATCAATCGAGGACCACCGGCCCATTTTCGGTCTTTCATGTTCAGTCTGAGCACGGCCAGTCTGATCTACAGCCGGGCTTCTGGTTTCTCGGGGAAGCAGAAAAGCCACCAGCTCAACGCGACAACGAATTTAGTCAGAATAAAGATCTTGGACCTGCAGCAGAACAGCATACCACGTTTGAGGTTGATGATCCTCGGTGGATGAGCCTGTCATTGACCAGAGGTCTAGATATACTCTTTGAAGACTCTTCTATAGCTCTGAACGAGAGAAATGTTCATGAGATAGAGGATGAATCAGACAACTCCAACGAAAGCTCAATAACACCAACCCAAAAAGGGTTACTGGACAAGACTATTTCCCATACTAGTGGTGATTATCCCGCTAGTTGGAATATCGTGGGATCTACAGCCTTGATTCGTCCAAGAGATCATGTGGCCCAAGAGATTGAGTCTTCGATACCCCTCAGGCACAATGGACTTGCATTGCAAATACCAAGCACCATGAAATTGGGGGCACCATCAAACACTCTTTCCTACAGTCTCGGTTATCCCCAAATCAAGGATCCTTCGATAAATATGCTCATCCATCACTATACAAACAACATCGTCCATTTGATGCAGCCTGTCTCCCACAGGGGAAATCCTTTCCAAACATTATATCTCCCCCTTGCCATTGAAGGATCAAGTTTCACTGAAACTGACCAAGACTCGCAAGGGATATCTTCAGCAACGGTTGCTGTATTTCACAGTTTGCTGTGCTCTGCGGCTACCAACCTACAAGGCCTAGGGTCTAGTGATAATGGACTTCAGCAGCTTGCATGCTGCCACAAAGAGCGGGCTCTAAATGCACTGCGAAACTCACTGGTCAGGAAGGTTGGCCGGTACAAAGACTTAATGGTAGCCATTTTGTCTTTGGTATCTGTTGATGTAGGTCTCCGATGATATCTTCAAGATTTCACTCCTAATATATGCGAATTTTTAGATTCTCGACGGTGGTGTGAACGATCATTGGATTCATTTAGATGCCGCCATCAAACTTCAAGCATCACGACACCACGCAAACCTAGTCAGTCGAGAGACCAGTCAGCTTAACATGATATGCACCATGCTTCGACTTTTTGCCCAGACTGCACTTCCGTGGTCGGACCCAACTCCATGGAATGATGATGCTGACCCCGATCGGACGGATCATGACTTTTCGGATCCGAGCATTGAATACATTTACGGCATTACGACGAATCTTGCCAGGCTTATAAAGCGAATATACGAAATAACGCAGCATCTTGCATTTTACAAGGGCAGAGAGTACCCCACCACTCTCCTAGCAGCTTGCGAGGAGTTGGGAGATCATCTGAGTTCTTGGAATATTGATTCAGAGCCATTCTCAGCGATAGGTACGGAGAGGGAGGATGCACGACAGGTCGCCCGGGCGCAGTCAAGGGCATTCCATTCTGCTGCTTCGATCTACTACTATCGATCTGTCCAGAACTGCAAGCGGGAATACCTCGGCACAGAGCAAGAAAATACTCTCCTTGCCATGAACGAGGCTGAAGACCTGAAGATCCGTCTGATTAAGGGTAGCTCTGCCCCAGCTCCACTCACATGGCCAGCCTTTATCGCATCATGCGAGGCGATAGGCGAGTATCGCCAGCGATGGAATGAGTGGTGGGCTCGGGTTGAAAAATATCGCCTGAAGAACTTTTCGAAACAGCATAGTATTGTGCAACAGGTATGGAGCAAGCTTGATAGATCAGGATCCCCCACAGATTGGCGCGACGTGCTTGCGGAAATGAATTTCAGGATCATTCCGGTGTAATATGATAATAAAATGGGGAATGGTGATACGATACATAATATGACAGACGTAAAGAGCAACGGTTTCTGAGACGATTCTAATACCAAGAGCATGTTCAAGTTCTGACCTAGGCAGCATCTTCGGAAATTGTAATTGATCTTCCATGGCCATGCCAGCTCTAGTATCCCTCAGTGAATGGATAATGATCTATTACGAACTTGAAAGATATCCGATAGTATTTACCAGTAAATCATAGATGCAGATTGCCCTGAAGCTTGCGGTTTACAAATCCCACTCTCATGGTTAATTTAAGGTAGAAGAGATAGAATAAAAAACCTAAAATGAATTTATAAGATTCGTGTAGTTCTGAACCTTTGGGTTAAATTCCATCGCTCAATGTAGGCTGAATGTATGCAACCGAAATCATGTGGTCTCGTCTAAAGGGGCATTGATCCTCAGTCATCAATCAAAGCTGAGGGGAAATGGATAAAAGCGAACCTCGCTCCCCAGTGTAGTAGAAAAAAGCAATAAGAAAAGAAAGGAGAAAGGAAGCTTAGTCGTGATAGGTCACGCTGACGACACCGAATCCCTGGCCCAATCCACTATCTGAATTGTGCAGGACTAGGTTGCCCAAGTTGTCAATGTCGAGATACTCGCCACCCTCGATGTACCGCAGAGTATAGCCCAAGCCATTTCCGAGGAAAGTAATGCGGATCTGTGAAGCAGAGCTTCGGGCCTCCGGGGCTTGCAATTCTCCACGAGGTCCGAGCCAGCGACCGTCAAGTGCGTTCTCGAGCGTGAAGATCTCGCTCTCTTCATCTTCGGTGTAATGCAAAATCCAGCGACTTTCCTTTTTGTCGTAAAGATGACCTGGTTTACCTGTGTCAAGATCCCATTTCTTGTTTTGTGCTCGCAGAGCGTAGCCATTTTTACTGAAGACCAAATAACGGCCTTCAGTCAGATATCCTACAACCTCCTTGTAGCCATCCTCGAAAAAGAGGGAATCGGAGAGATTGCTCTGCTCGCCGTATGGAACCGGAGGGCGTGTCTGACTGTGTCGCGATTGGCAGCGCGATGTGCCCACAAAGTTGCCATTCCCATCGGTCTCCGGAGTGGGGATATCCGGAAGATTGGGTAGGGAATAATCGGGCTACATACGTTAGTTCAACCGTATTGTATAAGAGAGGCTTTTTGGAAGCCAAGAGAAAGGAGGACATACGTGATCAAGATCTAGAGCGCTGATCAGGTTCGACATGTGGGCACGACGCCATGGCACCATTTGGTCGGTTTGAACACCCGAGTAGCCGAGAGCAGTCAGCCACTGCTCAATGAACATAATTTGTGAGTTGTGATCGCAGCGCTCAGTGAAGACACGGCCACCACGAGTCCACGGAGAGACCATGATAAAGGGAACACGAAAACCTAAACATTGGGTCAGTAACTAATGCAGAATGCAACTGTTAGAGCTCATGTACGCACCGGGCCCTGAAAAAACATCGCCAAAGTCTCCATATGGGTCTGTCATCCACTCTCCAGCCGTGCCTTGGGGCGAGTGGAAAGGTGTTACATGATCACCAAAGCCACCAGTTTCTGGGAGTTCTGATTAGTAGTTACTATGCACAGCCAGGAATGTGACTTACCGTCAAAGCTAATCATCAGCAGAGTTGAAGAGTACTTGGGGCTGCTTGTCACGGCATCGGTAACTCTTTTCTGTAGCCAGCCACCGTCCATTGGCCGGTAAGGAGGATGCTCGGAGAGCTCAGTAGGGCCGACGATGAAGCTGACTCTGGGAAGAGTGCCGTTGGCAGCATCCTCGTAGAACTTCTCGAGTCCCACGAAGGACATTCCTTTATCAGCAAGAGGGTTGCCCTTCTTGGCTTGTTGAAACTGCTGGAACCAAGCCAAGGGGTTGTCGTCAAAGTTGTTGGTGTCTTGGTACAGCTGCCATGAGACACCGGCATCCTCATAGAATTCGAAGATGGTCTTCCATTTGAGGGGATAGCAGCTGACACCCGGCTTTTCACAACCTAAATTGTTTAGTGATGAGCCAGATGGGGTCTTCTGAGTATCACTTACCAGGCATTTCATTGTTGTCAATGTAAACGCCGCCCTGGTCAGGTGATTGAGGCCCCCCCCGGGACATTGATAGAACCACTGATTAGGGTCACGCGGTTGGGGTTGGTGGCAGTGATTTGAGATTCCTATAATGGATCAGCTCGGGTATGTTCATAGTCTGGGAGTGATCCTTACCTGATACATATCGGCGGAAGTCCATCCTTCAGCAATGGCAAACTGGGCAGGGATATCTTCGCGCTTGTAATAGCCCCAGCTCCATGGCGTGTTCTTAGTTGCCCAGGCATTGTTCAGACCGTGATTGTAGGCAGCCTGGTTAGCGTGATAGCCGTTATCACCGGCCGCCATGCACTGGATGGCATCCAGAGTCTCGCCGCCCTTCCAACCGAGGTAGAAAGGAAACAGGCCGCTAGACCGGTCGGACATGTTGGGATCAACAGTTCTAGTGGGTTTGTTAGAAGCAGATTCTATGTATAGATAGTTCTTGAACTTAACTTACTGGTTCCAAACAGATTGTCCATCGGGGTTGATCTGGACGTTAGGATCGGCGAAGCCACGAACACCCGCCATGGTGCCATAGTACTGTGATTCATCCAGTCAGCTGGGGAGGTTTATCTGCATTCGAAAGAGGGCAGGTCTACCGTATCCTGGGCTCGATTCTCCTGCATGAAGATCACGACATGCTCGATATCCTTGAGGGAACCAGCATTGACGGACGAGCTCGCCAGGAGCGCCGTGAGGGCAACTCCGAGGAGAAAACCCATGCTGAAAGTGTGATTCTGGATGAACCTTGGGAAAGGAGTGAAGTTGGAAGCTTGAGGGAGCGGTGAGTATTTAAGGAGGAAGACAGGAGCTTCCTATGTCAAGCTTCGATTGACGATCGATGATCAGAGATCGGGTCGAGCCGAAGAGAAAAAAAGAAGGAAGTGAAATGGTAGTATCAAGGTAGCAGGTGCCACGATGATAGGTTAGGAGGGGGATGCAAGAAGCAAGAAGTACAGTAGGATGACCAAATGGTATCCCTCGATTCGAGCATGTGGAGAGCGGAGATGCAAAGCTGCGGGGATGCCCCACGTGCCTGCCCTAAGACTACGCCAAACACGCTAAACCACGCCTCTCAAGACCCTGTCGACGTAGTGTCTTGATGAGGGACTTCTTTCAAAGCTAGGTCATCTTCATCCTTGCCTACTGCTGTGCTGTGTGGTTCAAGACAAGCAGTCAAAGCGGCTTCGAAGCTGCGGGCGTTGCAAGTGACCTACGCCTCCTGCCGATCCCCTTGTCTCCCGCCACTCGCTGCATGTCTTTGCCCTCCGCAAGGGCCGGGGTCCATGCGGTAATCTTAAATCATCCGACGTCCGACGTCTGAAATTGAGGGTCTCCCTCTTCAGAATCATGGAAAGACAAAACAGTCGGCGTCGAAGACCGCCCCGCACCCAAGACTCCCAGCAATCACCCCAAAAGGCCACTTCGTCGGAACCGAGCTCTCGCCCGTTGCTTAACTGGGTTCTGATCACTCTCTTCGTGTTGCTTTTGGCATATTCGCTTCGCCCGGATATCTACCTGCAATCATGGATCGGTCCACTGCTAGGTCATGGTCATGGCCATGGTCATGGTCATGGCCATGGCCATAGTCATGACGAGGAAGCGTCGATTCGGCCGTACATCGAATTGCATCCCGAGGATCATGTGTTTCGTGTTCCCGTTACACACCATTTGGATTGGCGCGTTACAACGGACGAACGCAGGCCTGATGGCGTCCTGAAGAGAGTCTTTCTCATCAACGGTGAGGCTTCCACCGACGGCGATGTTCCGCTCTCTAGCGGTCGCCTGATGAAGGGAAGGTTCCGCTAATAATTATCCCTTCGTTTCATCCCATAGATTTGTTTCCAGGTCCCACCGTCGAGGCTCGTTCAGGTGATACATTGATCATCACCGTTACCAACGCCTTGTCAGAGCACCCGGTCGCTCTTCATTGGCATGGTCTTCATGTAGCGAGTGAGTTGGCTGTATCGCCTAGAGATTGACCTCGTTTCGGCAGCTGACAGGCCATAGATTCCGTGGATGGAGCAGCGGCGGTATCCCAATGCCCCATATCTCCTGGTGCCCAGTATGTCTATAACATCAGCATCCCAGAAGACCAGAGCGGAACGTTTTGGTATCATGCGCACTCCGGGTTATCGAGACAGGATGGTTTGTTTGGCGGGTTGGTCGTTCATGCACCCGCGTCCAAGTCGACAGTCCGGGGGCTGATGGGTCGAGGTGGAAGCGATGCTGATCGATTTGGGTATGAGAAGGAGCATCTGTTGCTCATTGGAGACTGGTATCACCCGCCCGCAGAAGATGTTCTAGCTTGGTACCAGGATCCAGGAAATTTCGGGAACGAGGTTTGTCCAGTCGAACAAAAATCGCATATATCCACTGACCATTCATCAGCCGGTCCCAGACTCGTTGCTCATTAACGGAGTCGGCTATTTTGACTGTGGTATGGCTGTACCTGCACGTCCTGTAGACTGTGTCGAGGATCAGACAAAGCCATCGTTTCTTCACCTCGACTTTAGCGCGTCCTCCCGAGTACGCGTCGTCAATACAGGGTATGCACATTGTAAGATCGCAATTGATTGAGGAGTGGCCACTAAAATTATCGTTATAGGGCCCTGGGAGGTTTCACTCTCGTATTCGACCAAGAGAGCCTCGAGCTGCTTCAGGTGGACAGTGTTGATGTGGAGCGACCACAACAGGAGGATGTCAACTCGGCCGGGATTTTGTATCCTGGACAGCGCATGGATTTTGTCCTACGTCCACCCCCCAGAGCAGAGGCAAGGCCATCATCCATGATGGTGAAATTGGATCAAGGGTAAATCTCACTCAGCCTGCTCGTATTCATACTCGTTTTAACTTCGGCTAGATGCTTCAAGTACATGAACCACGCATTAACCCCCGATCAAACCTTCGCCATTCACTACTCAAACACATCCAAAACACTCGATGACGCGACTTCAATACCCATCATCCGCAATGAATTGGACCTGGAGAAAATCCCATCATCCGCTTCTGTCCTCGCAAAACTCCCCGAAGAAGCTGACGAGACACATGTCGTGTACACCAAGATCCAGAAGATGGCCCGACTCCGCAACATGCCCTATGGCTTTTTCAATATGACGATTTGGAAGCCCCAGAGCGAGCCTCAAGTCCCACTCATCGCCCTCCCCCGCGAGAGCTGGGATTCGAACCAGTTTTCAATTACCACGGGGCCTGGCCCAACATGGGTAGACCTTGTGGTCAACAACCTAGATGAAGGCCCCCATCCATTTCACATGGTAAGCACACCGACATTTCTCATTTCTGCCAAACCAGCACCCTGCAATATTGCATCATTATTATTGTTTTTATGCTCGGTTATCCCTTACATCCTCGCTCATGCCATATCACTCGCAGCACGGCCACCACTTTTACGTCCTAGCAACGCACGAATCCACCTTTGGATGGGGCTCATATAATCCCTTTGAAGACGTCATTCCTACTGGTTTCGACCCAGACACCGATCCTGTCCAGCCCTACGACTTGTCTCGTGCCGCACTTCGCGATACAGTCCAGATTCCCAGCCGCGGGTACGCGGTTCTTCGATTCAAGGCTGATAATCCGGGTGTCTGGCTCTTCCATTGCCATATTCTTTGGCACTTTGCTACAGGTATGGCGATGCTTATTGATGTCCAAGGGGACCCGGCCGGACTGGTCGCACATGATACATCTGTGCTTCCAGCGGGAGCACAGGTTTGTCCTGGGTCAGCTTAGGCAAAAAGAAAATAGAAAGTATATAGTACTCTTGCAAGATTTTGATGATTCAACTTGTGTTCATTTTGATCTTATTGTAGGTATAATGTAATGTCACCAAGCCTTTTTAGGCCGACCCATCAAGAGAGAGAGAGAAAGAAAGAGAAAGAAAGTCCTAACGATAATCACAAGGGGAGGAAAACGTGTAGGAGAGGCTGTGAAAGAGGGAGACAATCGTAATCATATGATGGAATGCAAGCTCAAACGCCAGGTCCCAAAAGATACAGGGACTCAGCGCCATCAGAAATTATGAACATAGTAATCAGAAAAGCGACCGTGTCAATGCATCCGATACAAACCAAGACCAGCCCCGCTCGAGATAGAATACACTGTGTTGCGCCAGAGGCCGTCTAAGCGGCAGCCCATTCAAGAACCTCCAGGGCGCAGACGACCAGCACAAGGGTTGAGGGAAGGATCCTATGATAAATAATTAGTACAAACCTTTTACAGAAGTGAAATGGGCGAGGAAGAAGGGACGTACCAGACAACATAGCTCTGGAAAAGAAGTTTAGACATGGCACCGATGTAGACATTGTTGATTTGGCAGATCTGGGCCAATTGCAGTGCCGACGGGGCTCCAGTAATGAGGAAGCAAACAACGATGAAAATTGGGTCGTCGAGAATGCTGATCGGCACAAACTTTGCCATGAGAGCGATGATCGGTGCCATGATCAGAGTCGGTAGCAGCATTCGTGAAATCAGCGCCGCAATAATGAGCTTGCGTTCATCGGCGGGATGTTCCATATCGTCAAGGGCTTCTTCAGAGAGTGTGTTTCTGGCTAGGTTGGCCCCAAGAACCACCAAAATGAGCGGGACGGCTACCTGGGAGTTCTGTTGAATGGCGCTGGTGACGGAGTTGCTAATGAAAGTGCCTTTGTCGAAGAATAGGTGTTGTAAAGATGGGACCGAGGCGACAACGATAGCGACGAGCATTGCCCAGAGAGGCGGGTTCATGAAACTCCATACGCCACGGAAGAAACGGCCCAAGCCGTGGGATGTAGCTGATAGGCCCTTCTGTGTCTTTGGTGGAAGACGATCATAAAGTGCGTTGGTCTTCGCCGCCCATGATTCGCGAAAACCGTGCCAGCGGCGTCGGAAAGATGCCTTCCAGCGGCCTACAAGTGTTTCCTCTGATGCTTGCAATTCCCGCGCAGTGGATTCCACGTCGGGGAATGACAGCATGTCTTCTCCCGTACTTTGGCGCGGTAGGAATGGTCCACGGGGTGGCGGACCGATCGTTCTTGGCGAGAGATCGGAATCGAGGCCGCTGTGTATTGATGCGGCCCTGGAATGAACCGATGAGACCTTCGAGTATGAGTAGGCGCGTGTCGAGATCGGAGTCTGATCGCCTGATTGGAAATTGCCATCATCGTGAATTGGACCATTGGAAGCTCGATGTAAACTATCCGAGCTGCGCGTGCGAAGGAGTGGCTCATCCGGTTCTGTTTGTTCGGGATTGTCGGTATATCGTGCTTGGCCTTGTTCAATGATGGATGAACCGTTCGAGCTCTGGTCAGAATCCTCGAGGTATTGGTCTTTTGGCGCTAGCAGAACACGGTATCCCCAACTCCAACGTACCAGTTGACCTAGCTGCTGGAAGATGAGTAAGTACAAGATACCTCGCGCTGCGACTTCATCGTCGTTATCGTGTGGTATCCTATCCCAGTGCAAGCCTCGAAGGGTCTGCGATAGGGAAACGACCAGGGAGATCGGCAGCGAATTGGAGTTGCCAAAGACCTATTGGAATGCGGGATCAGCGCTGCAACATGTAGAGCTTATCAAATGGCGCGACAACTATCGTCGATTGGAACCAATCAGCGTGACCCGGAGCCCTGAGGTACATACCGCCATCGCCGTAACGAAGTTCGACTTGCGCTTCTTGAAGTGAAAGCATCTGGTGACAGCCCAGGCGCAAGAGTATGAGACTAAGGTCTGAACAATGAAGATCACCGGGATGATCGCCAGGTCTGTGAGTTTCTCCGCGGTCAATTGGGAGCCCAACTTGACAAAAACTGGTTCCGAAAAAGATTGTCAGTAACTCGGTTATAAATGCGACCGGAATTGAGGGGGGCTGTCGCTTGGTTCCACGGCGGAGAGAATTCGGGAGATCATACTCAGACAGGGGGTGAAGAGCATTACGTTCAGGTTTGCGACAAACTTTTGGGCGTCGGCGTCGAAGAGGCCCTGTTGGGCGACAATGTAGCCGGGCAAGCAGACACAGACGACCTCCAGCACGGCCTCGAAGACGAGGAGCAATAAGTAGCCGAATGGAGGGTGCTTGGGCTGGGGGGTTGCCGCTGGCCATGAAGGCGTTGCTGGCGACCAGCGGATCTTGAGCGAATGCATTGTATTGAAAGGAACGGGGAGCGGTAAAAATTGCCATGAAGGCGATAAGAGAAGTTGAGGAGTTCCCAAGAGTTGTCCTGTCCTTGTCCTTGTCCACGGGGACCAAAAGGATGAAGGGGGGGAGGGAGAGAAGGGGAGGAAAGAAAAGCAAAGCAAAGCAAAGCAAGGTGGAAGCTTGGCTGTGGCTATGGGAGAGTTGGCATTCGGTCAGATCATGACTTCAACGATGGCCACGACCAAGTTTATTGGGGTTGTTGACCTGCCTCAACCAGGGTTGCCCTGATTGCCCCCGGTTTGTTTTTGTTTGTCAGGTCCAGGACCATTACGCCATGTGTAACCATGGGCCTGCATTTCGAGAGCTAGGTCCTCAGCAGGATACTCGTCAACTGGTCTACATATGTGCAGATCAGTATTCTTCTTATCCTGTATGACAGGTACAATAAGTACTCCGTACAGCAAGTACAAAGACAGTTCAGCTCGACGCGTCTCGACCCGTGGATCCGTCAATGACGCCATGGGCGATCGACCAATCAAAATGGAGCCTGCCAGCACGGGGTCACCCAATCCGGATGGAGCTGCTAATTAGGGAGTACCCGAGGGTGATACTCCGTACGTACTGTACATCAAGTAGTAAGCATGAAGAATCTTAGATTAGATCAATCATATTGAGATCAAGTAGGGTACCAATGGCACCCATATACTCTATAAGGAAGGTCTGATCTCCGCTCAACATGCTCTAATCAAACATCGCAGAATGGTATATTACAACAAATCCTCCTACTATGTCCATGGTCACACAAGGAGCCATCTAGGCTTCTCCCACAAAGCCCAATTTTTCACCGATCTTGATACGCTGCCCCTTTTCAATGCTCCACGTCCATCCGTCAGACGGTTGCTCCTCAGGCCAGCCCGCATCAACAGATTGCCGAGTCCCCAGGGGTGCCTCAAACACCATCACAATCGAACTTCCCAGCTGGAATCCACCCATCTCCTCACCCCGCTGCAGAGGGTGTCCATTCAGCGTACGGCTGGCATGACGGTATGTTGCCTCCACGAATCCAGGATCCTGCTCGCCTCGTTTCGCAGCCAAGGCTGCCGCCAAGTCCGCCGCCGTGTCCGTTAACAGACTGTTGGTGCGCAACTCTCGGTCAAAGTTGATTTTGATCGAGCCCACATTCGTGGCACCCACCGGTGTGTAACTAAAGAACCCCCATCGCCAGCGACCCAGGAGCGCCACCCGCTCGTTGAGAGTGAATAGACCTGGTAGATGGCGTTGCAGGTAGGGAGAAACCGAGTACAATTCGCCGGCAAAGTGACGACGGCTCTCCACCACCCACGCCGTAGGGGAGTGGAACCGGTGGTAGTCTCCGGGTGCAAGGTAGATCACCACGTAGAATAAAGCATGCTTATTGGCCGTTCGAGGTGCATACCAGGGCATCCCGTCGCCGCGAGCCAGCTCTTCCTGCACTTGCACTTCCGAGGTTGTTTTGGAGGTGGTTGATGCATCCATCGAGCCTCGTCGCTTGGTCGAGGTCTCGCCCGATAGGAGATCAGGGAGGGTGTAGGAGATGCCATTCAGGTGAGCAAACTCCTCATCAGACTTGAGCTTCTCGGCGTCTTTTTGAGTGGCTTCCGCGGTAGAATCAGCGAGGCGGTTGCTGTGGTCAGCGTGTGCCGGCGTAGCCGATCCCAATAGGGCATCCAAACTATAGGTCATGCCCTTCACCTGCTCCACCTCACCACGCTCAATCATACCAAACTGCAGAATACGACCATCGGAAGGTGCGAGCAGGGCTCTTGGGTCAGGGTCGAGAGGTCGCATGCCGGGCTTCAATTTGCGATAAAAGAACGCTGCAAGGTTGGGGTATGTGTGTAGGTCGGGTTCGGCGACCTCGCTCAGGTTGACGCCAAAAACCCAAGAGTATAGTTTAAATCCAGGAACGCGGAAGTAATAGGGAAGTTCGATCTCGTTGAAACGGCCCCAGAGGCGCGACATGGCCTTCAGGGGTAAGGTCGACATGAACTGCACCTGCCAGGAACCGGTTGGTACGATACGTGGGCGACGTGGTGGTCGGCCTCCATTCTCCCATTCCTCGCCAGCGGCATCCTGAGCCGCACGATCACGCTCTGCTCGTTGGGATTTGTAGAATGACAAAACCCCTAAGAGGCCGATTCCGAGACCGACAGGGATCGGGTACCATTCGACCTTGGTGTTGCGCAGGGCAAAGCGTAGTCGGGACCCAAATCCTCCATTTTTGCTGCTGCCGCTGCTGCTGCTCTCTTTCTGATTATCTTTGTTGTACTGTCTCCATGACTTGGAAGAAAATGGCGCATGCTGGCCTGGTGGCGGGCAGTGGCCCTAAACGAAAGGACTTCCATCGTCGCTGCGCCCCCGGTCACCGGGGTGGCGTGATGGAAACGAAGAAGGGGGGAGTTGTGGAGAAGGCGCTGGGCCATCGTGTTTAATCCATGGGGTTCTCGGATCGACACAGAATCGATCTGACCTCGGCGAGGTTTGGCCCCGAATGAACGTGACCAGAAGTTTTGAAACCAGGGGTAGTCACCGCCCGGCAGAATAGCACTAGCACCCGCAGTGGGCACGTGGAGTAACTTTGTACTTCAGTACATATGTACAGTACGGAGTACACTGTACTCAATACTTTACTTCTCTCTGCTCCTCTCCAATTGGTGATGCTTCGTGATTGCGACACGTCTACAACTGCATTTTTATCTGTTGGGCGTCCCTTTTAATTTGTTCCAGAGTTTGTTGGCTAATACTACCAGTCATCGCTCTGTTAACCCTACGCGGGTTACTCCAACGTTGCCCACTATCGCGCTATCAGCCCCGGTTCTTGGCTTTCTGCCAGATCTTCCCAAAGCAAACACCTCCACAAAGGTGCACCCACCATTGTCGCTTCACCAGCAGGGCTTCCTTTGTATATCGTACTCATCGTTGGATTAAATCGCTTCAACCGCCGCCGTCACATCTTCTTCGCTCCTCTCACTGCCACTACGACATGATCATCTAGCTATCCACGTCATCACAAAGCTACAGCTGCTATCAACATGACAACTGATCCAGTCACAAAAGGAGCTTCCCCGATGGCGTCCGACAAGATCACCCTACATGTTATCTCCCCTTCAATCCCCGCCCCAGGGCGATTTACGCTTCACGATCAACCACTCTCGGACACCGTTGCACAAATCAAGGCTCGCATTACACAGTCTCTCCCAAGTCGGCCGGCCCCGACACAACAGAGATTGATCTACCGGGGCAAGCCTTTGACTGATGATCGAGCGAGCTTAGCATCTGTCCTGGGGCCTATCGATGTGAGTATCCAGGTTCTTATCATTTACCACTTACCATGCTATGTTGATCTAACAGCGCCGACTCTAGGGATCCCCATGCTCAATTCACCTTGTCCTGCCTCCAGCTCCAACTCCCACCATAACCTCCTCAACGCCAAGCGCAGCAAATGTACCATCGCACTTGAACCAATACGTGTCATCGACCGGCGTGGCCCCTCAACCGGCAACCTCGACACAGGGAATTCGATACCGGGGGCAGGCGCCTCTTTCCTCGAACGTCATTGGACACGGCTCTCAAGACAGATCGAATCATATTCGGAGCGAGCTAGATGCGATGTTAGAAAGATGGCGAGCCACAGCTCCCTCAAGCTTGGACCAGACTAGTACACTCAGAGAAGAACTCCGGCGTCGGGGTGTTTTGACAGAGGAGATGGACCGAATGCTCCAGGCCAGCTCTTCCCATCAAATTTCACCAGAAATTGATTCGCGGTCGAATTTTGCTCGGTATGACTCCACCTCTTGGAGTCACAATACTACGTCTGCTCAGAATATCAATGACAATCCTGCAAACGCCAGGTTCCCTGCAATGCCTGCATGGAATCCGTCCCCTTCTCTCATAACGACCAACAGCGGTGACCCTGCTGCACACCCACAGGATTCGTCAAGGGCGACCGCATCAGAGCATCATAATTGGGCGATGCCGACATCAAGTTTCAAGCAAACCAACACAAACACTTCGCCAGGCACAGCTTCGAATATTCCATCAGCAAACGGAGCTCAATCGGTCCCTATTGACACCAGTACATTCGCGCAATCAGATCCTTCTTCGGCCCCATACCTTGAGCAAATACAAGGCTGGCAATCTCTTTCTCAGCAAGTGATGGAAATGGAAAATCTGGTCAACCAACACATCATACCGTCTGTAGACATGATGTTCCGAATTCGAACACAACTTCAAAACATGCTGGCAGAAAGACAGAGCCAAAACATTGAAAGGATATATTCCACCCCGCCCAACCATCGCCTTTTCCCTCCGACGGCGGGCGCTGTTGAGGTGATGATGAATCGTGTCACCTGTCTCTACGAGCGTGTCGATCAGATTACCCTGATCCAGCAGGCCCAGCGAATCAGAGTGGGGATGAACAATCCTTCCTACTCGCAGACCGAGACCTCTCGGATTTACCTAGCAACACACCCAGATGGCCGACAAAGCCTGATTCTACCCCCGGACACCACAATTAGGGCCTCGCCCCAAGGTTCTTCTCTCCAGTCTCATGCAACCCCTGCTCCCGATGCTCAGGTGAACCCCAATGCTGCGAACGCCGCCGCCGTTCATCAGGCCGTTCGACAAGCTCTGATCAACCAGCAGCAACGACGAGACGACAATGGCGCGGGTCTTGGACGTTATATACGTCGCGTCTGGATGTTCATTCGCATGTACTTTTTCTGCTACATGATCAGCGATGCGGGTACTTGGACGCGTATCTTCCTCGTCACATGCGCCGTGCTAGTGGCTGTTCTGTCAGATACAGACATTCCGCAGCAGCTCCACGGGGCCATTGTCGCCCCGGTCCAGCGTCATCTCGAAGGTCTCGCTCACATGGGTGGGCCCGCTGATCAATCTAGGCAAAGGCCAAACCAAGGCGGAGAGAACCGTGATAACCCTGCGCCCCAGGGTATGCTTGGCGAAATTTTGCACTTCCTTCGACGCGCGGAGAGATCCATTGTGCTTCTTCTTGCTAGCCTGGTTCCGGGTATCGGTGAGCGGCAAGTTGAGGCACGCAATGCAGCCGAAGCCGAACGAGTTCGTCAAGAACAAGAACAAGAACAAGAACAAGAACGGGAGCGCGAGCGTGAGCGTGAGCGTGAACGTGAGCAGGAACAGGAACAGGCTCAGGAGCTTGGGGGTGAAAATGAGAATGAGCATGAAAGAGAGCAAGCCGGGTCTGATGCCGCCGCTGCCCCTGCTGCTACAACGCAGCTGGAGCAGACTTTTGCCTAAGTTGAGAGATCCTCGCCCCGATACTCATGCGCGCCAGGCACATTCTACGATACCCTATTCAGCATTTGCGTCAATTCTTTCCCATAACCAGCGTGTCTTGTGTCTTCGCGCGTGTCTTACTATCTATCCTACGGGATCTTTTATTTAGCTGTTGAAACACAATAATATAAAAGAAATTCTTCATCATTTCCGCTATGTCAAACATGTATGTCTTAGAAGTATGAACTTTTAGATGCATCTTGCACCATGCGGTAACCCTTCAAACCGTTTTCTTTATTCTCCGATCCACCTTCATCCGCAGCACAGCCGCCAGAACCGTCGCAGCCGTTGCCATTGATCCTGCATAGAAAATTGCCGGTCGATACGCTCCAATTCCACCCTCCTGGCCACCGGAGGCATTGAGAATGTAACCAGCGATAGGGGCACCCATAAGGTAGCCACCCAGCCATCCACTGACGATCATTCCCACCGCAACAGATACCCGCGCGGACCCAAAGACATTACCCACGACTGTCGGCATAGTTGAGAAGAAACCACCATTGGCGGATCCATTAATAATCACGAATGCAACCAGAGGCCCAATCGAATTAGACACCGGCCAAAGGACGAAAATACTGAACGCGCTCAGAAGCAGCGACAAGAACAGCGTGTTCAGCGATCCGAGCTTATCACACGCAAATCCACAGGAGAGACGACCGATGGCTGAGCTAAAGTTGAATGCAGCGACAAGACCAGCTCCTGCGCTCGATGGCAACCCAAGTGAGCTGGTATACAAGGGCAAGAAAAATGCCGGCACGAAGAGCGGGAATGTTCCAATGACGCCAACGGCGAATAGGACCGCAAAACGGACGTCTTTGAACAAGCTCCATTCAACCATCTTGGTGGGCATGATTGCTGCACGCTCCTTGATCAGCCAGGCGGCCGGTAGACCCGTAGCCATGATGAGGAAACCCAGGATTCGGAAGGTCCAGGCGATTCCCACACTTTGAAGCAATGCATCCAAGATGAAACTGATGACGGTGCCACCGAGTCCGCCGCCAGCGTAGACTATACCATTGGCGATGCCTCGTTTAGCTTTGAAATATTGTGCAGGTGTAACGGAGACGACCTAGGCGGATAGTAAGTATAATAGCACAAAAGAAGTGAAATGGTCGAAACTCTGCGAAAGGGCAGACTCACCATAAAGCATAAGCTCGTTCCCAGACCACCCACAAACCCCCACGTCATAAACAATCCCGCAATACTATCCGTAGTAAACCCACTCAGAATACTGCCCAGTCCAAGCAGAAAGATTCCCAGACAAGCCGTGATGCGTGCGCCAATCAGTCGAATCAGTCTCGCGTTAGGAACAGCCAGCAACGAGATACAGGCTGGACAGAGCGAGCCCACAAAGGCCAAGGTCGAGGATGAATAACCTTTCTTCTCTACCAATTCGGCTTGCATGACACCCCACGTATAAGATACACCGACAAACCACCAGGTGACTACCGCGCAAGCAGAGATCAAAACCCATCCATATCCGCCATCGGGAACTTGTGAATCCGCGATGAGAGACTGCTGCATGACCTCATCGGCCTCTGCCTCCGGTTCGGTGTGAGATATCTGATTCCGTTGTCTTTCACCGGTGCTGTGGTGGAGATTCGGCAGTTCGACTGCCGTCGTCGGCATGGTCTGTGTGATCGTCGACATTCCGTGAGGCTCTGCTAATATGATGTTCCTTTTCACGTAAATGGAATGGACGTTGAAAGGATACTGCGAATCCGCAAGGATGGCAAAGAGTTTAAATTATCCTCCAAATCTTATTTGGACTGCATTTTTAATTCTCGTTGCTTTGGGCGCGCCCCACATGTTATCTCACCGTGGGTAGCCGACTTTTGCTCCATCCAAAGCTGCAACTGGTGGAGTCGTGGCGATGTGGATACTTGAGGTGACTCACTGACAGATGCGGAAAGTGGCCGACTTCGGGGAACTGGTAGTAGTACTCCGTTCCATAACTAGTACTAGTACTATTAGGAACTAAGTCTTAATCAGAACAGGATAGATGCATTATTGCGTATGGAATAAAGAATCCTATTCTTGAATCTAAATACTCGGCGAATTTCGCTGAATGGCCAAAACAAAAAAAAAATATAAGTGAAGGACGATAGATCTATCGTTGCATCGATGATGATGCACCATGCATCATCCTGTCTACTCTAGTAATGATCAGAATATCATAAGATTCACTTTCCTCATAACTTTGTCGTGCCAATGGGCGGGTCCGCAGGTGCCATGGAGTTCGTATCAAATCCCTCCTCCCCGTTGAAGTGCCTATCAATCGGAGTAGATCAGTATCAAAATAAGGATATCCGAAGAATCCAAGGGAATTCTCACCATCCTCTTTCCGCGCCTCCACTTAGGAAACTGCAGTCTCCATTCAACGCACAGTCCCATCCACCTCCAACACCCTTTCCATTCTCCCACTCCGGCACACCCTTCGAACGATACAACTTCGTCCCCTCGGCCAACACCCCTCCCCCAACCCTTGCATTCCCACCGGTAGACGTGCCTCGTCGGCGGAATGTACTCATCCCAGCCGTGAACACAAAGAAGTCCTCGACAGAACTATCCTCCGGCATATTTCCCGTCAAAGCCCGACCCATGGCAATAAGCGAAGCTGCATGCGCACAAATCAAAATGGCCTTGCTGGTTCTTTGGTCAGGAGATTGACTTGCTTCCACGGCCGTGATCTCGGCATCCACGTCGGCGATTATTCCCTCCAGAGCTGCGGCGACACGGTTGTGTAATTGGGCGATTGTTTCGCCTCTTGTCGATGGGTGGATCAGAGGCGAGTACTTGTTCTCTGCAGTCTCGTGTAGCATTGTTGGGAAATGGGTGCGCATGACACTTGGCTCAGGGTGTGGTGGGTGATCGAAAAACGTTGTTGGGCCGAACCATTCTCTAAAAACAGTGTGAGTTCATGTCGGGTGAGGGTGAGGGTGAGGGCGAGGTTGAGGAGTTCATTGTCCACCCATACCCTAGTCCATTTTCAAGCCGGACGTCCATATCTGCGCTTGGTTCAATTTGACCACGCGATGGCATTGCGGATTTTCCGTCCTGAGATTTTATTTCCTTGTGCTTCTGCTTCAGCTCCTCAACGGAGGGCTGGATAGTCTGCAGGCATCGGTAAAACGGACTTGAATAAATCCTGAACGGCTTAGGGTGAAAGTCTGGGGCAAGGATGTGTGCTGCCAGCTCTTCCGATTGTCGAACACCATGCGAGGTCAATGCTGGATCGGCGGGGTTTCCTGTCGGCGTTGGAAACTGTGCTTTGTAGATGCCGGTGCGGTGATCAATCGTCCAGTTGAGACGATGCTGGAAATTGACAGTCAGGCACAATTCGGATATAAACCACCAGACATGCTCTATCTTCTTAGTTTAAACTCACCCCGTGGCGAGTCAGGTATATTGTGTCTAGCGGCATTGTGGTTGAACAATCAATACTAGTAATGTCCAAGTCCAAGTCGGTTGGGCTTTGCGGGGAAAAGGGAAATGGAGGGCAGAATGAGACTCGGGGGGGTGGGCGGTGAGATTGGGCCTCGGTCCGGAACTAAACAACACTCCCAGGGCTGCTGCCATGAAATATCATGATGAATTCCAATTTTAATAACCTTAGAATAATCAATATACTTGGTAGGGTCTCACAGGATCTATGAACTTATAATTATTGCTATTTCTTGGCCAGTCTCTAAGCTTGGAAATACCTAAAGAAGCGTTGCGGTCCACTGGCGTTTTCTAGATATATACCTAGGTACTCCATGCCAGTGAAACTAAGTAGCAATTAGTATCCAGGGGTTCCAAGGTCCCCAGGTAAAAACTTGAAGGGTATTGGCTTTATTTAAACCGTTTATCTCTAGCCTTTCCTCCAAATATACTCAAAATTTGTCAAATACCCGCTGCCGAAGAGCCTAGTCTCAGCCAAGTGTCCTGGCCGTTTCAGGGTATACTAGAACCGTTTCGGGTGCTCCGCTAGCCAAATTCGCAGGACCGAAGAACTGTCCGGCTTTACGTGAATAATCAAAACAAAACAGAATCTAATCCATTTTCAATATGGTTAGTGGTACTGAGGGTCTGTTCAAATTTATTTAAGCCTCTTCTAAACCCTGCAGACCTCTGCCAGCGACTACAGCTTGGAGACTCCCATTTTTTCATATTCCTCAAAAATGAAGATCACATCATCTCTTATTTCCGCAGGTCTGCTAGGAGTAGTACACTTAGCTGCTGCTGTTTCAGTCTCGGGCTCAGCTGAAGGTTTCGCTGCTGGAGTTACAGGCGGCGGCGATGCCGATGCACAGATACCTAGTGATATTGATGAGCTGAAGGAGTGGCTGACCGACGATACCGCCCGGGTTATTGTTCTTGACAAAGAATATGACTTTACTGAGTCAGAGGGCACAACGTCTGGGACCGTTTGTGCTTCTTGGGGAACCGGTGATGGCTGTCAAAAGATTATCCAAGATGACTGCGGAGATTCCCCTTCTTCCCAAGCAACCTGGTACACTGCCGGAACTACAGGCATAGATGTCGGTTCGAACAAAACTATCCTCGGCGACGGAGACAAAGGCATCATCAAAGGAAAAGGCTTGAGATTCAGGGACGGAGTTTCGAACATCATCGTGCAAAATATTCAGATTTCAGACTTGAACCCGGAGTATGTATGGGGCGGCGATGCCATCTACTTTGATGGATCCGATCTAATCTGGATTGACCATGTGACTGTAAGTACTATCTAGACAGGAGATGCATTGCGAATGCTAATAGAAACTCCAGACGGCCCGTACTGGTCGCCAACACTACACTTTCGGGTTCGATACCAACACTCGCGTCACTCTCTCAAACAACTTCGTGAACGGAGAGACCACCTACTCAACCGGATGCGACGGATACACCTACTGGACCTTTGAGATGGTCGGTGATGCGGATGAGATTACTTTGCAAAACAACTACATCTACATGACCGCCGGCCGCAGCCCAGCTTTGAGCGGAGGAACCCTCCTGCACGCAGTGAACAATGTCTGGGATAAGAATAACGGACATGCTCTCGAGGGCGGAGACTCCTCTGCTAGGGGAATATTCGAGGGAAATGTTTGGCAGGATATTACGACCGTTGTTGGTGACTATGCCGGCCGGCTTTTCGTTACTCCTGACTCATCTTCTGCTAGCGAGTGCCAGTCTGCTCTGGGTCGTGTGTGCGAGGTGAATACGGTTCCAGATCAGGCTATTGTATCTTCCTATACAGATACTTCCTTCTTCTCGGACCTTTCGGGGCTTACTATTGCTCCCGCAACATCTGCCACCGAGGCGCTATCTAGTGTCCCGGATAATGCAGGAATGGGCAAGCTTTGAATTTTGTCCTGGGCTTCTGGACGATTTAGTGGTCTGAGAAGTTTGGTTAGAGCTCAGTACCAAGGTGTATTGCACCGGACTACCTTCTTAATCACTCATAGTCCCTTCGATAGCGTTAGCGTTAGAGGGACCCCATCACCAAGCAATATAAACCTATGCCAGTGATACTTTACGCAGGCCTTGTGGAAGTCAATCATCTAGATAATGACTAGGCGACTGATGATCAGCAAGGCCACAAGCTAACCTGTCTTACGTTTCGGCTTCCTACCCTCACCATATCCGAATGGGGTCACGCTCCAATGAAGAGAGAGTAAGCGATAATGTTTAGACTGCGTATGTCTCTACTAGGTGCACCAATGGAAGGGGAGGTTCACATAATGAAATGCGGCTGCGCAGCAGCGACCCCAACTCCTGGTGTCTCCTACTTGTTTTACTAAGTAATACGTTGACTAGAATCGGTAGCATTGGACTGAAGCCATGTACTCTGTAACTATCATCAAGTGGTATATGTCCGCTACATTAGATTACATTCCCAGGGCCCAGCCCAAGCATGAAGAAACCAGTCAAAACAACAACTTTTTATTGAGGTTGGAATTTTTTTCAACAACTTCCATCTAGTAGAAGAAGCCGAGGAGCTTGCCAGCAACGTGCTTGCGGCGAGCCTCCTCGTGATCCATGATACCGGCGGAGGTGGTCAGGACGACGAAGCCGAACTGACGAGAGGGCAGAAGCTGGACAGCCCACTTCTCGACGTCACGGAGCTGGACGGGGTAGCGGGGGTTGATGACACCGCACTTGTTGAGGCGGCCGTTCAGCTGGATGACGATCTTGCCGGAGCGGTGGTCGTCAACCTCCTCGAACTCGCCGATGTAGCCTGAAAGAGGAAAAAAAAGTCAGCGATGTTGCGAAGATTTAAAAGTCGCCAAACACAGCATTGCCAAGAGCGCTTTCGGAAACATGTAAGATCTCCGCTGAAAATAATCTATCGGACACTTAAAAGGCAGACGTCGTAGGTTGATTGAGACCGGCCGCCTAGTTATCAGCCCGACGTCCTCGGGGAGGACATGTTGAAGACAAAAATGGGGTAAGGGGGAAAGATAAAGAGAGAGAGAAAAAAAGATAAAACATGGCAACGGCAACGGCAATGGCAATGCAGTCTTTGTTTTGTCGACTTGGGAGAGGTTGTGGTGGTAGGAACGTACCGTGCTTCTGCATGACAGTGAGGAACTTGACGATGACCTTGGAGGAAGGACGGATCAGGACTTGGCGCTTGCCAGCCTTCTCGGCGTTGTTCATGGCGTTGAGCGCATCGTTGAGGACGGAAGTCTTGACCATTTTGGCGGTTGTGAATTCGAGATTCTCAAATCAAGGAGATAAGATTATGAGGTATCTTTGCGTATGCCGGGTTGTTAAGTCAGCCACCAGTAGTCTGCGAGCGCAAAGAGTGCCCCTTTGCAGGAGTTCTTCAGCCCGTGCCGGGATGGGAGAGGCGTATCATCGTGACCTGCTGCGACCGACTCGAATCGAATCAAACCGAATCAAAAAGCAGTGAAGATTTTGTCGTCTTCGGAGGGGATTCACAGCAAAGTCATGATGATTGCAACTCCCAGACTAGCTGTGAGGCTGGTAGGGGGTAAGGGCGTACATACCTCGAGGATGAATTGGTCGGGGCGTGTCGAGGATGAAAATCTGGCGGAGCTCAATCAACTTTGGTTTTGCCAGGGCCCGCTCGTCGCTGACTGTGCGGGCTTACCTAATGTGATATAGGGCTACGCGGGTATGCCCTTATCTAGTATCACCACGTGATAGAACAGTACAGCCACAGCCATGAGGCAGTCACAGCCACATTTCCCATATTCCGTACTACCCATGGCATCAACCTCAGCCACACAGTAGGTATATTCACTCTTGCGTCTATAAATCCAAAAGTGAACTTCAAGATCATCGCACGGCCTCAACGATCAAGTAGAAGAAGCCAGTTTGGGTGAGTGGCTACACTGCTAGAATCTTGAAATCCAATGCCCTCTGGTGCACAAAAATATCCGATCTTGAGGTCTGTTGAACAATTTAGGGATTGGAAAAAAATGACAGCATTGAAGCTGAAGTGATTCGAACACTTAACCTTTGAAGGATATTGTTATATTGTGACTCAGTATATTGTGCACTTTTGGTGACTGAATCTCAGATGTTGACCATATTTCAATTACATTTACGAATACATCATATCCACTAGAATTGCATCAGTCAATTTTTCCGGTGAACATGAGACAAGGGATAGGGATCCGGGTTCATTGAACAGTGGTCATCTATACATCGGAGTGTCCAGTGCAAGTCTGGGCTGAGGGAAGAGGGAGGAGTATACGATAGAGAGGAGAGGGAGGAACAGCTTTTCATGACGACGATTCTTTTCTGGAAATTGGGAGACATGATTCAGGGGTTACATGATCGGGTGCGTACATGAGTCAATGGGGGAGGATACATGAGGTCTTTGGGCTACATGGCTTGCAATGCTATAGGGATGCGAAGGGGTCTTGTCTAATTAAAAGGCAGGGTAGGAAAGGTGAGGATGGGTAAAAATGGGTTGTATCACAAAACGGAAAGGAGAAAGGAGAAGGAGTTAGAAAAGAGAAACAGCCATAGGGGGGAAGAAATGGATGGGATTTCAGTCGAGGATGTCATCGGGGGGGATTGGCAACCAGAAAGAAAAAAAATGTGCTAGGAAAGGGGGGGGCTAGCGGAGGTCAAGAGCCGGGACTGGGCGAGGAGATAATACGGATAGACCTCCTGGGGGAATTGGGATTGGAAGGGCGTAGCAGTCATTGAAATCCACTGGCAACGTAGGAGAACGTAAAGCAACGTAGAAAATCGACACTCGCGAATGGAAATACCAATCCGATACGAGGGGTAAGACAGCCCGGGACTTTTGGGTTTAAAAGCCATGGGTGCCCTGGGCTGCTGTCCCAAGCCGACACTTTGCTGATCCTAGCTTAGGATCAAGAGTGATGTTGAGGGGCAGCAAGTCATCATCATTAGGATGAAACCTCTCTAGTGCCAGGCTTAAGACATGCCAGCGCCAAGGTTGATTTGGCGCTTGACCTGCTCGCGAGTCCAGCGGGCGGTCTCAATGGTCCGAGGGCTGTACTGGCGGGTGGTACGGGTCTCACGGACGAGAGCGGTGACCCAGTCGTTGCGGAAGTAATGAGCCAGCTCGCCGTTGGGGAAAGAATCGGCAAGATCGCCGAGAACGCCCATGGAGGAACGCATCAGGCCCTCGCTGCGGTTACCCTCCTGCGAAATGATGTGAAGGAGCTGGAAGATGGACTCGATGAATGGTTGGAGCTGAGTGATCGAAGGTGTGCCCTTGTAAGAAAGCAGGATACCACCCCAGGCATCCATGATACCCTCGCGGAGGGAGACAATGTAGTCGACCATGTCGTATGGAAGGTCAGAGCTGGTGGTAACCGAAGAGGCTTGCTGGAGGACACCGCCGACAACAGTGAGGTAAGTGTCGAACTGGGTTCCAATAGCCTGGGCAATGTCACCGAAAGTCTCTAGGATTGCAGGCTTGAGCTGGTTGGTAGCAGTCTGTAATTGATTGTATTAGTGAATGTTCTGTTGGTTCGAGTCTACAGGATATACAACTTACCCGCAAAATGCCCAGAAGCAGGTTCATGAAGTGGTCGCAGTAAGGCTGAACCTTGTCGTTCATGGCACGGGCAATATCGCTGACGAGACCGATGGCCATGGCGCATAGAGCGGGTTCCTCCTGGTTGCCCAAGGCATTGTACAGGAAGGGGCTAAACTGCTCCATGTACTTAACGAAGTCCTCCTCCATAGCGCTGGCAATAGCACCAACGGTGGCGAAGATAACATCAGGGACACTGGATTTGGCTCCAACGGTCTGGAGAACCTGGAGCAGGACAGTCATAATGCGGTCGGCCTGGGGCTTGATGTCGGTTTCGAAGCGCTGGACGATGGCCAGGATGACACTGATCAAGCTGGTCTGCATCTCCTCAAGAAGCATGCGGTCCTCGGCGCTGACGACCTGTTGCTGCATAGGGATGGTCTGTTCAAGGCGCTGGAGGATGACGTCTGAGAGAGTAGCAACCATAGCGAGGCTGTCGTTGGCGGAGTTAAGGACGAAGGAGTTGAGAACCTCGTATCCAGCAGTACGGAGCTGGTTGTCAGCATCCTGTCTGTGGGGGAGTTAGCTACGTTGAGAAGGTGGAGATACAATCTGGAGATACATACCGCTCAGTCACTGTTAGGAGAGACTTGACACTTTCCTCGAAGTGCTTAGACAGGGGGTTGGTCTGGGAGCCGGCATCACCAGCGAATCGGTCGGCAACGTTCATAAGAGCCCAGCAGCAGGAGCTGGCAATCTTGGGGCTGCTGGCAAGGCCATTGAAAAGGCAGGAGATAAGGGGCTGCAGGTGGACCTCGGGATCGAGAACCTCAGGGCAGCAGTCACAGACGCGGCCCAGGGCGTAGGCAGTGGAATCACGAACCGAGACGGAGTTGTCCTCCATCATACCAAGGAGGACAGGCAGAGCCTGCTTGATGAGGGGCTCCAAAACGCGGGGCTCGGGGCCCTCCATGATACCACCGAAAGCAGCAACGGCAGCATCGCGATAGTGCCAGTCCTCATTGCGGATGTTCTCCTCAACGAAGGCAACAACGGGCTGGATAACATCGCCCTGCACGCATTGAGCGTAGAGCTGCAGCGCTTGGTAGGCAGCGCGCGAAACATTATATTCCTCATCAGTGGCATCCTCATCCTGGCGGCACATAGCTTGCAGCAGAACGGGGAGGACCTCGCGAGTAGCCACACGGGCAAAGCCAAAGAAAGGACGGGCCTCGACGCCTTCTTGGGCCGCCTCGGCATTGTCGTCCTCGATGGCAATCTCTTCTTCGCAAACGGTGCACCAGAATTCGATGGCGAGCTTGGAGACTTCCTCCTCCTCGCTCTTCATGCCCATGATGCTCAGGCCGAACAGAGCCTTCTCCATGTAGAAGCGCATCTTCTCATAGTATGCGCCCATGATACGGTTCAGACAGCCGAATGCACCAGCCTGCACACGGACCTCATCGGCCTGAGTGGCCTCGCAGACAACCTGCATAATGTAGTTGCGCTCACCCTCGTTATCCATGTTGGACCGCACAAAGTCAACGGCATCGCTAAGAGCGTTGATGGCAGCAAAGCGGACCTCCATGTTGGGCTCCTCACGGCGGGCACCTTGGACGACAGCCGTCAGGATGGCATTTGAGTGTTCGATCAAACTCTCACGAAGTTCGGTATCTTGGGAGTCGCAAATATAACCAATAGTTGTCAGGGAGGATTGCTTCAGGGAGTCGCTACCGCTCGCCACGTTCTGGACGAGAATGTTCATCAGGTCGGGCCACTCCTTGCGGGGCAGCTCGATGGCCGCAATGGAAACGATCAAAGTGGCAGCGGCATTTCCGGACTGGGTGTTGGTAGAGTGGAGGGTCTTCAGGGCGAGCTCCTTGACCTGAGTCTTGGTCTCGGGGTTGATTTGTTGAATCCATCGCTGTTGCACCTCACGCAGCTTAGCCTGGTCTCGGAAGGTGAAGGCGTTCTTCAAGGCGATACCGGCGGCAACACGAATATGGGCAGGGCTCTCATCGTTGGCTAGTTCTTGACCCAGAGTGATAAGATAGGCGGCCTAAAAAAAAGAGACGATGCGCGTTAGCGGGTCGTTGAGGAAGGTCGAGGTGAGGTCGCAGGTGTCTCGCGATCACACCTAAAAGGCAAGGAAAAGGGAAATGCAAGAAAGATGGAAGGGTATCACATACGAAGTCAACCTCGGCCGCGTGGGCGAGCTGCTGCTCAGCATTGGTACGCTCCGCCGCATCTGCGGGAGAAAGAGAAAACACGGTCAGCGAGGGGTTCCCGCACACAGTTGACTTCGAGGGCACAAGACGAGGGCATCATGTGTCCGTCAAAGAAAAGGGAAGAGTGGTATCACGGAATCCATACCTGGCGCGAGGGTACTCTGCAGCACCTGACGAGCATCCATGATGTCTGTAAAAAAGGAAACACCGAGAGAAGGGTCGCGATGTGGGGGTAAAAGGGAGGAGAGAGAAAAAAGGAAAAAGAAAAAGAAAGGTGGAGAAGAAGGTGATCAGAACCCTCTAAGCCTGGGGAAGTATAAGGGATCGATCCAGGCACGAAATCAGCAACCACGGGGTACAGCAGATGTGGTAACAGTTCAGAATCTCTGGAGTTGTAGGTGGGTGGGAAAGGACGGGGTGTTTTTGTGGATATGACGAGGCATGCACCAAAAGTCGGGAGGCGTCGAGAGGATAAGGTTCCTTTGGGGCGCAACGGTGGCCAGGTCGAAGGAAATCGGCGGGGAGGGGCCGTGAGAATGAAAGATATGGTCTCTTGTTAAAGAGGGAGTAATGAAGCCAGAGGCAAGATCGAAGACAGAATTCGACGACAGAAGGCGGCCGGGGGGGATGTGAGGTCAGTGAGAGGCGGGCGCTGATTGGCTGGCGAGTGATGAGGTAAGCCAGCAGCCACAGCGCAAATCTAAACGAAGGTTGACCTTGGAACTTGGGAATATAAAATACTTGGATTTCACCGTATATCCTACTAGAAGCAGAGGGTGTGTGCAGATATTAGTTGGCAATAATAGAGAAGTGTTGTTCCTGTCTTGTGTTGCTGGTACACCTCCAGTCTGCTTGTTTTGGTTTTCCTCCTTGAAGCGCACCCACCAGCCAGTGGCCCCAGCGACCGATCCTTTTAGCCCTGTCCACACAAACACCACCTATTTTACTATACTCTCCTAGTGAGGCCCACATCGTTCCTGGTGCCTGAGTTGGGCTGCATGGAAGATCCTAGAATAGTCCCGCATAGCTCACAACAAAAGCAAGGGGCAATCTGGAATGGCCTCAGCGTAACTACTACGATCCGTTATGACGGAATATCCTATTCATGCTACTACCACTACAGTACCTAGTAGTAATAGTAGTATCAGCCAAACACCATCTCGACAGCTGTCATCAACCGATTGGGTCTGGTGTTGATTTCAATTTCTAATAGGCTCTATCTTCGTCTTTTACAAAGAAAAAGTGGATCTGCGTTCTTTGACTTCAAAGGCAAAAGCAATATGAACATGACAAAGGCCCACCACCCCAGGACTGTTCAGGGGTTGAATCCTTTGACTAGGCAGAACCTGAAATAGAACCGTAGTACCTATTGGTCCTTTTGTCAAAGGACCAGGCTGGGCAAATAACAGAACAACGAAGAGGCAAACCTTGAGAATTATTAAGAAAGAAGACAAGAGAAGAAGAGAGAGAGAATTGATCAATTAGATTCTACCATTCATCATCCGTTTTGTAGTAGCTACAGTACTAGGCTCGAGTATCTGAATTTGAATCCCATCAGCTCTCAGTAGCTTCCTCTCCCCCTTCCTCCTCTTCTTCCTCCCACTCCTCAACTGTAACATCCAAATCCAACACGTCATATCGCATCCCATCTCCATAAAGCACACAAACTGCCCGCCGGCCCTGCCGCCCATTAACATCTAGCCATACTGGCCTTGCCTTGGGACCAGACGGCGCAAAAATATGTTTGATAATGCCGGTATCTATCAGAGAAGACAGCTCAAATTGAGCGGCGTGAACCGGTGGCTTGGAAGTAGCGGGGGAGGTTTCACACTCGACATAATCGAGTCCAAGCGCGGGGGAGTCCGCCTTTCCAGATTTAGCTTGGAAGGAAAAGCTGAGCAAGTAGGCACATTCTGATGAAAAGTTAGCATCTAGAATCCCTAGCAAAGAAGATGGAAGACATGTTTACCCTCATTATACCACAGTACTATGATTGTATCATCATCGACAAACTGCAGTTGTCGAATCTCACCCTGTTGGAGCGAAATGGCTGCGACAGATGTGCTGCGAGTGGAACTGACACCATTGACGGAGTCGAGAATCGTGCGGTAGATGTAGAATGACTCTTTGGAACTGCCTGATCGGCTAGCAGTGTAGATAGAACAAGGGCGTTTCTCCTCGGAATCTTCGTAGCGAATCTTCAAATCAAGAACATTCGGATCGCAGTCCGAATGCAATGTAAGCGGTGACCGATGCAGAATGCCTCTCCGTTGCGTCAATGCGATTTCCGCAAAGACCTTCTCAAACTGGATACCAAGTCGCATTGTCAAGTCATTCAGTTTAGGGGTATCAACACTTGTCCCATCGCCTCCTTCGTTTTGTGCTTTACGCTGCTGCTGAAGGAGTAATCTGAATTCATCGTAGAATGAGCGATCGTGCCCATCTGGAAGCCATTTATCTGTTGATGGGGTTGGCATCATGGGTACACCAATCATAGGTAGTTGGCGGATGAAGTTCCGCAGGGCGCTTTTCTGCAGCGCACCCGTGATGTAGTTCACCGTGGGCGGGACTTCGAACAGCTCTCGCTTTTCGAGGTTCTCTTCCAATGTTTGCGACAGGGGTTCACTGTTGAGGATTTCAATCTCATGGCGAAGCCACCGCGAGAATGCGGAAAACTGAACTAGCTCTTCGTTGGCGTGGTTGAGGATGCGATGGGCGAGAAGGTGCAGACAATCTAAGGTCTCGACAATGCCATTCAACTTTTGTGTGTCCAATCCGAGCACATCGCTGAGTTTGTGGAATTTTGACAGTCCTACCAGCCGGCTAAGGAGGACCTGGCATCGCTCCAATGCTGGGAGAAGGCATTCATGTGTCAACCGGCGGATATTCTCGTAGCCTCCGGCAACAGCTTTATCCCATCGTTTGTGACCCTATCTTCGAGTTAGTGGATATATTTCATCTTGACGATACAAAATACATACTCTGTCTCCAACAATATCCACTAAAAACTCCTTCATCGGCTCAAAGCAATGTCCAGTAACAACCAAGTGGTAGATAGCGGTCACGAAATCACATTGGCACTGATCCTGAAGATCCTGGTTCACACTTCGCAAGAAACGCGCGGGTAATTCTTGAGCATTCTTCCACTCCATTTCAATCTGACGCTGAACTTGTCCAATGTACCGAAGCAAGTTCTGAAGCTGGGTCGTCTTCGACGCAAGGAGAGAAAGATATCGCCCAGACTTCGTGATGAAGCGCAAGTCAAGGGTGACAATGCTTAGCGGTGATGAAGAGTCCCCTGTCGTGGTCGATACGACCAGAGCATGTGTTGAACTCAAAGGGTGAGAGGCATGGCAAAGAATATGACACGATTTCGCTTGTGGTGTCGAGGTACTCACGGGAAACGAGCCGATCTCGAAACAATCGAAGATGCGCAGGTGAACACTCCCATCATCGAAGCCAATGAAGAGAACGTCCACCGAGTCGCTGGCATCTTTTGCGTAAGTGTGGAATATAGCATCGATGGAGGCGCGTGAGCTGAAGAGATCATCTTCCGCCCCCGTTGCGGGCAATGTGCTCAACTTAGGCAATGAGCTTTCGATGTCAAGCAATGCCAGCTCCCGTGGTAGGTCAGCTTTCAGCAGAGCCGCTGCTTTGGACGGATGAATTCCTGGAGTCAATAGGTCATCCACAGAGACCTGGCCAGCGGAGTCTTGGAGATGCTTCTGGGCAGCTTTACTATCGGTGAAGTTCATGCCCCAGCCTATACATGTCACCTTTGGAGCTGGTTGCTGGTCAGAGGAGGAGAACTCCTCGCTTGGTTTATGGTGTGCCGGGTAATGATGAACTGTCTTTCCGCTGTAAGCACTGAGGATGCGCAGAGACCCATCTCCACAGGCGACAGCGAGAAGACGACCTGTGACAACATTAGAGAACGATGTTCTCAGAATCGACTTGTCCAAGTCTCGATCCGTGTAGATGGACATGGCGATGTCACCGTGAAGGAAGGTTACTCACCATTACCCTTCCACGCCAGTGCTCTCACCTCCCCGTCTTCCTCATCATCACCTAGGTAGGGGTCACCTCCAAACGAACCACCGAAGACATGCTGTCCATTCAAGCGGAATACGCGCAGCTCCTCGTCGTCGGTCGCCAGTGCGATAAGGTCCATCGAGGGACAGTACGCCAGGGTGGTGGCTTTACATTTTGCCGGCAGGGATTGCTCCCCGACCGGCGTGAGCTGAGGGCCCTTTTCTGCCATACTTTCTGTATCGAATAGGCAGCAGCGTTCAGCCCATCCTTCTTTTGGTATTATTTTTGCTGCGTTGTCGCGGTCTCCGTTTGTTGTTGGCGGAGTGGGAGAGTCGCGGCGGACTCGGCGGATTCTTGGCGCGTGTTTTGTGGGCGGCTGTGAATGACCACTGACGAGCAACTATCAACAACCTTATTTGTCGATGCGACAATCACATCAAGAGCCAAATACTACTACCTCTCATGCCAACCTACCTAGGTAGGTAACTAGTAGAATGAAATATCAGTATCAAACTCGGATTAAAATTTTACAGTACTATGCTTTATCATTAAACCAGGGCACATATGTTGTTTGTGTTCATAGTAGTTTCCATTGTACGATCTTATGCTAATATGTCTATTGAAATTGGTACAAGCACCCGGTGACCAGCACCTGGGTTGCTGAATAGCGAATGTATTTAGAAAGGTTCTCCATCCATGTCGGACTGGATCATGTTCTTGAGATAGCTGAGTTCATCCATCAGCTCCTGCATGGTTCTCTTGCCCTGGGAGGAGCCATCCCGAGATCGAGATCGGACTCTCTCGAGAGCATCCCGATGATGCTGGCTTTCCCTTTCTGGGAGAATAATTGGAGACCCGTCGGGACTTCTGCGCGACAAAGAGAGGGCTTCCATCGATTCGATTGCGCCAAAGAGGGCTGCGTGACGCTTGGGGTTGCTTTCAACCTCGTCCATTTGATCAATCCCCAAGCCAGAGCCTTGGAGACCAGGAGATGCCAAAGAGATGGCGAGCTCGGGAAGTGACTCGTTCCATGGCGGGAGCTCGCCGGAAGCGGAGTTTGGTGATGATGGTTTAGAGTGAACAGTGAGATGGGGGGTGTTGGGATCGGTGTTGGTCATTGCGTCATTGGACGACAATTCTGGCGTTCTCCAGTCATCTACGGCTGGCGACTCGTTGGTGTCTTGATTGAATGTGGACGCGGAGATCATTGACTCGGGTGAATTGTCTTCGGCTTCAGTATCGGTGTCGGTGCTCCATTCAGAGAAGCGACTTCGCTCAGGAACGAAACGTGAGTTGGTGGCATCGTCTGCCGTGGTTGCTGTCATGCTAGAAAAGTGGCTGCGCTGAACCTCTGAATCCATGACTCTGTCGTGATCATCAATCTCACGTACGGCCTCGTCCATCACAGAAGAAGGTGTGTTGGGAAGCGTTGGCAGTCTCTTGTCACCGACATCCTTTCCGGTAGGCGTAGTTTGATCACTACCCGGATTGCTTGCGATGAACTCCAGAGCGTCCTTGAGCGCACGTGTTTCATCCACTGTTCCCAGATTGTTACCTGCTGCCGCACCTCTTGAGGGGCTTGGCTTGCGAGGCTGAGGGCGTGTCTGCACCGTTAGTAGATTTAGTGCCTGGGCATCGCCGCCCTTTGCTTTAAGCGCCCGGCGACTTTGGATTGTCGAGAACTCGGGGATTTTCGCTACCGGGGAGGCGGCTCCAGTGTTGACGTTAATTCCGGGAACCTTTCGGCGATCACCAGTGGCCCCGTCATGTCGGAGAACTCCGTTGACCGTCTTAGATCTTGGCAAAGGTGAGATCTGTCCTTGACCTTCTGCCCCGTTGGCAGGCCGAAATGCTGCAAGAAGAGCGCGAGCTCGTGGTGGGGAGGCAGAGCGTGCGTCCTTTGAGTGGTAGCCCCTGGCGCTGCCTGGCTGTGATGCACTCCTATGCACCATTCCGGCAATTGGCGAGGTACTTTGCGAATGTACAGCCAGTGGCTGGTTGCGAGGTATGGCAGTTTGCAGGCGTGCAGGGACCGGTTGGGGTGGTCTGCGTGGGTTCATAAACTTGTCCTCCGGGTTCATGGTTCGATAGTCGGCCTTTTGCGAACTGTTGCTGCCAGTGCGGCCATGGGATCGACTATCAGGTAAAACGATAGGCACATTCAATACATTCACAGGCTGTCCCGGGAGAAAGGGGCATTTTGTCGTCACAGGCTCGTTTTCATTAATGGATTCTATGTCATCATCCAGCAAATACTGATTCTGTTAGTTAGCTCACTTCCCGGCCCAAAGATGACCTGTAGTAATGACTCACATAATACCAGTACGTAGCACCCATTTTAAGCCCACCGGTCCGCCATTGGGATTGTTCACCCGACGAGCCTCCGGGGCCATCGCCCATGATATCGGTGAAGGTGTGGCATCCTTTCCAGTGACCCGCACCGACGCGCTTATCTCTCTCCATGACATATTGCTTCGTGAAATTGTCCCATGATCCTAGTAGCTTGACTGACCGGGTTTCGGGGTTGGTATTTCTGATATCGATGTCAATCAGAGATTCAGGTGGGTTGGAACGATCAGACTTACAGTAAGAAAGTCATGAGGGTAGTCGATATCATCGCACGATGGCGATCGCTCAGAAAAGAGAAGCAGGCAACGATGGCAGCAAATGCAAAGATCGAATCGCGAATAAATGCAAAGACAATGCTATGACGAGTGGAGGGAAATGGAGAAAGAGAGGCACGCCAGAGGATCGAAAAGAAAGCAGACCCAATATAGTACAGAGGACAATGCAATGCAAATGCAACGAGTGATTAGATCAAGGGAACGAGATGTTGAGAAAACGATAGATTCTCGAACAAAACCAAAGAAAAAGGAATACAAAAGGAATGGAAAAAAATAAAGACTGTGAAAGCAAATCGAGCAGGGAGACCGACGAGGCGGAATATAAGGTGTGACAGAGCCCAGGCCGGAATAATAAACAAAGCTGTTTCTATAATTACAGCCCCGGTAGCACGCCAGGCGTAAAAAGCACGCAGGTACACGCTGTACCTGTTTCAGGAGAGGCGATTGACAGGTCTAAGAATAAACGGGTCGTTCGAGGAATGTTTCGGGCAGCGCCGCAGAGACAACAGCCATGGCCCAGCCCAGATGGGCAGCCCGCAGGAAAATGCGACGCGAATGCTTCAGGAAGCGCGGCGGGTGGAAGTTGGCAATTTCGCAATTTCCCCAAGCACATTTCTCAGGGCAACAAGAAGAACCAATGGGCGCGAGCGTAGGCGAAGCGCTGGGGGGATCCTGGGACCAGGGTACGGCGCTTCGACCGGGGTTGGCGTGGCGTCGGTGTGAATTGTTGTGTCGGGGAGTTGGTGGTGGTTCTAGCCCCGGGTAAAAGTACAGATGACTGTGTATTCCGTAACCCGGATGATAGGCCGGTGATGACAATGAGAGGAGGAGAAGAGAGGAAGTGGCAGTATGGAAGGAGGAGCAGAGGTTTTTTTTTCTGCGGTGATAAGAGATCGGCGCTGCGGGGATTTTGGTGATGACTTGGATGCCGATCACGGGAAGATGGCTGATGGATGGCTGTACTGGTACGGAGTATCGTACGGAGGACAGGCGGAAGTGGAGCTAAGTGAATGGTGCAGGCAGAGAATTTAGGGACCGAGCACCAGCAAAGAGAGAGAGGATGGAAAGGGGTAATGCCAATATGAAAGTGGAAGTGGAAGTGGAAGTGGAAGGAGAAGGAGGAAAGATTGGCATCTACACGCGTGTTGGACGAACCACGGTACGCCCGAATCTCCTGCAAGGTACGGAGTACAAAGTAACTATAGTACGGAGTACGGAGTATAGTACAGATGAGTACGGCTACTCCTCACCATTCCTGTTCCATCACCCCCACTACAATAGCCCAGTAACGCCACCATCCGGCATCGCGCAAGTTAGATCTGCACAGGCAAGGGCGCGTCATGAAGTGGCTTTCCCCTGATGCAAGTGTGAGCAAGTGTGAAGTGCCGATCACTCGTTTCATTGGCTTCTCACTTGCGTTCGGCCAAGAGCCACTCCACTCGGTTCCTGCGGCGGCGGCAGATGATACGTCTGTTTCGGCCTTGGCCTAAAGGGCTGACACGAACTTGTCACTTCACCAAGGTCATGCCAGGGTTATCGGGTATAAAGAGGCGAGGGGAGATGAGTACGAGTAGAAACTGTTCTCGAACTCCTCCGCCGATACCTATACTTCTGCATAGCCAAGGATTGGACCTCTCGACTGCAAAGGGAAGAAAAACAAAAATCTCAAGCTTGGGACTAGCGATGGAGCTGCCCCAGTACGGAGTAGAAATTGTGGTGATCTCATTTTTTGAGATAACATGAATCGTTGCGAAGGACGGGAGTACCACATGGCACATACAGTTAGGGTACTCTGTACTTGTACTCCGTAGACCTTACCGACATTGTCGATAGTCCCATTTCTCCCACGGAATACGGAGTATTCTACGGAGTACACTCTCAACCTACGGTTCCTATGTGGGGGGTTACAATTCATAGCTACTAGTAGGCACCCTAATCTTCCTACTGAGTTGATGCCCCTCTCACTATTTGAGTCTAAACAGTCGGTGAGTACGGAGTATGGAGAAGCAGCCACCTCAAAGTTTCGAGCTTTAATTTCCCCCAGCATCCACTTAACCGGACGAGGTCCGGGCGACGCAGTGACCAATGATCATCGCCCAAAATTGGCAGATGCTGTACTCGTACAGCCTACTAGCAAGGATCGTAGCCTTGTGAGATGATTTGCAATCTTGGGGAAAATGCGATAAATTAATCAAAACCGGCCACCATGCTAGCTACCCTTCCAATCCCAACGCCAAAAAAAATTCTATCAAGAGCACAGCTCGGTCCAGTCAAATCCAATGAATAAAACATAGAAAGAAAGAAAAAAGGGAAAAGAAAAGAAAATCCTGGGGCAAAGAAAGAAATAAGAAAATAAGGGGAATGAGCCAAACTATATCTTTCTAAATCTGTCGTCGATCAAGCTTCTTGTGCACAGCCCCGAGTACACACTTCAATATGCCCTCCGCATCCAACGACTGACCCCTCTTCCCTCTCCAGGGCACAGTATCAACGATATCCCGCAGACGTGCTTCACTGCAATATTTGCCAAGATCATCGTCGAGCTCCTGCAAATATCGCTGCACTCTTTGGTCATCGCCAATCTGGAAGAACTGAATGCCGACCTGCCACGGCAACGCATTGCATCGCGGATGATCCAAAGCCTTAGCCACCTGCACAATGACACTCTCAGCATCATCCGTGAACTCGCCATCCGTGATCGCAATGATATTGATCGGTTTGACCAGCATCGAGGGATCACGCAGGGATCCGTCGGCGTTCCGCGAGGCTTGCATCATCTCCACGCGGTGGAGGTAGGGGGTCAAGATCTCCAGCAGGCGTTTACCCACAGGTGTGGAACCGCGAGGTCGGACACTATTGAAGATTTCTTGGACATCCGCGGCTGTGGTGATGTTTGTGTAAGCGCCGGTCGTATTGGCTGTTGCTGCGCGGCGGTGGTTCAGGAAGTAGACATCGATTCCGTCGTGGTCAAATTGAGTGCAAATGGGGGCAATGGCAGCGATGGCCTCCTCGGCTTCGCGCCAGCGCGGCCCGCTCATGCTGGAGCTATCATCCACGAGGAATATCGTGTCGAAGTCTTTGAGGAAGGCGTATCGGGAGTCAAAGTCACAGCTTGAGCTATTCGTCACGGTGGGGGCTTTCCAATCTTGTGAGTCGTAGGCTGGTGGGTCCCACGCCGTGACCTTCTTGGAAGGTTTTCGCATCATTGTGAAAAGCTTGCTCTCGCGTAGTCGGGTGCGTGTTGAGGTATTGTTGTTACCCATTGATGGCATATCCGGGGTGGTGGACAACGGTGATTGGAGGGAGTTATCTCTTTGACTGGAGGGGAATGAGGACCATAATGGTGGAGGTGTAGATTTTTCGAAATGGGGCATGGTGAGGATGTTCAAGACCCGTAGTTCAGTGTTGTAATTCGTATGATGCAAAGAGGATGCAATAAGTAGGAAAGTGTGGTAAGGTTTTGAGGTTCCACAATTGTATTTGAATGATACTACTGACAAAGAAAATGGTGACGGTCAATGTCTCTCTTTATATCCGAGATGATTCTTTCAAACGATGATATTGTGGAGTCATTGCATTCGGATCGTGTCGGCAATAACTGTATAGTAAGGCGATATAATGGAGTACAAGGCTCACAGGGCTGGGTTTGCTTTCACAACTCTATACCCGAACAACAGCCCAGGAGACCCATGGGTGCTTACTAGCGTGCGGGGTTCTGGAAACACAAACATGCCTAAGTCTCTCAAGGCAGAAATCATCGTTTCAGGTCTGTTTTTAATAGGTTCATGACAACGGAGCTACAGATCCTGGCGCTAGGCCAGTCAGGCTATGGAGGGGTAAGACTGCCTACCATAACTCTATTAAATCACCAGGGCGTTTGTTAGATTAATCCCTGGCACTCCGCCTCTAATAAGCGACTCAGACAGAGTCAGACAGGGGTCCACACAGGAACGCTCTTTGCGTGTTGCGGCTTTCGGCGTTGGGCTGTGCCATAGCACTCCGCCCCAACCACCCTGGCGAATGAAGGCGCAGCAGCATAAATTGTAATGCGGGACATCGCGCAATAGTAAAGGCGGGTTTTGGGACCAATAGTGCCAAATTTATGATTTCATAATCCATCTAGTGCGGAAAATATAAGCAATAAGATAAAAGAGAAAAAATGTAATTATCTGGTCACTGCCAGTCATTTGTATGCGTCATAGTCATTATCCATGCATGCCATCGAACACCTTGCCTATTTCGTGTGACCCTCCCAGTTCCGAACTGCGCCCCACAACCCGAGATATAGCCAATCATTATTACAAAGGAATGAAGTTTGTTTGTTCCAGAAGTGTCAGAAGTCTGCCTCAGATGCAGGAATATCCTTATAGGGCATATCGAGCAGCGCCACGGGATCCTTTTGGGTTGAGCTCGCGATCGAGACTTCCTGACTAGGCACTCCATCCTCAAAATGAAGAACGCCCGGGTCTGCGGCGACCATGTCCATCAAGGCAAGTGCCTGGTCAATACCCATCGCATTTCCAATCATCTTAAGGGCATCCCCAACCCACCGACGGAGGGAATGGCTGGGGTTCTCGACCACACCGGCCAAGAATAGCGGCCAAAGCAACGTCAGCCCACCCAGGTAACTTTCCGGAGGTGGACAATTAGGAGAGGCGTCTTTTTGGTGTGCACCCAGGTGATAAGGCACACTACGACAGATATCAACGGCCAAGCGCCGGATGGTGGCTCGAATATTCTTGCAGTGAACCTGGAATTCATCCGACATGGCGAGCTTGGAGCTGTCGGAGATTTTCCACATATGAGAGAGTATCAGTTCGCTGACGATAATACGCGCACAGCGATACTGGTTCCATACGTTGCAAACCCAGAAATTTGGGTAGACGTGATATTTGTCGTCAAAGGGGCGAAGGCCTCGGCAGCGTTCTTGGAAGAGAAAGTCGTAAGGGGATTTAGTGAGGGTTTCATAAGAGAGGCCAGGTGGAAGCCCCGCCAACCAGGCGACTATTTCCGCCTCGACGGCCGATGCTGCTGCAATGATGTCCTGGTCGTCGGTGAGGATTTTGAGCTGGATGTCTGCTCGCAGATTGGACAGTTTGCCAATAAGAATAATCAAACGATTGCTGTAGGCTTCTCCTGGTCGCAAGAGCATGGACAACTTTGTACATTCCATGAGAGATTCGGGTACGTGACAATCCCGCTGCATGCAGCTGATGATCTGCACGACTATCGGGTTAGCATTGTAACGGACGAGATGATATGTAAACAAGCGTACGCACAATTTGATATCTTAAATGCAGAAAAAGACGAATGCCAGCTTCGGTCTTAAGTTGATCAGTGCCTCGCAAGTCGAGTAAAGCAGTAGCGCCAGATATGTGGTTTGTCCATAAAGCGATATCCCGTGGGGCACGTGCTGTGACAAGCTGTTGAAGAAGAAGAAAGAGTTAGATCTGCAAGTCATTCGACAGGGACCGCAATGTCTTACCTCATATATAGCAAGCAGCACAACAGCCCCCAATGCTTGATTGGTCTTGGCTTCTTCTATATCCGCAAGGGCTATGTTGAGAAGGTTTAAAGCATTGACGTATTCCTTCCTCGCCACATCTCGAAGAGGGGTCATCTTCCTCACGCGGCAAAGCATGGCCGATGCGACAGCTGTCATACTGGCCCGCATCGCTTGGGCACCCACTTGGCTACCGGCCTGCGCCAAGAATTTGGTCACGAAGTCACTCATCCAAAAGCTCCCAGGTATGGCATTGGATCGAAAGAGAAAACTGATTGCTTCTTCCTGCGAGGGTATGCTAACCGGTTGAACCTCCATGGGGATTTGCCATGGCTGTTGCAACTGCTGTATCAGTGGTCCAGACAGTGGGTCGGCGTTGAAATCGAACAGACTAGTGAAAGCCGCCTCTTCCGGAGAGGAGTCCGACTGAGGGTTCCCATCTGGGGAAGCCGTGCGAGGCGATCGCCCAGGGGACTTTTTTTGCCTAGAGGATGAAGAAGCTGACGAAACCGATGTACTTGACCCCGCTGAGGCTTTCTTAACCACTGAACTACTCTCATCGCGAAACATTAGAGATAACTGATCCCTGTAGCCGGGGCAGTCCCGCTTGGCCCGCACGCATTGCGAACAGGCCGGCCGGACCTGGTCACAGCGAATCTTTCTGGATCGACAGTGGCCACATCCTTTGCTTGGTTTGCCGCAGTATACCATGATGAAATGCGACGGCCGTTTTCGTTAGATCTTGAGGCTGAAGAGGGAGGAGTCATGTAATAAAGTGTCGGTAAAGGCCGATTGCACCGCCTCCGCCTCAGACCCGAGCTTGTTGGGGTTAGGCAACGATGTCAGCTGTGCACATACTACATTACATTTTACATTAACATCAAACAGCTGCAGATGGTGAAGTTTCTACTATTTACAATCTTCACGATGCCATTATACGGTGATTTCTATCCATTTCAGATTTAGCTCTCAATAAACCTCACTCTATGCGAGACTCTCTTGCATACCCCAACATTTACAAGGCGAACGACCTGCTTATGTCACGATGCTTATATCATCCAAATACTTCCCCCTCTTTTCCCAATTGGGAAACCACTGCGATAAATGGTGCATTTTCATTGGCTCCTTCAGCCAAAGCTTGGCTAAGTCCGTGGATCCAGCGGGCTAGCGGGTTTAGCGGGCGCAGCCCGATGGGCCAGTTCTTTTCAGGCTTGCGGTCCGTCTTCTAGAAATTTTTAGATCTTTAGAGTGGAGGCTTATCTCTCTGACCTTGCCCATTTTGGTGCATTTTGAGAGCTGCGTATTTTTTCTTCGCACAGCCACAGATAGTTCTATTCGAAAAGGGTATGCTTGATGTACAGCTAAAGGATATATAGCGAAATGAATTCGAAGAATCTGTAGCTCTTTATTCAAGTTACCTTTCAACCCATCGCATTCGATAAGGTCCAAGTTGTCCTCGCTGCCAGTGAAACACTTCTTAATTCTTGCCATTATTTGAATATCTTATTTCCCTTGCCATCCAGCGAGGTAGCCTCGTTAAACCACCAACATGACTGTCACCTATCGCCATGGCATCTCCATTCTCGAACTCCTTATCTACCTGCCCTCCTTTTTCCTCTCTGGCTTCTTGGTCTATCGCCATGGCTTCCGTCAAAATAGCGGGTTTTTATTCATCTTCACATTTGCGTTGGCCCGGATCGTAGGTGCCTGCTGTGACCTCGCAACAATCGCCCACTATACCTTGGGGCTTTATATCGCCGCCGCCATTTGTATGGCAATTGGACTGTCCCCTCTTATGCTTGCATTGACTGGGTTTCTATCTCGAGCGTAAGCAGCTCCTCCCGCTAGTACTCACAAGTAGTACACCGTGACCGAAAAGCTGTCCGCTAACTTAACCAAGAAACCTTTCCATCCAACACAAAACAGGAAAACTTGCTCTCCCCGAATTCGTCTTCGTTGCCTTCCGTCTTCTCGTTACCGTTGCCATGATCATCAGCATCGTGGGAATCACAGCCAACATGTCTGAAGAAGGCCTCGCACACCCCGATATCAAAGCCAAGATTGGTATGATCCTGTATCTTGTTGCAGGTGGACAGCTCTGCCTCATGACCGCATTTATGGCCATGCACAAAGCCTCCATTCAACGCGGGGAGAAGCGAACCGTTCTTGCAGTGGCCATCTCGACGCCATTTATTATGGTCCGTCTAGTGTATGCTGCTCTGATCTGGTTCCTTCATGACTCCACCTTCAGCATGATTGGCGGCAATGTCACTGTGCAACTTGTCATGTCTGTTCTGGAGGAGTTTGCGGTTGTTATCACTTGTCTTGGGGTGGGGATTACCTTGAGCATACGCAGAAAGGACAATCGTGCCTCTGTGGAAGCCCCCTTGACAGATTACCCTTCCCAGTCTAAACCTTAAACTACCGCTGAGAAATGTTTTTCCTTTTCTTTTTGGTACAATAGAGGATCTGTTACATTACCTTGTTATGTTTCTATAAATTCTGAAGGTGTTTTATTAAAGATGTACTTGAAGTCATGATACAATATATTAATTACCTCCCATTAAAATGCTTGTCCAAACCAGCATAATTGAAATTTGAACTACAATATTCTTATATATCTAGTACCCATCTCTCTAATTTTAACTACATTTACATCTAGTACAGTAGCGTTGCAAAAGTTTGAAGCCCCATATTGCCCACCATTATTGACCGCTTCTAATGGGAAACTAGTAGCTACCTAAGATGGAATAGATAGGCCAATCTATTCCGTCTTAAGTAGCTACTACTCTGCGATTAGAAGGTGGAGACAAGAACAGTCAACAAGGGGTTTCAAACTTTTGCAACGCCACTGTATAGTTATAGTACACATGGTAATAATGTCCGCCAGGTGGGGCTTTCATTGTTGGTCATCGGTCAACCCCTTCTTCTGGTCTCTTGAAGATATCTATGAAGCATGCTTTCCAAGGCGGATATTATTATGGCATCTGGGGAGACACCGCTTCATAGTATCGCGGCATGCGCAGGCTATCCCATCGGAAGTGTCCCACGAGGCTTCTCCACTTACAAAGTAAGGCCTTTTGGGATGGAAATCATAGGACGCAATGGCGAGGAGTGAAATATTTCCCAAGTAATGTCGGCATGGGAAGTGACCTTTCCGGAGGCTAGACAGCCCCCACCTCTTTCGGTCAACTGGGCCCCCAATATACTAGTAGTAGACTGTGACACAGTATACAGAGCTTGTCTATGTATGGCCCCATCAATACTAGCCATGGTGTTGGGTATTTTGAAAAGCCTTTGCAGTCGCCAAGAGACTATAAAAAAGATAAACTCCAGAGTCTGGTCGCAACCAAGTCCTCATTTTTTGTATTCAATACGAAAGCGCCTAGCTGATTTGCGAGTAAATAGATGTCATTAAATCCGCTTCTGGGGGGAGTCTGTATCAGTCTGACGGCCCCGTTTTCTCTTTCCAGTGCTCGTTCCTCCAGAACGCAATTCCTCTTGCTGTAGAAAGCCGCTGCTTCCATCATCATGCCATTCACTAATCTCCCACTCTATTGAAGTAGACTGATCATCACTCATGCCCATACCTCGTCGGGACCGCATCAGGCGGCCTAGACGGCTGCCTTCGACCATCTCCTCAAACCAGGGAATACCACCGGCTCTGCCGTGCTGAAAGTTCCGCGAAATATGACCTGGGCTGGTGAAAGAAGGTACAACAACCGATGAAGTGCCCAAGGATGGTGTAATAGCAGAGCCAGAAACCTCCGCCTCGACCTCGTCTTCATCTTCGTCTTCGTCCAAGTCCCCAGGAAGTAGATTAAGATCTTCCAGTGCCCGCTGATCTTCTCCGAACAGACTTCCAATAGCCACCGACATGAAATTGGCTTCTTCACGAGGCTCCTCAGTCCAGACAGTCAATGGTGTTCCGCAAAAACCGCAGAACACGCGCTGTGTTTCAGGTGCATGGCGGGGCGAAAAAGAACGGCGGATTGAAGTGTGTGTTTCATCGGGGAAGAATGACTCAGTATGTGAATTGTACCAGTCTAAGGGTACCCGGAGCCATGCAGTAAGTGGGGTACCTTGGAATCGACCTGTCATTCGCAATCAGCAAGGCAAACGGTGAGGTTAAAGATGTATACTGGAGTGCACTTACGATTTTCTCGGCTGCTGTCAAAATACACTTCAGCATGGTCTGTCACATCCTCAGGAATAGAGATTCTGTATTGGTTGCGCCCGCAGGAGCACGATCCACGTAGAGACTCGTGGGCCATAGTCGTGCAGTTGTACAAGGCGCCGCTAGACCGGGCGAGATCGATGCCAAGGTCTGGGCCAGGCGATGAGATGGAGAAGCGAGTCGATTTTTGAAATGGTCAATTGACAGGTAACGATGAGCTGAGGTTGGATTTCTGAGAGCTTCTTGGGTAGATTTGGGAGAGAAGAAACAAAAGGAAAAAAAAAGCGAAGCAGGGAGTTGTGCTCGGTGGAGCCTCTCTATGACGTTGAAGAGTGCCAAGGCCCAGAGATTCGAATTGCTCTTCTCCGCATTGGTCGGACTGGGCCGGACTGGGCCTATCGGTTCGGCTTCTTCCCCGTCCTTCCTCTCCAACCATCTTCCCGACAACTGCCTGGGAGAATTACACATTCACTTTCGACAAACACTGTCCTTTACGCCAGACAGAACGGAGAAGCCCGGAATTACGATCTGCGACGATTTATCAACTGCATTATTTCTCATCGGACTCCGCACTAGTGCCAGAATGAACCCCGAGATGGACGACGACCGGTCGTCTTCGACCCCAACCGCCGCATCGAAGTCGGTCTCTGGCCAGGATAAAGAGAAGCCCCGCTTGACTGATCAAGAGAAGAAGAACAACCACATTGCCTCTGAGCAGAAGCGCCGCGCCGCGATTCGGGAAGGCTTCGACCGGTTAACAGAACTGGTGCCTGGACTTGAGGGGCAGGGCCGCAGCGAGAGTATCGTGTTGCAAAAGACCGTCGACTTCATCCACCTGCAGCTGCAGGAACGTCATAACCTCATCGCTGAGATCGAGAACAAAGGAGGCCGAGTGGATGATTCTTTCCGGCCAACATAATCCAGTGCATGCTCGTTAATTATCCTATCTCCATCCATCACCTTTGCGCTCCCCTTCTTTCGCTTCTCTCGACCTCTTGGCCCTGGCAACCCGATGAACGGCCATTTTCTTTTTTTGCCGTGAGGGGAGACTTCAATTAATGCATGTTGCTTTAATCGACGACACACCCACTCTACTCAGCCTCCGCGACACCGCTGGCCGGGTCTTACTTGGAATGGCTTTGTCCTTCAGTTGTGGGGGATTTTTATCTTTCTTTTTGTTCATGTCTTATTTGTACATTTTTGGCACACCATTTTCAATGGTTAAGCCCAGGCATCAGACTGTATTTGACTACGCGCAGGGCCATTTGTTCTGACGACCTATTCACAGTCCAATGGTATATTGTAATCCACGCAGAATGATTTTTCTGGGGAATCCGGGGGGGGGGGGGGATCGGGGACCTCGGTGCGCCCAACCGAGAGAGATCGATCACGTGTAGTAACCTCGGTGCATTCTTGGCTTTACCTACTGGTTGAGTAATTGGAGAGGACCCTAAATTGGGGAATGCTTAAACAGATCTTGTTTTTAAAAAAAAGTTACTCCGCAGTGACAACTACAATTTAAGGCTTCAATTGGAGGGTGACCTTTGATCATGCTTGAAGATCTATAGGACCCGTGGTTATCCCGGTTCACCCTGTTATTGGGTCGTGCCGCAAAAGGCGAGATTTCATGGGCAAATTATCCTGGTAGCTGTAGACGAGTGAATTGGAGAAGTAAGAAAGGATTCATTCTATCTGGTGGGGCGATCGCATTGTATTGATTGAATCGGGGGCATCTTGATCGATACGACTAGTAATTTAGATAGATCGTCAAGTCGAGATAGTATGGGATGTACGTCACACCAGTATGGTCCATTGGAAAAAGTCGCATATATGCATCCCTTCCAGAATACCATAACAGTTCCAATTTCGATATTTGATCAATCGCAAATATCATTATGCGCCATGTACACGTCTCCCCTCAACCAATAAAGAAATAGAAATGAGTCAGTGGAGAACTGCGGCAGGACAGACACGCCGCAATCTACCCACTCCGGACCACCAAACACCACCACCTCCTCCGACAAGACCCTTTCACCCTCGTTCTGCCCCCAAAAGCATAACCAAAAATGTCCGACTCCAAAGACAGCCTCTTAACCACCAACAATGAGCCCAACGACCCACCACCAGCCTACGACAGCCAAACCAGGCCGAGCCGCGGGGCACCCCTCCCCCGCCCACCACCACTCTCTCTGCCCGTCCTAAACGACCTCCGCAAGAGAAGAGTAATCCTAGCCTCTCAATCACCTCGCAGGAAACAAATAATCTCCTTCCTGGGCCTACCCAACATCGAAATCATCCCCTCCAACGCAGAAGAGAATCTCCCCAAATCCCTCGCCCCCTTCGAGTACGTCCTCGGCACCGCAACAAAAAAGGCCCAAGCCGTCTACGCCCAAGAAGTCGATAACGAAGAAAAGGGCGAACCGGCCCTGATCCTCGCAGCTGATACCGTCGTCGTCGACACCACCACCGGATCTATCCTCGAGAAACCCCGCTCCGAGGCTCACCATGTCACCATGTTGCGCGCACTGAGAGATGCGCGCGATCACAAGGTCTTCACGGCGCTAGTAGCCATGGCTCCGCTGCAGAGTGCGCGGCAACCGGGATATGCGTTGGAGAGCTTTGTCGAGGAGACTTCCGTGCGTTTTGATGGGGAGGTGTCGGATGATTTGATCTTGGCTTATGTGCGGACGCGCGAGGGCGCGGATAAAGCGGGTGGGTATGGATTGCAAGGGTTGGGGTCGATTCTTGTGGAGAAGATTGAGGGGTCGTATGATAATGTGATTGGGTTGCCTCTTAAGGCTACATTGAATATCATTCAGAAGGTTATGAACATGGCGAATGATGAGGATCGCTTGGAGGGTGATCCGATTCTTGAAGAAGACGAGGAGGATTCGGAATGAGAGATTATCTTGTCATGGACTAGATATGAAAAAAGGGTTTCTTTTCTGAGATAGATCAATATACCTGAATGTCTTTTCTTTTAGTTTTCAATTTTCTTTCTAACTTGAAGGTTGCCTTTTTTTTATAACCCTTTTGCTACTAGTACGGAGTCAAATATGATAAGAAATGAGGTAATGCTGCTGGTACAGAAGTGATATTTCCCATGGGAAACGAGAGATTTGAGCACCGACACAAGTCGGACAGAGACAAATGAGAAGAAAAAAAGGTTGACATATACATAGGCGGAACGCCTGGACCAGAGACAAAAGAAACACGAAACACCCTTTTCAAATGACGACAACGAAAACGCTCTATGCGTTCCAGATACGACGCAGGGCCTCGGTGATACCCACATCGTTGGTCTCGAACTCATACAGACCGACGGCGGTGGTCAGAGTGAAGGCGCGCAGGAGCCAGTTGCAGAGAGAGTTGAACTTGGGAACACGCTGAGGACGGAAGTAATCGATGATGGCGGCCCTGGTAGAGAATTAGTGGTGTGTGCCGGGGGGGAGGGATCGGAAATTTGAGGATTGAGCTTACTGGAATCCAACGTGGGAGTGAGCGACCAGGAGGGAGCAAAGGACGGCGTCCATGACCGGGTTGAGGGAGCCAGCGGCGAAGGGAGCGATGGAGAGGGGAATCAGACCGACGCAGACGGCGCTGGGAGAATGTTAGCGATTTTGGAATATCGAGAGAATTATTCATGCATTGCTGCACTAGGGATGCGGCGTACCGCTCGAATGTCCAGTGGTAGCTTCCCTCAGAGGGGTGAGGGTTGGGGACGGGAACGGGGTCGTTCACTATCACGGCGGGTCAGTATGCAGTCCAATCGAAATTGCAACACCCAATCCCTCGCTGATCGCGCTAGAAAGCCTTTGGTAGACGTATCATATCGGTATACGGGAGTTCGATGGGCTTGGAGATTGAGACATGCGAGGAGAAGGGCGTCAAGGTTCGAACTCGGATCGGTTAAACGTACTGGTTCCCTGGATGGTCTCTGCAACGACGGATAGAGAGTTAGCGAGCACATTTTAAATTATCGGATAGGCCTCCCAATTCGTCTGAAGCACATTTGTACCGCCAGATATCTCTTGGGGTCCTCTCGGGGTCTCAACGTACGCGGCAACGGAGGCAGGATCTGCTTCTTCGCGGAAGCGTGGAAGGCGACGGCCTGCGACACGCCAACATTCTGGCGGAGAAGAGGCGACCGAGTCGCAAGGGTCTGCCGGAGCAGAGACGGGCGCGCAAATGAGGCCATTGTGACGAGTTGGAGTGGTGAGGGTCGAAGTTGGTCGCTCGCACAAGGATGAAGTTCAAGTTGCCTCGGGAGTCCGACCGGTAACTCGCCCACCCAATGTCATCGTACTTCTCAGTCAGGTGATTGGTCGACGGCTTCCCGCTCAGCCGAATTTGGCCGATGCGAGAACATTTAGCCACCGACTAGAATTACTACGAGTACACCTAGTATTTTCAAGGGTCTTTTTGTTTTCAAAAGTCTAATTTTGTTGCTGTATTTGCGTGGAATTGATCGAGCTTGACGATCCGCAGTCATATAATAGCTAACCCTTGCTAGGCATGATTTCCTTCTCTTCGATGTTGCATCCAGGCAATAACCGAGCCATCCCGAAGCTCTAGTCAGCTACTAATACTACGTACTACTACTACTACTACTGCATCGAACCGGCTTTTTTTTATATAGAGAAATCTGAAAAAGTCCCGAGTCATTATTGTAAATCCAGTTCTCTTTCTCTGGTTTCATTTCATTTCATGACATATAATAACACCGGTTCCCAATGCTATTGCTAATTTAAAACTTGAGAACAGCCTTGCCCTTGTTCTTGCCGTGGAAGATACCAACCAGGCCCTCGGCACCGTTATCAATGCCAACAGTCTCGTGGATGAGAACCTTGAAGGTACCCTCCTTGATCCACTTCTGCACACGCTCCTGGTGCTCCTTGGTGTAGATATCACCCATGCCGGGGTCCATGACAATGAAGCCGCGCATGGTGAGACGCTTCACGAGGATCTGGTGAATGTTCGTGATGGGGTAAGGAGCGGAGTTATACTGCGAGATCAGACCGCAGGTGACGATGCGGCCGAAGTTGTTGAAGGCATCGAGGGCAGCCTCGAAGTGCTCGCCACCGACGTTCTCATAGTAGATATCAATTCCCTCGGGGGCAAGACGGGCGAGGGCAGCGGAGGGCTTCTCGTTCTTGTAGTTGAAACCGCCATCGAAGCCGAGCTCGTTGATGATGTAGTCGAGCTTCTCGTCGCTACCGACGGATCCAATCACGCGCAAACCCTCGTGCTTGGCGAGCTGGCCGACCAGCTGGCCGACGGCACCGCTGGCAGCGGAGACAAAGATGGTCTCGCCCTTCTTGGGCTTGCCGATCTCGTAAAGGGAAGAGTAAGCAGTCAGGCCGGGCATACCGAGAGGACCCAGGAAGACGCGGATATCTTCAATTCCGAGGGGGTTCTCGAGCTTGCGGATGCGAACCAGGTTGGGGGCGTCGAGGGCAACGTATTCCTGGATGGGGACGTGACCGATCACCAGATCTCCCTCCTTGTAGCTGGCATTGTTGGAACGGACGACCTTGGCGATGCTGTCGCTCTCAATGGGCTTGTCGAGGGCGAAGGCGGCGGCATAGGACTTGACCTCAGCGGGGCGCATGCGGCCACGCATATAAGGGTCGTAGCTGGTGTAGAGGGATTGCAGGACGACACCGTTGTCGGGAGCGGCAACATTGGCATCGTACGCAGCGGTCTCGATGGTGAGATCCTTACCGGGGACAGGGTATCCCTGGGGGATCTGCTTGAAGATGAGAGCTTTGTTGGACATGACGTAAACGGAATTATTTTAAAAAATGGGAGAGTAGGTGGATGCGGCGAGAGATTGTAGTACTAGGAGGAGATGATTCGGAAATAATGCTGACTTTAGATTATCGTACAACGTTGGGGGTTTGGACTTATATAGGAAGAGAAGAAGTCAAGGTCAAACCGTCAAGCGGGGCAGTAAAGTGACCGAGGCAGAATTCTTGATCATTTTATCCATTAGAAAGCAAAGTCGCCGCTTGCCGAAGGGTTCCGGAGAAGCTTCTCGAGAAGGTTATAGTCCAAAGTTCTGACTGACCCACTGTTCTGCATCAAAGTTGCATAATATCGACATCATAGAACTGGGAACGAGCAAAGATGGAATGTACCCAATGGTTCACTGTGTACTCCGTACTTTTCTAGATTAAGAATGACCGATGCCGAAGATTCGGAGAAATCATCCTTAGAGGGACGCCTCCCAACAAAACACGCCACGAGAGCTTGCAAAAAGTTGAATGGCTCCACTGCTGGCCGTGGTGGAGCTCGGATGAATTAAAGAAGAAGCAGGCCGACGGAAGATAGCCATTCTAGGTACGATCACCGTCGGCAAAGACAATGACCAATGCACCCAATGAATATGAATAATCAAGAACCCTGACTGATTTCTCAGCACGGAGCAGGTTACCGCATGCGGCCAGTCGCGGGGGAGGAGTACAGTGCAAAGACGATCTGAGCATTCAAGTTCCCGATCGAATCTGACCCTCAGCACTTAATCTAGGCTCAGCTTCGGATTGGTTGGGAGATGAACTGCCGAAACTTCCGATCCATCAGTTCATGCTTATTACTATTACTGACGTGGGGTGTTAACTACTATGAGGACACTAGATCTGATACTAGTATTGCACTAACGAACACAAGCTCATCGGATGCAAATTCATAAAGTTCCCCAGGTGATTATTTAACATGGTATATCGATTAGTCATTCTATCTATCGTCCAGTTCATCAGACGGACTCGAGGTATCAAAGAATTAAGTCGCCGCCTCATAATAACATACGTCTCTAGGGTTTTCCTTTTCCCCTCTCTCCTAAGCCGTTCCGTTCACAGTGCCTGCTGCCTTAGAGATGAAGAAATCCCCACCCTTGATCATCTTGACCATAAAGCTGAAGGGGACCATGCCGAACAACTGCCCAGTGCCTCCACTCTCACCCACCGGGACGACCATCATGACACTATCGCCCTGGTCATATGACTGGCGCTCGCCCTTGCCAGCAATGTCTGCTTTGAGGTTGTTGGCCGCGATTTTGGCCTGCTCCATCGTCTTGAAACTCAAACGCATAGAGTTATTGGTGATGTCGCCAGCAGCGTAAATCTTGTCGGCGGAAAGAACGCGCAGCTCCTTGTCGACCTTGACCCAGCCATCCTGGTCCAGGAACTGCTCGGGGATGAAGCTGTTGTTAGGCAGAACGCCGGTGGTGGGGATGTAAAGATCGGCGTTGATCTTCTCGCCGTTGCTCAGAGAGACGGTCCAGGACTTAGAGGCATCCTCGCCGGAAGCTTCGACTCCACTGACTCGGGTAGAGTTGATCACCTTGACGTTCAACTTCTTGAGCAATTTCTCAGCGCTGGAGCTGGCAGATGGTTTGAGCATGGAGAGAACCCGATCGGTTGCCGAGACCAAGGTGATAGACGCCTTGTTGCCGCTCTGCTTAACTGCTTCCGCAATCTCGCCGGCGACTTCGACACCAATGGGGCCTGCACCACCAATGACGATCTCCTTAGCACCAGAGATCTGCTGTTGAGATGCGGCGATTATTTCTTTCAGGTCGTCGTGGTTGGTCGGCTTGAATGGGATTGGAGAACCGGTGATGGAGCCGTTGGATGAAGCTGTCGTGCTGCCAGATGCGATGACAAGGTAGTCATAGGACACCGTCCTGGCATCGCCAGCATTGGGGGTCACCGAGACGCTCTTGGCAGTGGCATCGATGGCAGTGGCAGTTCCGGCAATGAATTCGAACGATTCGGCGGGGTACTTGGCAAAGGCATTGGGGATGGGAAGCAGATACTGATCGGGCGAGAAGGCCTTTGCCTTGGCGACGATGCGCGGAGCGGCGATGTTCCAGTAGAAAACGGTGGATGGGTTGACGAGCACAACCTTGACGTCGGGAACGGCAAGCAGAGAGTGAGCTATATGGAGACCTGCGTAGGAGGCGCCAACAATGGCAACAGTGGTGGGAGCCATGGCGGATGTGTTGGTGGAGAAAAGTGTGATTGAAGACTGCGAGAATGGAAGCTATCAAGGTGGGACCAAGAAGTATTTATACACGACCCAGTCACCAGTTACCAGCCAGGTACTAGTGCAGAAGTTAGTCACACCCGTCCACCTTTTTCCAAAAGCAGAGCTTGAAGAGGCAGAGAAAAGTGAATCTTTGTTTGTCAGCTACTACACTCTAAATGCGCCTAGCTTATCAATCCTAGTGCCACACAATGCTGCTTACTGGACGTGCCTCAGGGTCGGAAGTCCCGTGATCCGGGTTCCGCTTACTCACCGGGTATAGTAGAATAGTAGAATGGTAGAATAGTAGAGAGAAATGTCTTATACACTGTGCTGGGAGCCTGGGCGATTAATCGTCATACTAGCAACAATTGAGAATGTATATTGTTTTTTACTCATCCCAATGGCAATCCATACTGTATTTATCCCCCTGTCCTCTGATTGGCGCGATTGCAGACTCTATCGATAAGGCCACGTGATTCCAGAAAGTTTTCATCGCGCGCGAGAAACCATCCGCGACATCGCCACAACACCCTTCCATTTCACTAATTCATCCATCATGTTTGGTGCCGTGCGTCGTTTCGGTACTGCCCATGCACTACGTGCAGTGGTGCCGCGCTCCACACATGTTCGCTGGACTCCTCAATTGTTCAAATGGCAGCCCTCGTCAACCCTTTCCCCTGGCCTGGTACGGTCTTTCCAGACTTTCCCGGCCCTGCGTGAGGCCACTGCTGCCGCTGCCGCTGAGGCTGAGGCAGACACTGGAGTGAAGGAGACTTCTGAACAAGAAATCATCACAGAGTTTGCGGATCTGCAAACGTCGGGCCTCGTCAGCCCTTCGCTGATCCGAAACATCACTCACCCCAGCCGCATGGGTCTGAAGACCATGACCGATGTTCAGAGTCAAACCATCAACCAGATGCTTCAAGGCGTCGATGTGTAAGTTCTTCTTTTGTCTTTCAAAGGCTCATCCCTCCATTTTTTAAAACTGCCGCTGACTTTTGGTTCAGTTTGGCCCAGGCAAAGACCGGAACCGGCAAGACGCTTGCCTTTCTCATCCCAACCATGCAGAACATTCTCAACGATCCCACATTCGTTCAGACTCGCAAAACTGGCCGTGGTCGTACCGGAGCTAGCTGCGCCGATGTTCGCGCCCTCATCATCTCGCCCACCCGCGAATTGGCTGAGCAAATTGCTGCCGAGGCGATGAAGGTTGCAGCCAACACCGGTCTCGTCGTTCAGACTGCTGTCGGTGGTACACAAAAGTCGTTTGGATTGAGGAAGATGCAGCGCGAGGGTTGCCATCTTCTCGTTGGAACCCCTGGCCGTCTTAAGGATATTTTCTCCGACCCCAGGAGTGGCGTTGCGGCTCCCGAGCTGAACACCCTGATTCTCGACGAGGCTGATCGTCTGCTGGATGACGGGTTCTCACAGGAAATTAGAGAACTCCAGAACCTCTTCCCAGACCCATACAAGGTAGACCGTCAGACACTCATGCTCTCGGCTACCGTGCCCCGTGAGGTGATGAGAATGGTTGATAGAACTATGAAGCCGGACTACAAGTTCGTCAAGACCATTCGGGAGGATGAAGCTCCTACCCACATGCGGGTGCCTCAGAAGGCCGTGTTCATGCAAGGATATGAAAATGTTCTGCCCACTATCCTCGAGCTTGCCAAGGAGTACAAGGCTCGCCAAAGCGAGGACCCTAGCCTGCGTCCTTTCAAGGCCATCATCTACGCCAATGCCACAAGCGAGGTCTCACTCTATGCCAGTGTCTTCGAGGAGCTTCGTGTCTCCCCCGAAGACCGCCGCCGCCCTCTGGGTCGTATGGCCATGATTGAGATTCATTCCAGGCTCACCCAGGCCGGGCGTACTGCTGCCGCCAACAACTTCCGAAAGGCAAGTGAGGCCATCCTCTTTTCTTCGGACGTGACTGCCCGTGGTATGGACTTCCCGGAAGTGACCCACGTCCTCCAGGTGGGTGTTCCCCGCGATAGAGTGACCTACGTCCACCGTCTCGGTCGTACCGCTCGTGCCAACAAGACCGGTGAAGGCTGGATTTTCCTCACCGAGGGTGAGCGCCAGCATTATCAAAAGCTGCTTAACGGTATTCCCATCGAAGAAGACCGCACTTCATTCCCTGTTGCCGCCTACGACATGACCGAGGGCCTGTCAGGCGAGCCTGATAGCTCCCTTGCCCAGGCCATGAGCGCCATGGCCATGTTGCCCCCTGCCACCCGTGAAACCGCCTGGAAGTCCCAGTTCGGCACCCTCATCCCGACACATGGAGACCGCCGTGCCTGCGTCGCGGCGATGAACCGCAATGCCGTCCACGGATACTGTCTGCCCGAGCCTCCCGCTATCAGCGCTCGTGTCGCCCAAAACCTAGGCATTAGCCGAGTCCGCGACCTGAACGTTGAGGGACCTCGCCGTAACTTTGACGATGATCGACGTCCCCGTGGCGGTTTCGGCCGCGATTCCAACCGCGGTGGCTTTGGTCGTGATTCTGGTCGTGATTCTGGTCGTGACTCTGGTCGTGGTTTTAGCCGCAACTCAGACCGTGGCTCAGACCGTGGCTCAAACCGTGGTCGCCGGCCAGGCGGTTTCAACGATCGCAATCCTCGCGGTCGGTACAACAACTTCGTCGACAAAGATAGTGGATTTGGCGGTCAGTCCCGCGAATTCAAACCAACCCGTCGGAGCACGTTTGATGACGACTTTTAATCTGTGACACGAATTTTCCACTCGTGAAGCAGGGCAATCGATAGAGTTACCTTGCCATTCTCGCATCCGGGCGGCGTTTCTATGTCTTTTGGCTTACGTCCTTGTACAATATGCCTGCTGTCTTGATTCCTCCACTTCCACTTCTCACCTCATGTGTTATATTGCTTCAAGTTCATTGTGAACGATATGTAATTTCAAAAATTGTACTATACACAGGATACCATCTAGCAAATCATTCCTCTTACTATTTAGAATTCAATCTACATCCATTACAGCATAATAAAATCCTCACTCTTAACCTTGGAAAGAACTTGAACTTGATCAATTAATAATGGTTTGTACTATATATGTAGTAATCACTGTTTAAGTATACCTATTTTACAACCTTGGAACTAAATAACTCCACCTACCTCATGTCGAACAGCCTTGTCCAAGAGAACGACAACCAACTTGAAGGAAATGTCTAGCATGTATGTCCATTGGGGAATAAGTAACACCGGAAGCAGGATGTTAAGATGGAAACCGTGTATAATTCAATAACATATCCCAATATTTTGCAGTAACCAGGTACCCGAGACTGGAAAAACAGAGAAATCTACCCAAAAAGGAAGACACTTACAATATATCAACCTCGGAAAGGGGGATGGGATGGAGGGACGAGGGGATAGAGAGGGAAGGGAAGGGATATAACACCTATTCACGCAGTTTCTTCATTCAATCTACTCGCGGGCAATCATGTGCTCACGAGCGGGACCGGTACCGATCCACTTGACGGGGACATTGCCGATCTCACGCTCGATGAACTCAATGTAGGCCTGCGCATTGGGCGGCAAGTCCTCGTAGCGGGTGACACCCATGGTGTTGGATTTCCAGCCAGGGAGGGTAGCGTACTCGACCTGAATCTTGTCGACGACGTTGGGGTCGGCGGGGAAAGTGAAGGTAGTGCGGGTGCCGTCGGGCAGGATGTAAGCGACACCAACCTTGATCTCGTCAAAGTCATCCAGGACATCGAGCTTGGTGAGGTTGAGCGCGGTATAGTGGTTGATGGCGTGGGAGTAGCGGGCGAGAACAAGGTCGAGCCAGCCACAGCGACGACGACGACCGGTCGTCACGCCGAACTCGCGACCAACCTTCTGCAGCTTGTCACCGTCCTCGTTCAGCTGTTCGCTGGGGAACGGTCCGGATCCGACGCGGGTGGTGTAGGCCTTCAAGACACCGATAACGTTCTTGATGCTGCTCGGGTTGAGGGCAAGTGCTTGCACGGCACCGCCCAGGCCGGTGGAAGAGGAGGTGACGAAGGGGTATGTGCCGTGGTCGAGGTCCAGCATGAGGGCGTTGGCGCCTTCGACGAGGGTGTTGGCGGAGTCCTTGTGCTTGTGCAGGAACTCGAGTTGGTCGACGATGTAGGGCTGAAGCTTGGTGCGGTATTCCTGTAAAATATACTTCATTAGAGAGCCGATTCTAACCTGCATGCACCCCAGACCAAATCCGATTAACCCCAGGCCGGGGTATTTCCCTTCCCCCCCCACAAAGTCTCAGATTCTCATTCTCCCCACGAACATACCTTGAAACGGGCAATTTCCTCCTCGACATCGTAAGAGATATCGCCGAAGCGAGCGCGGTACGAAGTGTCAAGTGTGCGCAATTTCCGCTCGAAGGTCACCTCATCCAGAATCTCACCGATGCGCACACCACGGCGTGCAGCCTTGTCACTGTAGCAAGGACCGATACCCTTACCGGTGGTGCCAACCTTACGGCCACCGAGACCAGCCTCTTCCAGACCATCGACAACAGAGTGGAGATCGAAGCAGACGTGCGCGCGGTCAGAGATGAAGATGCGCTTGCTAGCGGAGGTCAGACCCTTGGCCTCGATGTGAGCGAGTTCCTTGAAGAAGCTGGGGACGTGGACGACAGTGCCGGCGCCGATCAGGTTGATACATGAAGGGGAGACCAGGCCTGAGGGCAGAATGTGGAAGTCGTAGGTGACGTTGTCGTGGACGATAGTGTGACCGGCATCTGGGAAGAGGAAATTTAATTGAGCATTCGTTCAAGTTCCCATTTGGACCAGGGCCATGTGGGTTGGAACGTACTGTGACCACCAGCAGCACGACAGCAGAGAGTCGCCTGCTGCGACAGCATATCGGTGATCTTGCCCTTCCCTATAAGAATCGACAATCCGGCGTCAGCATCTCGTCTTGACTCAATTCTCTTTCCCTTTTGCCCTCTGCGGGCGACTCCGCGGACTCACCCTCATCACCCCATTGACTTCCTAAAACAATAGAGACCATGGTTGCGGTTGTGTATGTGCCGATTCCAAATGCGTGCCAATCACGATGCTTGGATATGCGTGGATTGGAGATCAATTGCAATCAATTGTGTTAGTGGCGGGGAATTGGAAAAGAAGAGAAGTACGTCCGGCTTCGGGATGGCGGGGCAAAGTATTCTGGCGCGGGTCAGTGGTTCAAACTTCTCTCGGTGTACAATTGGGGTCACCCATTTGGGATAAGGAGAGATGTAGTAGCCGGGGGTTGATATTTTCATACCGGATAGTAACTTCAAAAGGTTCAAAAGTAACACCCTATAGAAAAAAGGGCAGCCCCGATAGATTTACATACTCGAGGCCCCGCGGTGACTCCAAACGTGACTCATGATCGTATTTTTTCCCGCACAGTTTTGGTATTTTACGGTATTTCCAGTACATGAAGTATACCTGCCTCAGGCCTCGATATCAAGTACGAGGAAGCGATATGGAGGAACTAGATTCAACTAGATTCTGGGGCAAGATATCAAAACAGTACTAGTACAATCTCAATGTATGCATGCAACCTCAGGGCATGCAAAATTAATGGGCCCGAGGCTAATATCTATCAAATGCAAATCATATCCAGGGTATTCACCAAAAAAGACACCAAAGCCTAGCCTAACATGCAATAAAGAACAACGGCGAGAAACGCTCAACACACCTCATCTCATTCATCATAGAACTTCAAGGCATTCATTCAAATCACTTTTCCTCCTCTGCGGATCCACTCCCGAAGTCGTCCCAGATCAACGATACACTCGCGGTGCAACTCACAAGCCACATCCCAGTGCTTCCGTACCTGGACATCCTCTTCAATGCCTCGCAGGTACGCACTGTACCCACCGGTTCGACGATCAGGAACCAAATCATCAATATCCGCCTCATCAACTTCCGCATGACCCTGGCTCTTTTCCGGGGTTGCATCTCCGTCCGCACCATTCATTCGTAGACGTGCTGTGTCGCCCACAGCACTTATCCAGCCCGGAGCGAGGCCTGTTTCGATGGCATCCTGCCGGGTATTGAAATGCAGCAGCATGCGTCGATTGAAAATATTCCAGTCGTGCATATAGCTGCCCATAGTGGACACGTAATAATTCCATTTATCGCGAGAGAGCATGAGGGTTTGCGAACCCGGTTGAAGGACGAGATCAGGTGCACGGGGTCGCTTGGGCGGGTTGGGCAGCTCGAGCTTCCGTGGTTGGATTTCTTCTTTCGTGGTTGCCTGCTGTCTTGCCTTCGACTCGAATGGTAAGGTCGCGAAGACGTCTTCCAGGTTTTCGATACCACCGCTGTTAGTGCTGGTAAATGGTGCCGTGTTGCGAAGATTATCCAGATTAAACAGAGGCGTGCGAGTCTCTGCCTTGGATGCGCCATTTACTGTATGATGCATTGCGGTTTGCTTCGATGCGCCTGAATCACTTCCTGCAGCGTTTCCATTTAGATCCGGATAGCTTGTGTTTGCCGACCCACTAGCAGAACCATGCCCTGAGGCGGATGATGCAGTTGGATGAACCGCGGGGATTTCATCATCAAGATCCATGGCCTCAGGCTCGACCTCGGCCTCAATAGGCGGGGTCGGTGTTGACTCCAAGGGAGTATCGCCATTGGTTGTTCCTTTGTTTTCTTCGGCCTCGGTCGTCACTTTTGCCGGCTGGGGGGGTGCTTTTTTTGTTGCCTGATCTGGCCGGCTTCTTGGGGCTCCGTGAAGGTGGGGTGTTTGCTTGTCGGGGTTTGTGAGTATCCGATGGATTCCAGGGAATATTTCGTAGCTGTTCGCTCCACTGCTCAGCTGAAAACTTCGCTTGTGCAAATGGTGTTGGCGCCTGTTGCGGCTGTGCCTGTGGTTGAGGTCCAGTTCCTGTCGTTGGTGCAAATGAGTCAAGACCAGGCCGGCCAGTCTCTCTCCTCGATGACCCCGAGCCAGTGGAATTTGTTGCCCTGCCCTGGCTTTGCGAGACAGGCGAGGTACGCAATGGATTTACTTGTGGGGGTTGCGTCAGGTCATCTATTGACATGTTTGCAAATTTTGGATGCGAATAGTTTTCTGCTTTCCGCGGCTGAAAGTCACGGTATAACTTTGCTGTCTTCTCCCTGTCCGCACTGCCCTTGGATGATGAGCGAAATGCGTCTTTGCTCGTGGCGTGGGCACCGAGAAAATCGAACTTGTTAATATGTTCTCTCCAGTCCTCTTCAGAAAACTTCTTGTGTAAGTTACTGGGACTGTCTCGCCCGAACATTGGTTGGGAGGTTGGCTTGCTTTGAGCTGAATCAGGGCTGTACATATAGAAAAATGATGAGTTTGACTTCCTTGAAGGGTGGGGACGAAGAGCGTCATACCGTGAAGCAGGGTTGCTGAATGGTCCTTGCTGGCCCTTGGGGAAAGCTGCACTGTCGGAATTATGGCCTTGATTACGGTTTAAGTCAGCATTTCCATCCTGGGATCCTGAGTTTCTTCGGTATTTCCAGAATCCTTCCGGAGACGGCGACAGCCTGGAGTGTTTTTGGCCTTGTCGGGCACGAGGGTCCTCACCAGTGCTGGAGCTCGAATCATTGCCGTAGAGATCAGGAAACTTCTGACGGTGGCGCATTCGACTCTTGGGTACGGCCTTCGGTTTAGGCTGAGGTTCGGGAATATCCTCTTCGTCATCGTCTAGGTCGCTAGAGGTTTCTGAGACTGAATATTCCCGATTGCGTCCGCTCTTCGGACTGACACTACGGTGACGTCCGTGTTGGCTAGGAGTCGGACTGGGTGGATTTGTGCGTGCACTGGAGGTTCGGTAGCCTCCAGATGGAGTGCGTACAGTGGACGAACGTCCAAGCCCGGAGCTTGTAAAGAATGTCTTCTCGCCACCTGCCGTCGCATAGCGGCTACTGGCACGTTCGTACTCGGGATGGAACTGTGGTAGATCGGGAACCACTGGTTTCTTTGCCGTGGGCGCTCGTGGAGGAGAATCGAAATACATGCTGCTTGGCCGGCTGGAGCTGGTATACGCCGAGGTATTTCGGGCCATGGGTTCGTCATCTCCTGAGGCCCCAGGGGCATATCCGTTCCTCTTCTTGGGTGAATGAGGGGTTGAGGAAGGATTCTGCGTTCGGTAACTTTCTTGGAAGCGCTCGTAGGCGGATTGAGGTCGTGGTTTTCCAAAGGGTTGATTCTGCTGTCTTGGTGTTCCTCCGGCGGTTGAACCTCCCGTATTTGGGTCAAATCCTCGCCAGCCGGCGGCGCCCCTCATTCCTGAGAACCCTTTAAACGCATCTGCTCTTGTTTGACCCTCATCCCGTGGCTTGTGCCATGACGTTGGCCCCGCACGGGCATGTGCTTCGTACCGCTTGGCGCCTGAGGACGGTCCATTTGACGTGGGTTGCGGTTTCGTAAAAGGTGGCGGATTATATTGGGGTCGTGGAGGAGTAGGTCTGAAGGCAGTTGGCTGTGGCTGTGCTCTCCGCGAGGTATTTGTCTTTGGAGGCCCGGATACCTTGCCGTAACCAGCGCGCAATCGATCTGTATCGTACTTGAGGCGTTGCTGGGGGTCACTCAGAAGATCGTGGGCGGTTTTGATGGCCTGGAACTTGGCATTAAACTCTGCCTCCTTCCCGGGATTCTTGTCAGGGTGGTATTTGAGCGCTACATGATGTGTTAGCACAAATCCAGATGTGTTGTCTTGAAAGTCCATTGTTTACCCACCTAGCTTTCTGAACTGCTTTTTGATATCCTCTCCTTCCGCGCTGGGGGCGAGCCCCAGGTCTGCATAATAGTCCCTTCGCACGTCGGCTTTGGCCATGTTGTTACCGGTTTAATGCGGCGATACTAGAGTTCCGAGCCGTATCCAAGGGTCATCATAAGCGGTCGTGTACAAAGTCGGTGCTCACGCGCATGTCCGGGAGAGAGAGAGAAAAGTCGAGGTTGGCGAACTCGGTCGATGCGCGTTACTTTTGGGCGCAAGCCAAAGCGAATGTATCGAGGCGAAACGAATGAGAGTAGTCCTAAGACGGACTAGCGAAAGAACTTGACGTTCTAGAAAACCGACGAATGAATGGATTAAGTGTGAATTCGGTGGGAGTCGGTTGCCTGCAGGGCCCGCTCCGACAGGGCTGAGCGAACCTGGAGCACGAACTAGCGGAGGCGGGGGATTCGGTGCTTGCGATCGCGGCGAATGGGCATGGTACGCGTCGTGAAGGTTGACTCGACACAGGGAGAGAAGTTTCTCGAGGGGTGTGGAGGGGGGAGGGAAGGGCAGGAAAGTTCGAGGGCGGGCAGAATCGCAGATCGGGGAGATCGTGAGATGGGCTAGGCAGTCGGAGTACTGTGAGCACAGGGCACTGGGCACCTGATGAGGTCGAAGTCAGGCTGTTGGGTCCAAGCGCACGGGGCCAAGGTAGCCAACGAGATGCGACAAATAAAGTGTCAGTGCCAGTGCCTCAGCCTCTGGATGTGTTGGCTGATTAAGTGAGGAAAGGAGGAAAAAAGCGGCTGTGTTTGTTTTGGCGCGGGTTGCTGCCCGATTCGACTTGGCCGGCCTGGACTTTCCAGTGCATTCTCCTTACAGAGGAGCCTTAGATAGTGTCATTACTGCGGTATACTATGTCCAGGATGTCTCATCTCTGTATGTTTATGTTTATATTTATATTTATATTTAAAGATATAGATAGTATATAAGAAATATATGGTATCTCAAAACTCAAGACACATTGCAAAATCCAAAATAGAGATCAAAAATCAATATCAAAAAAAAAAGAAAAGAAGACAAGAACAAATCCAAAACAGCCATAACCCCGGACTCGCGAAACCGGTCCTTTTCCTGTTAATCCTCTCTGACAATGCAATCCCTAATAAAGCAAGTAGCGGTGGTAGAGGTGAGGTTGAGGTTGGGATAGTAAATGGCAAGAACCAGCAAAATCGTGTGGAGGGAGGGGGCGTGAAGGAGAGACAAGGGATGATACAAAAAAGAGATACATGCAACATAAAAGGATTAAAGGAAAGTAAAGAAGAGGAGGATTGGGGGAGGAGAGCAAGAAGAGTAAAGAGGAGAGATAAACACCTTACGCATCCCCACCGGATGCGCCAGGTCCAGAGCCCCCGAAGAAATACCCTTCTAGAAGATCATAGTTGGGATTTTCACTCCAATCATGTTGGAAATCCATAGCCATGCCAAAGCCCAGATCAATGCCCACGTTCTGTCCTAAGTTGGGACCGATAGGAGGCATATTGGCGAGATGATAGTCTGCATTCGCATCTGTCTCCATATTCGATGGATGATCGGGATCTCCAGAGCTAAAGTCCAAGAAATCGAGACTGATTCCAGGTTGATTATCCGGGTGGTCGGTAGGTGGAACGCCATGAGGGCCATTGGCAGAATGGGCGGCAACACTGCCAGGAGAACCGCTCTGCGGTGGCGAGTTACCATAGTAGAACTGAGGGTGAGGGGCCTGGGGAGAAGTGGAGTTTTCATATTTCATATAGTACTCCATCGAGGGAGTGCGCTGGGCGAACGGACGACCTGTGTGATCTGTGGGTGCGAAGCCCGGAGGTAGAGTCTCTGGGGCATCTGGTCGGACAGCATAGGGAGGTCCCCCGGGCCTATTCTCGATCCTTGATCGGTCCGCCAGAGGCGGGTTGTCGCTGAATAGGTCTGCCAGGTTCATATCGAACTTGGGAACTGGCCGCGACGAGCGACTCTGGGTTTGTCGGCGAGCCTGACCTTGGCCCGGTTGTTGTCGTTGACCCATTTGCTGGCGTGTGCGGCCATGATACAATGAGCTGCTTGCGTGAGACGATGTCTGCACACGGGACATGTCAACTTGAGACCCGAAGCCGGTCGTAGAGAGACACATCTGGACTGTGGCCTTGCTCATCCGCTCGAAAGCATCACGGCAATTCTCAGCAGGTGGACATTTATGCATCAAATCACCCAGAACGGATGTTGCCGCAAGGACAGTAAAATCGACTTCATCGAGAGTGAGTCGGCTTCGAACAAGAGGCGAATGCCAGATAGCATATAAGAAGGAGATTCCTAGAACGGCAAGGTCAGTACTCAATCAAGTCGGTGTAGTAGAGCAAGCAGTGGGTTCTTACCAGCCATGAAAATATGGTGAGTAGCAAGATACGTATAATTCACCAAACGCACACGGTGAAGCTGACGATAGATTCGAATCACTTTCTGACCAGCTTCGGCAACATTCAGGTAGACATGGTCTTCTTCATCACCCTCGTCCGGATTTGAGAAGGATGGACTGGAGACATCGTCGGCCGGAGTCAATTCGCTAGCCAACTCAGCGGGTACCGTCAAGCTCTGCTGATAGAGCAGAATTATGCCTTGCCAATAGTTCAACTCCAAAAGTTCGATAGAGAATCGAACGCCAGTGTCCGCGCGAGTTGGGGCTGTCTCGTGCCATTCCACCAAGCGACGGTGTACATCATGTCGCCACGAGCGGAATGAATCAAATCCTTGGAGGAACGGTGAGGTAAGTTCAGCGTGGGGCAAGATAACCATGCTATCTGGCGCACGTCTTCGCACAGCACGGGCTTGCTGGTATTGAAGGACATCGTGAATTTCGGATTGAAGAAGACGAAGCTTGAAGTAATGGAAAGCCACATGCTTATAAGTCGGGGCTCCCTCGGGTGGTGACAACAGACCAGACTTGGTGATAAACTTGTCATCCATCATGGATGGGAACTCGGTGCTGATGGCTTGATCGCTAATACCGAATGGCCGTCCGACGCAAGTAGCAACGAGACGGTCAAAGCTGTATACACACCACCAAAGGCGACGTCGCAGGTCACGAACCCATTCGCGTCGGCCACGCTCACGCGCATCGATGCGGGGTTGAATAGGGTTACCATCCTTGGATCCGGTATCAAGACCAACCCCATCTTCATAGTGGAGGCCCAAATCAACTGCTAGGCGCATAGCGACACCCACAATATACCACAGACCCGGTGCAACAGGCCGGAGCAGAGCAAAGCTGGCCAACAAAAGCACTGCTTGGAGTTCTTCTAACCCACCGAAGCCCTCACTGGATGAGGATCCCAGGAAAGATTCCAAATGCACTATCGCCGAGGCATGGTACTCTTCTGGCTGGTATTGGTGACTAGACAGCCTTGGTCGCTTGGTTGTGGACGAGGCTCGGTCACGGCCAGCGCGGCTCTCCTCATCTGAACTTTGGGGCTTGTCGTCGAAGATGATCCCAGCGCCAATAGCAAACACAATGTTGAGGATATAAAGAGCGCGTGGGGATCGATTTTTCTCTTCCAGCTGATATGTTCGATCTAAAAGTTCCATAAATTCCGGGCGGTGGAGAATGGGCATTTGGGGGTTGGCGTGTTCGAAATAAAGATCGATGAGTCGCTCAGCTAGCTCGCGGTCGGGGAAGGCTGCACGCTTCATCATCGGCTTCGTCTGGAGACCGAAGAAAGAATCTCGCATGGTGCCTCCTCCAGGTCCACCGGCGGCTGTTTGGGGGAGACGGTCACTTGTCCGGATCGGAGCACGCTCGGGTATGTTGCCTGGCAGTGAACTTCTCACTGCAGCAAAGACAACTCGAGCAAATGATATACCGGATGTGGAGCCAAGATACCGAGGATCAGATGTGCCTTGCACTGAAACCATGCCGATGTTTGATACCAAGTTGTGCAAGCGCCAATTGTCCTCATTGGCGGGATCGCGAGCACCTTCTGCAGTCTGTTCCACATCCGCTCTTTGCTCGGACCGGTCATTCTCCTCCTTTAATGCTGGATTCTTCCATTGTGTCTTGTCGGAGATATCAATGGCGTTTCCGTCAAGAGTAGATGAGGGTTGCGCAATTTCGGGTTCTGTTTCCGTTTTGACTGCCTCCTCTTCGTCAAAAGCAACAGCCTTTTTAAACTCTATCTGATGCTCCGCCAGCTGCTTCTCTAAATAGGCGACTCGGGTTTCTAGGAAATACACGTAACTGCGTGGTATCTCTCGCTTGGTGATAGGGTCATATCCGACACAGCGGACACCCGCCTTTTCACAGGATTGGCATCGTGGGAGGCGCTGATCACAGCGGTTCTTGCGTAGTCGACAGCGATTACAGGCAGACACGTTTCGAAAGGAGGACGAGGATGCACTCGAGGCAACGGTGGCAGTTGAATGCGCCGGCGATGTGGAAGGCCCGGCAGCCGAGGCGGAGGGGTTGGGGCCATCGCGCAAGGTATGCGACACCGCGGGGTCGGGTTGAGTGGGCGATGTGTCGTTGGAGGGGTGTGGTCTCTTCTTCCCCGAAGCAGAGAGGGGGGATGGCGGGGAGGGAAGGTTAGGCATTTTGGGGGGGCGAGTGGTGAGGGCGACAGACTTGCGATCATCTCTTGGAGGTGGAGTTCTGCGGAGATAGCGGTCGGGAACAGCGGTAGGACACCCCGGGCCGAATCAGCGTTCATGATAAACCGGTGAGGTGTAGCAAAGTTGTCTCGATGCAGGGACACGGTTCTTGCGATCCAGAATGAGAGAAAAGGAGGCGGCCCGCACTTCTCAACGTGGTTGCGGCGAACAAGCTCTCTCCGCGGCGCAGGTAGTACGCAACGGAGGGTGAATATCCTCCGACAAGTGGTTTAACTAGGAAAGTCGGTAGTTGGGTGGCGGATCTCTGAGGGGCGCGATTCAGTCGCGACAACATAGAACAAATTGACCAGCGTCCTAGAAGGACTGCGAGGACGACACGGTAGCTGCGTAGCGATGAAGGAGAGAGAGTAGCATCCGATAGGGTTCTGGTGGAGCGTTTCGGGTCAGCTGTGGGTGGCCCATCCAGACTCTCCGGATATTAAGTTTCCCGAGGGCATGGAGAAATCCATCGGCATCTCGGTACCCCAGGTTTCTCCTTGCTGCCCGAAGGATTAGTAGGTCCCTAGGTAGGGGAGGGGGAAGGTCACAGCGATCATTTAGTGCCTAGTCAGCATTGATCTTTGGCCGACAATTGGCCCTGTCCGAAGACTGACCACAGCCATTGCCGTGCGACGCAGTAACTAGTCGGCGGCGGAGTCGAGGTGTCAAGTGGATCTCCCCCCGGGATATATGTCTTGTCATTGGTGGAGCCGCGGAGAACTTGACTGACAGTTGGTCTCGAGGAGTTCCGCTGTGCAGATGGGACGAGGGTGGGAAAGGTCACGGTGTGAGGTGAGGCGAGGCGAGAAGAGGAGAGGAAGGGGAAGGTTGGAAATTTCTCAGCCCGAGACAATGGTGCGGTGACGACTAGTACTATTTATGATGTGCACTGGCATGGCCTGATTGCCGTTCTGCACGGAAGGTGGTATAATACTACGATGTATGAGTGGATATGCTTGGCTTGCAGTACTGCTAAAGACTTACACTGGAGTGCTTGCTACTAGTAACCATTTAGGCGCCCGTGTGGGGGCCTCTATACCATGAAGAGGAAAAGAAGACTGTGAGTGAACAGGTCCGAGTGCCAGTGGTTAGGTGGTCGGTTGTTAAATTGATCAAGTCTGTGACTGTGGAATCTATCTTGAAAGATTCAGTGGTGCTTGGATAGGGCAACCAGATAATGTGAAAAAAAACCAACAACAAAAAGAGCAATGAACAACATAATGCAAAAAACGAAAACACAGGTAGCCTCCCAGATGCATGAGTATCATCATAATATATCCCGTTTCAATGCTCCAAGGTTAAAGAAAATGACAATGACAAAACATAACACAATATAGATGAAGAGAAGAATGAGATCCGAATTCGAAGCTTTTTTTTCGCAGATGCATCCCTTCTATGATAGTTGCGCCGTGTCCTGCTCTCAAAATGAGAGAAAAGCAGAGAAAAAAAGAGAAAAAAAAGAGAAATAGAAATAGAAAATCATGAGGTCGAGGGGAATCAGGTATCATGGCTGGAGATGGAGAGAGGAAGAAAGAAAGTGCCCATGAGATAGGGCAACATGCAGCAGCGCTGGCAATCGTAGAGTCTTTCCAGAAGACCGGTATATGAATTGAAAAAAGGAACGGGTAAAGAAGGAGAAGAACAAGAAAGGTAATGAGCAAGGCAGATAGCCCATTATCTGTTTTCTTTCGATGTCGGAAAGAGCATAATCAGACGGTTTAGATTAAGTGCGAGGAACTGACGTCATATCCTCATCGGAAGTAGGCATGGTCAAATTCAGATTTGAAACGTCGTAGTCGTGGTCAATGCTGGAACGTAGAGAAAGCAGTCGCTGCTCCTCTTCCGAGATCGTGGAGATAGAAGTGCGCGGGGTGAAAGGCTCCGAGAGAGCTTCTCGCTTCATCTGCGCCTCACTCACTTCAGGCTGGTCCTTGAACCGCTCAGGCTCTGAGGACTCCTCCATCCAAAAGCTCTGGAAGGCACCAATCAAGCAGACGAGACCGCAGGCCCACCATGCCAGCACGGAGTGCCCGCTCTCAAGCCCCTTGGAGTGCAGAAGACCGGTTATTGTCGGACCAAAGGCACGACTGAGACTAGCAGTGGAAGCAGCAGCACCATTGATAGATCCCAGGACCTTCGACGTGGGGGCGGCATTAGCAAGGATGATGTTGATGGCGGGGAAGGCGATGACATGGAAGGTGATCTTGCTGATCAGGGCGACGTAGACGGCTGGCATCTGCAATTTAGCCGGCAGGAGAATAAGATAGGGTACGGCCAAATAGAGCGGCGGCCAGACAAGCAGCACGAAACGGAACGTGCGCACAGTGCCAAAGTGCTTGACAACGAATGGAAACAGCCATAGTTGGGCAATCATGGAGTAGACACCCTGCACGGCTAACATCAGACCAATGGTCTTCGTGGGAAGCCCGAGACCACCAGTGAACTCAAAGGGCAAAACAACGCGGTCGTCGGATTTGGGTGTGCTCAGGAAGACTGGCATCAGCTGATCGAAGGAGACGCTGTGGCTGTAGAAAAGAAACAAGGTTGTCAGCATCATGGAAATCGGGCGGGACAAAATACAACCCTTCGCCAAGCCTACACAGCCAGGAAAGAGGAAGAGGGTGGGTGGAGGGGTACGGGCCAACTCACTATGCCAGAATGCCGTAAGCAGCGATGGTGATGATGACTTGTCGGGTGAACGCCTTGGGAGCGGCGGATTTCTGACCCTCGAGGTCACACTCGGAGGTTGTTGAGGCGTCCTTCACAGGGCGCAGGCAAGGCGATGATTCGGCACTCTCGTACTCGGGTGGCATATCCCCGTAGACGAAGTACTTGGTCTCTTCGACCACGTCGGAATCCTCGGGGAGTTGCACGCGCGAGCCCCAGCATTGGTTGACGAGCCAGTGGCCTAACTCCACGCCAGGGTCACGACGGTGCTTCTTCTCCGGGTGGGTCTCTTCCAGAAACAGGGTACCGACAACGATGCCGCAGATCAGGACGATAATGCAAACCAGATTGGGCAGCAGGAATGGAAATCGGTCAAAGAAGGTCTCTCGCGCAAAGAGCCACGGATAGTTCTCGCAAGGTTGGGCCAGGGCACCGCCCATAGCCGGCCCAACGATCGAACCGATACACCAGACAAAGGGCATGATAGAATAGGCTCGAGGCTGATGCTCCTTGACCGTGACGATCTCCGCCACAGTTGTCTGAAGTACACCAATATTGCCGTTCAGCAGACCCCCCTAGAGCGCGCGCAATCATCGCCGTCGCCAGGTTGGGCGCAAATCCAAAGGCTACCATGCTGATGGCCGTTCCCACCAACCCCATGATGAGCACAGGCTTCCGGCCGATGCGGTCGCTCATCCGGCCCCAGAACATGCCAGCGGAGAATTCGGCGAAGGTGAAAGAAGAGGTGATCATTCCGGCGTAGAGTGCAATCTTCTGGTCGTTGTCCGTCACATGGAATGATTCCACCATGTGATACACATATGGGAAAATGGACATGAAAGCAATGGGTTCACAAATTCGGACCAGTGCTACATCTTGTCAGCCCCTGTTCTCATACTATCGACAGGATGGCAATTGTCGAGTAGCCATCATGCTGCTCAACATTGTCCCATATTCACGGGACAGCCACATAGTTCGCAATGCAAGCAAAAGTACTGTCACTTACCTAAGACGAATAATTGTTGAATGGGAAATTTGGACCAATCTTCACTGGATCCATGGCGTTGTCGCCGGCCCTGTAGACAAGCTGGCCGTTGAAACATTGTGATCACAAGTGAGAAAAATAATCACGACAATAGGGGGTTTGAAAAAAAAAAAAAAAGAAGAGGAAAAGAGAGCTGTCAGAAGCTGTGTTCCCAGAAAAAGTAAAGAGGCGTAGTAAGGACCCCACTTCACTCCGGAATACGTAGTTGACAATCCCAAAAAAAAGGGCAGGAGAAAAAAGTACCAAATAGGTCCTTTTGATTTTTGATCCTGTCCCCTTAAGATTACCCCAGGTTAATGCGTCAGGGTCGGAAGGGAGAGAATGCAATTGGTGTGAAAGGCTGAACGTCGGATCGGAGCAAGGAGCGTGGACTGATTTGTTTTTAGGGCTTCAGCATTGCTCCCCCTGCGGTTGGAAATTCTATCGCAAGTCCGATAAGGTAGGGTGGGAGATCCTCAAGTCGCAGAAGATCGCAGAAGACTATGAGACAAACTGCAAGGGAGTGGAAAAGCTCCGGAAGTCTTTTTTTCCCCTTCAGTAGGAAGTGCGAGTGAGGAAAGATTTAACGCTCACGAACGAAGGCAAGAATTCCGGGAAGTCGTTATGCCCCAGAACTTGAATATCGTAGGATCGACAGATAGCGGAAATCAAAAGATTGGTAGAAGGGGGAGAGAGAGTTAAGTCGAAGCGGATGGGAAAGGGCGGTAGGAAGAATGAGGAAGGGATCTATAAAGAATCTTGAGGAAGGGGGTGTGTATGAAGAGGAAACTTGAAAGGGTCTGAGATTTCCAAAAGGTTGAGAGAGGGTGTGATGAGCAAAGGGGATTCATTGCATGAGGACGAGGGGAAAGGGGAGTTATTATATTAATCCGCGGGTGTCGACAGTGGATAGCTCCATCTATAGACAGCCGATGTGATCAGGCGCCAAAAGAGACTAAAACGTCAACCGTTCAGAATTTGGGAATTTTGGTTACAGCTGTACAGAAAGGCGCAGGATGCAGATAGCAGCAAACATGTTAAATCAAATCAGGAATAAAGACAAAGGGAAGTGGGTCGTAAAATTGTAATTATTTTTAATTCCCGTTTTATTTAATTTTTATTTAATTTTGGCTCAATTAAATTTTTGGGGAGAGGGGGGGGTAGAGACATAGAGGAAGTGAGTGTGAGAGAGCGAGCGAGCGAGAGAGAGGGGTGTGTGGAGGGGGACCATTTTAATTGAATTTAGTTTTCCTATTTCTCTCCCACACCTTAAAAGAAAGAAAAAAAGAGTCTCTGTGTAATTCAAGCTACAAAGGGCGGATCGGGGCCATCCGACTGGGGGATCTGGCCAGTTAGGGGACAGAAGAGAACCGTATGTCAAGGTAAACAGAAAACAAAAAAACTAATATTAATAAAATACTCAAAATGTTGACCACTCTCCCCCTCTTCTTGCTCTTCCCTCCAAAAAAAAAAAAAAAAAAAAAGAGTAAATCCTTCAAGAAAATCTTTCAAGAAAATCCCAAGGGGGATGGGGGAGGGGCCAAGCGGAAGAAACACCCTGGAGGCAAGGATGGGAGAGAAAAAGAGAAATCAAAATAAATCAAAATCAAATCAAAAAAGATAGGTGGAGCCAACAGGGAGAATCGACGTGAGGTACGGAAGACCGGGGGGAATACATAGAAAAGGGTCATCGTCATCGACAGTCGGGGGCCAATAACAAGACTTCCGGGAAAGGGATTCTGGGAAAGAACCCGATTGTCCGACGATTCCATTCCTCGATCAATCAGAATCAGATCAGATGGGACAAGGGAGACCAAAGTTTTTAGTTCAACTTATTTTTTTTTTACCCTTCTCCTAGTACCTCCCTCCCCCCCTTTTCCCCTGGACTGATTCGACAGATCCGCTTTTTCACCCCAGATCCTAATCAATTTACAGTATATGTACATGTATCTACTGTTTAGTGTTATGGATGATGGATGGATCAACCGACCCACGGCCCTGAGCCCCGGGCCCCGGGGAACATAAGGAGGCAAGTCCTTAGTGTCCTTAGTGCCGCTAAAAGGGGGCGCTTGGAGGGGGCCACTAAAACAAGCACGCTAAACGGTGTCTGGACTAAGGCAAGGATGATCGACTGGCTTTTCACTTTTTTCTCCCTCCTTTTGGCCTTTTTGGCCCATTTTTCTTTTCCCGGTTTGGATTTTTACTCCCGGAAGTATGGTTTTAGTGTGACTTAGTGAGATGATAGATCTAACTTGTTTGCTGCCCCTCTGTGCCTCCCCGGCCACAGCTTCTTGTCAGCCTAGACAAGATCGGGAGCATCGATCGAGCTGATGGGACTTTGGCAAAAAAGAGGAATACGGCTAACTATCAAGCGTGAATGGTCAATTGCGGGATCATATAATCAATATATGAGATATTCTGTACGAGTACTCATAAAATGAGAAACTATAGAGGAGACTCGCGATCCCACCACCTAACCCCTGTCGCGGAATGATGGAATTTCAGCCGCCTTCTCAAACCAAATCTCAATGAAGACGGGCGATAGTTACATACACAAAGCGAACTCTGTTCCGCGGGCGTAAAGGATCGCCTTCCCCGAGAGCCGTCGCGCTTGGAACAAAGAGGAATGGAGAGTGGAGCCGACCCTTTGTCTTGTCGTACCTCTGCCGTCGTCAATCAACCAAAAACAATGGCCTGCCGTGTTTCGTATTGATTCGCTACGATAGAGTCAACAGCGTTACCTTCCTGACTAGCTGTGGAAAGAGGTCTGCATGCAGAAATATCTACCGTATTCGCTTTGGATAAAAGAGGGAGGCCAATCAGGTCACATTGCCACCAACTTGAATTCAATGTTCTTGAACATGCCTTGACACGGTACATATGTAGACGAGTCGGAACACAGCAGCTATCTCCCCTCAAAAAACCGTTATGGCACTGACAATCATCTATCCAATAGGTAATTTTGGGTCCCCCCAGAAGGCCGGCCACGCAGTAATCATCAACAGTGTTTCCAGAGCCCTGGGTCAGTTAGCGTGCCTGATGCTTCCGCCAGTGGAGATGGATTGTGGATGCACGAAGTACTCCATACATACTTGGGCATTCCATCTCAGCTACTCCTGTATCCCGAGGCTGCCGCATCCCCCAATGAGGTGGATGTGTTTGACTTGGGTCTGATAATTGGGGCCTGCCCTGAATCCATCATGACGGTGTACGGGTAAAGGGGGCGAAGCTATTTAATGAAGTGGATCCTAACGGGGGGAAGAGACGTAAACTGGGGGAGAGTGGATGATCACCCTGTCATACGGAGTTACGCACACCTCTTGTGACTGGCCGACTGAGTTGTTCGGGGTAATACGTTGTACAATTACAGAAGGACCCGATTATTTTTTGGCGCGACAGTCCTTCGAGAAAAGTCCAGTATCAGCTGAGCTTTTCATAGAATTCACCGACACTCCGGGCCTCGCCTACACTAGACCCGCTCGCCGGCCGATCGCCTTTGACGCCGCCCGCGATTCCTACGGTGAAGGCGAATCTGAAAAATAAAATAAAAAACGCTGTTTGGCCGTTAGACTCTGTGAAACGTTGACGAGTACTCCGTACGGAGTACAATGTTGATTATCGCAATTATTAGGTTATAACTACTCCTTATAGTTCTGGAGTATAGAGCGTGCAGAGGTTCCCAAATCTTCGACTTTGTCCACTTAAATCCACATACCACCTCCATGTCTTCCGTTGAACCGAGTGATCACCACTTGTCGCACCAAGTCGCAAATACGTTGAAGTACGGAGTAGAAGTGGCACATTATTTTTATTTTTCTGCATCAAAAAGTCGGTAAAGTGCCGACCCAGCAGCAGGGCCCAATCCAACGGAAACCCAAGGGGCTGGAAAACTTTCTTACAAGGTGGGACCATCATTGTATCACTGTCTTGTACGAAGTACAGGAACGATACATACACAGCCCTTTGGTTTCAGATGTATGTACAACAGAGAGTGAACATGCAGTTCTCTCGGCCACGCGAGCCCAAAGGCGGGGCATCTCAGATTAAAGCCGGTGAAGCCGGTCCGGTATCTGGGGGCTACTCGTACAATAGGCCGACGTCATTGCACTTGGGCAACAACCAGGTTGCGGTCAGAGCCGCCTGAGACGGGAGCTCTGCGTGTCGTGGTCAGGAATTAGATGCGATAGGATGCTGAAGATGAGCGGGATACCATGGAAGTCTTAGTAGGACGCGTGAATGGTTCGATTCCTGCGCGATTCCGGGGGGGGATCGGCCACGAGTCACAGATGCGAAGGGTCCAAGTTGTCGCATCGAGTCCTGCAGCAAACAACAAGGCTCGAAGGGGTGCTAGAGCTGATGACATGACTTCCTCCATAGTATAGGAGGTTTAAAAGGTAGCCTAAGGTGAGGCCAATCAAGGGCGTACCAGTACGGAGTGTCGGGCAGAGGCTGCGTAATTGACAAATCCTTCTATGCACGCAATGCATAGAAGGCGCCACGCAGTTGTGCTCGCAAAGCGCAACCACATCACCGAGAGAAAGAGTCCGAGATCTTGGTTCTTGACAGCTCCGGGGAGAACCCGGAGATGCTTGATTCGATACATGAGCATGTAGCGGTGGCGGCTGGAGGTGACAGTGGCAGTGGCAGTGACAACCCTTCAACCCAAAGCACCTTTGATGCCATGCATCACGCGCCCCATCTGAATATCGTGTCTACACTGATATCCACTCGGACTGTTCGGAAAGTAATTAAACGAAATTCAAAAAAAGGACGGACCAAAGGAAATAAAATCGGGCAAAAACGAGAACCCCTATAAAAAAGGAAAAAGAAAAAGAAACTGACAGGAAAAGGCAAAGGAGAAAGACTTAACAGGGGTAAGATGGCCCAACGGGCAGTTGAGACCAGAATTTTTTCTAGACTATGAATGCGTGAAAGCGGACCTATCAGTTTTACTGCTCTGATCTTGAGCGCGATGTGTGATCGACTTGCGATTGTTGATCGGCGGGGGAGCTTGATTTTACTGCAGTAGAGCATCCATCTCGAGGTGCGCCAGGATCCCCGAATAAGAGCCTGGTTACC